CTGGGTCTTGACCACGCCAACAAGAGCCGGAGCTTCTGGGGCAAGAGTGAAGGGTTCTTCATTCGGTAAATTAGTCATTCTTCCCTATTTTCTCATGGCGCTGGCGGGTTACGAGTTGGGAGAGGGCTGAAAGCTGCAATCCGGTACATGAGCAGCAACGGTCTGATGCGATGATCATGTCTCTTTTCCTTTGTCTTTGCGTATGCTTTTATGTAACCAGCCCACGTAGAAGACAATACAGTCTATATGATGACTCCGAGTTGTTTATCCAAATATATCGAAAGTGTAGTAGTAAACTGCGGAGTGAATGGCCGATGTATGCGGAAGTTTGTTTGGCTGCAAACAAAACAAACACCGGAAGTCAAAGCTGGCCAGAACCTCCTGACGCGAAAGTCAGCCCTCCGCCATCTCCATACAATCCTGTCACAATGCGGTTTGCACTCTTCGCCGGCCTGGCGTCCCTCGTCTCCTCTGTGACTGCCACTGCCCTCACCTACAAGCTCCAAGCGAATGAGAAAGCATGCTTCTTCACCAACGTTGAACAGAGCAACGCCAAACTCGCATTCTACTTTGCTGTATGTCCAATTGGCTTCCTGGATACGTTTCGTTCCAACAGCATATGCATGGACCAGGGGTCTGTCGGCTAACATTGTGCACTACAGGTTCAATCCGGTGGATCCTTCGATGTCGACTACACCGTCACCGCACCGGGCGGCAAGATTGTCCTAGATGGAACAAAGGAGCGCCAGGGTGACTTCGTCTTCACTGCCCAGAGTATTGGAGAGTACACTTTCTGCTTCAACAACGAAATGTCAACTTTCGCCGAGAAGATGGTTGACTTTGAGATTGCGGTATGCCACTCCCCATATCCGTAACAGACCAGATCCATGGGCTATCCTCGATTTTCTCAAACAACAGAAAATAGTCAGCAGATACAGTACTGATCCATTGCCATCTAGGTCGAGAATGAAAAGCGCGCCGAACTGCCTTCCCGCCAAGGCGCCAGCCCCGAACAAACAACCAGCTTGGAGGAATCCATCTACAAGCTCTCCGCTCAGCTGTCAACCGTCTCCCGCAACCAGAAGTACTTCCGCACGCGCGAAAACCGTAACTTCAGTACCGTGCGGAGTACCGAGCGCCGTATCTTCAACTTCAGCGTTATCGAGTCTTTGATGATGGTTTCCATGGCGGCGTTGCAGGTCTTTGTTGTGCGCTTCTTCTTCCAGGGTGCCCGTAAAGGTATGTTGATTCCCTGTTCAGTTGTTTTAAGAGCCAGACTTGGTCTCATTTATTCATGAGCATTCTGTTTGGCTTCTTGGGTGATTCTTGAAGGGTGCATAATAACATATTTTCAGGTTACGTGTGATATGAGCATGAGTGATAATTTGATGCATTTACTACAATTACGTCTGGCGTGTTAGCCTATTGTCTTTTTTTCCTTTTTTACCAAATCTGCGATCTATTAGGTCTCCTTGTCCATTTGGACTAAAAAAACAGGAAATTATACTCCATATGACATCTACCTCCATGACCAGCTAGCTACCTGCCGTCGATGTTCTGTCTCTCTGCTTCTTACTGAAAGGCAATGATGGCCGAGAGTCGTGGCGAAAGCGAATAAAGTACTGTAGTTGAGATCGAGACAGGGCGATCGAGGTTGATCATTGAAACATGGTTGTATCGGTAGCTATGTGTCCTCTTTCTGTGGAATTAGTCTGGGTCACTTATTGACAAGCATCTCAACAGACAACCAGGAGACACAAGGCCACAGTGAGCATGTGTATCTGAGAGATTGGAGATTATCAACACTCAATTCTTGCCCCAAACAGGTTTCGACCAAGGTGGAAACGCGGATATCCCCGGTTCGATTATACTGTAGCATCGTCTGTTTACTGTATGAGTCGAGAACAAGTACAGTAGCTACAGTACGACAGTGGCTTCAAATCAACGACCGAGACAGACTTTTGTGGAGATGTCAGTGTCTCGTGAGTTTGTCCAATGTCATAGATGTGCATTGGCGATCCCAAAAAAAAAGCCCAAAGCTCAATGCCCGAGAAATAGAGCAGGTTTGTATTTGCACAAACGTCACGAACGAAGAGAAAGTCACCACCCGAGTTGAGACCGAAGAATCGTCCCAGCATCGCCCAAGGTGAGACCACTCGTCCAGTTGCGGTGACTCGATGCTCGATGCCCACAGGGTTAGAACCGGTTTACATTGAAAAGAAAGTCACTGACGAGCCGAAGAGGCCACTTCTTGAGTCGACAGCAAGAGCCATCTCAGAATGGTTGGAATTCCGATGAGAAAAGTGGGATTCTTGCGTCAAATTGACGTTGGGCACTTCAGATTTGTTGGAAGTATACCTCGCCAAGATCCCCTGGGCCTGACCGCCATGATACGTGTTTAGTCGCCGCTGAGGCTGAACATCCACGAGAGGCAATGTGTGCTGCACAGCACAATACTCCCGGGGAAAAGAGACGGAATTGGTCTCGAGGAACGTCACCGGCGAGGCAAGGAGGCGAGAAAACATCTCGAGACCGAAGAACCAGACCAAAATGGTCGACATATTGATACGAAAAAGCAGGTTTCTTACGTCACTTCAAATGTTGTCCTCGCCGGCCACAGTATTGCCACTGCCTCCTCCATTTGTCCATTGTGAGGCCTGTGTACAGTATTCAAGGTCGTTGGATGCTATTGATTAAGAAGTGGGGATACGCGATTCTCGCAAGGATAGAACCGGGTTGTGTTCGAAAAACCGTCCGACAAGGAGGCGAGACTTCATCGAGGAGTCGAGACCGAAGTATCAAGTCGAGAGGAGGTCAAAGATGAAGTGTCGCTGTAACGGCGGGTTTCTTGCGTCAAATCGACGTTGACCTCGTTCAGATATGGTCAAATGTGATACCTGAAAGCTGCTAGCGTGAGTAGCGTACTGTATGTCCTGAAGACACAGTGAGCTCTAGTGCATGAGTTGCTAAGACAGTAAATGTGTCCAGACCGATCTCTGGATCAAAAACCGGTTTTTTTGACAGGCCAGGTACTCAGAAGACGACTATCAGCCGGGGTTCATATGTGCTAGGCTAGACTGGAGCAATGGTTGACTTTAGGGTTCAATTGATGGGAGAAAATAAGCAGCCTATGGCACGAAGCGAGCGCGCACGGGTATAGTGCTGTACGGTCTTTTGTGCTTCACTGTTCGGGGTGCTCAACTCCTTCTACAGTAGTGACCTCATATGCCGAAAAGGCAGTGATATCATCCTATACGGGAGGAGAGACCAGCCTCAACAAGTGATACAACGTGCTGATCGGCATAGATTTTGCCTTTGGGGCATTCTGGCGTTCTCATAAGCTTATGGGTCCATCTACAGTAGGGGCGGTCCATTCTCGTACGTAGCCGAGATCTAGTGCAGGTGGACTGCTCTATGATCTCATATTAGTTAGCACGCTGAGGCTGTCTGAGGGAAGGTTGGGTGTACAGTATGCTGTTGATCAGCTCAATGCTGTCATATCATGTTGGTGATCAGGCCCTAACGTGATATGGTATGGTTCAAGTCCCATTGGCTCCACAAGTTCCTTTCTACTAACGATATAGCGCAGGATTGCACCGACTCTGATATCACCTGAACATCATAGGCTCTTGCAATCTGTTCAATACGACATGAGAGTGCACGCTACTGTACAGTATATTGCCTACTGTATTGTGTTCCGTACCCGCGAGATAACCCTTGTTCCATGACGAATGAGTCCACTCATTTTCTGCTCTAGACCTCGGCGATAATCTACGGTTCCTTCCGATGATCGAAGTGAAAGTTCTCTCGAAAATGGGGAAAGTTCGGTACGGAGTGATTGTATACTCCGGAGATTCTCTCTGACGTGGTTATGCGTCCCCCCCGATGAGACATCCCTCGTGTCACGAAGTTATGATATTCGAATGCTGTCTCCATTGGTCAATTTCAATCTCCATGGTGATATGAAAATGGATATCTGAAGACCATCACTGATATGCCGATCGGTAATTTGCCTCCCCCGCTGACCATCAACCTCCATCCCAAGGATTTGGGATGGCAAATGATATTCCCAGACCCATTCTACAGTACTATACTGTACTGCAGACCCCCTTTCACTCGCACGCTGCAGCCTACCGATCCTTTGGACCAATTGGTTGGTTGTGCTGAAACACAGGCCTTGGGCTTCGGTCTTCGGATTGAAGCTTCCACCTTTTTTAGTGGAGTTTTCATCTCAGCTGAGATTTGGCACGTTGCAGACACCTCAATACATTCATATCAAAGTCATATGCAACGTAACCGACATACTGTGCATCAATATGAATATGAATCCAATAGACGAAGTACAGTAGGCAGTATAGTCAAGGCGGTGTCTTTGAGGCGTCAACTTAGAGGCAACTGCAACTCCCGTGCAATTCACGAGCATGAGACTGTCCTCATTATTGCCGTTCTACAGTCTTTGTTGTATTTCCCGTGGTTCGATGAGAGCCGTTCCTAGTATTCGGTAGCCTCCACCATGACCATGTATGTCTCCACTGTGATATTGCATTCTTCGCTTTCGCTTTGGACTCAAGCTTCTCCGCAAGTCCCACAGTTTTGATAGCGTTCATCAAATCAATTCGAGGACCTTATTCTTTCCTCGTTCATACCCGACTGGCCCCTGCGAGTTGAGAACTAATACAGTACATGGTCGGATCGCCCCGATGCATAAAGGTTATGACGTCGGTTCCATCCCTGAGCCTCACACAACTGTCTTCGCGCCACAGGCGCAAGACTGCGTCACAACTTCATACAGACTGCGACATCTACAGATATTGAATGAATTGATCCAGATGAATCGAGATCTCTTTATCCCCCGGCGGCAGAGCTGGAAGATCTGTACTGAATCGACGCCAGTCCACCGGGGGATATTCGCATTCTTCCCGTTCGGCCATACAGAGGTCCCCGGCAATGCAAGATCCAAAATGCACCGCGCCGTTCAAAAGAAAATGCCATTGATAGTTTCAATTATGAATCATTTGGAAAACGTCAGGGCGAAGATCTGCAGGGGACCAGACTTCGGTGATGCCGATCCCCAAACGCCTCCAAATCTCAGTGGTCCATCGACATTCCCCAGTGACCTCATCGGTGCACTGTGGCCCATCCACCGGTGGACCAACTCGAGCAATCGTCGGGTGTTCACCAGTCTCCATGAGCATGTGGATCCGGGTCATTTCATAACGCACGGTTATGACGGTATAGTCCCACACAGGCCCTTGAGGAGTCATCTTCTTTCGTTCTTAACTGTAAGGGTAGGGGGGAAGCCGGATGCTCTTATGATGTAGGGGCATTATCTCCTTTCAGCCAATGATGTCACCATACTCTGCTCGCTGCACTCGGTGGAGTTCGTGGTTTGACTTTACCATGGGCGCTTTCAGGAGGAAATAAGCAGCCTATAGACGGGTCGGAGCTGATACAGAGGTGCTTTCGCCTCTTTTCGACCAGACAAATGTGATTTCATCCTCCCTTGTGGAGTCGTTTTGTCTTATATATACCCTTGCTCGCATATTAGACTCCAATCCTATTTTACTTTACTTCGTTTGTTTCGTCCCATACCACACAAACTGTTCAGTATTTTTAAGGTCGTTTTGACTTCTACCTATTCAGTCAACCTAGTCAATCTACTCAACCAACCGTGACCAGTCACCCTATTCACACCGTGCTCTATCATCAATCAGGACTACCGGGCAACCCCCTAATTCCAAGGTAAGCAGGCTACTTTCACCTAAAATATTAGGATAGTGGATTCGGTCAACAATATGTCCTTGGATACCAAATTTGCACTATCGCGATCGCTTTCTGTCGGCCTCGTCGTTTCTTTTGTTCGGAATCCAGTCACCGGCGACATACACTGCTAGGCCTAGCGTCTGGCTATGACATTGATAAACAATTCGATCGACTCATGCTGATCCTGTGCCCATTAGACACTCTCCACCATGACTCAGGCTCAGATGCAGCGCTCCGAAAACATGAACATGTTTAACTCGGGTGGAATGAGCAACCCTAACACCGAGACCATGATCGACTCTTACCAACCTTTGGACCCTGTCACCGCTTCGTTGGGCGACTACAACCGCTCCATGCTGCAGTATACTCAGCGTCAGATGTCTACCTTTGTCGACACTGATGACTCTCACCATCGCAAAAGCTCTAGCAGCCGCAGTAGTCAGAGCAGTGGCCAGAGTGGTCGCACTAGTGTCTCTGGCCTTGCTCGTCAAGCCAATGGACCTCCTACTTCTATCAACCATGCTGCTCAAATTGCCGAGAACAAGGTCTCTGGTCGCGATATGGCTACCAAGTCTGAATTTTAGGTCTGCGCAAGATCAAGGTATGCATCTGTCCTTTCACACACTCCACCATTGCTCACTATTATACAGTTTCATAATGTTGTATTCCCAGTACAAGTCGGGAGTCTGCACCTGAACAACGCCGTTGCCCTCATTCCCCATTCCCTTGCATAGCATTTCCTTGGATATCTATTGATTCCCACCCAGCATTCTACTTCCGAGCCACGGATGGTTTCTTGTGAGCGTGCTTGAACATGGCACACTGGGCGTGAAACAATATTCCCATCCCTTTCCCCTCCACCCATGGTCCTGACATCCAACTGAGAGTCACAAGACTCACTGATTCAGTTCTGTGCTTCCTTTTCTTCTCGCCTTTCACTTGACTCTGTTATCCATGGCTTTGTCGATATTTTGTCGGTTCTGAGATCGGTTAAAACAGATTTTTGATTCGCCATCTTGAACCGTCCACCTCCGGGCGTGGGTGCACCAAACCCATCTTCCGTGCTTGATCTTCCTTCTGTGAAGGAGATCGGCTTGTACTTTTTGTATTTGTACCTTGGCAGCGAGCGAGTGTTTCTCTTTTTCTTTTCTTTTTTTTTCCTGTGTTTGATGCCCTTGATGGACCAGCACGACTCCCTGAGTCGAGGACACTGGCTGTCCCTCAGGAGAAAATACCCCTGTTTCGATCAATTATGTTTTCTTTTCATGACCTGTACAACTATGAGCGATACATTTGGAGTTATATGTCTTCTTTTTCTTTCTTTTTGTTGAACTGCTCACGCTCGCTTTGCCGTAGATCGTAAACGCCCAGAATATATATCGTCTCCAGCTACATACGGCACCAACCTCCATCCGAATGACGCCGCGCGTTAAGCTTGAAAGGAAGCTTAGCTGTGTATCTCAGGTTGGTGAACACACTCCAAATCGCCTATATCTGGTCCGGTCGCTAGGGGCAAGGGGAAAATCTAGTCGCTGAACGCCCAATGCGGATGACGGGAGATTAGCCCTAAAACCGAACGCAGCCAAGCTCACATACCGAACGAGTACACTTCTCGTCCTACGATAACTTCCATCAACTCTGTAATATTATATTGCTTTTTCCTAATGATATTTACTATCGACATAGTTGAAGTGAGTCCGATTAAATTTTTAACTTGATTGTGTTGTATTGAGATGCCAAGTCGTACGCAGTTTTTGGAAATGCCCAATATCGACGGCGCGCTATAGTGCATCGAGGGGACTGAATGTGCTATGGTCGGGCTTTTTTGTTGACATTCAATGGATGTGAGGGTATTGTGACTACAGTAAGCAGCCCTGCTGCGATCCCCCTGGTTTGTAGGGGAGTACATCCATATATCCTGTTGTCAGGAAACACCACCAAAGAACATCGTGCACCTATTCACTACCTTCTACAATGACCTTCAAGTTCTACACCAACAGCATCACTCTTTCCAATGTACTAGGGGCTGTCATATTGGGCTCCACAACTTTTTTCGAATGAATATCTCTGTTGCGGAGAGCTCACGTTCCTGGAACCCCTTGCATGCCTCGCGAGATTCTCACTTAGCAAAGCAACTTAGGCTTTGTGGCTCACGTTTTATAACGTGGGTGGCCAAATTAAATGGGCTGCAGATATGATGAAGGAGAATCTCAGATCCAGAGGCCGAACTGGATGTTTGTCTAGCAAAAGTGTAAGTTAATATGCGCAACCGATTTGTATACGAAGCGAGCTGGAGAGCCAAATGTCACATACCAGAGGCTGTCTACACTACAGACCCAGGTCAAGAAGATACCGAGCCTGGACATTCCTGATAATTCAATCTCCAACGAATCAAGACCCTTTCGTGCCTTTCCAAGTAGAGGGATGAGCCCCTTGGAATCTCGGGATTCAAAGTGACCAACCAGGAGTTTCCAAGGGAGAAACAAAAGAAAAACAGGATGTTTCACTATGTCCACGGGCAGCAACACTACTCATAGTAGCGAGTCAGGAGTTGTCGCACTTTTACTCCTCATCGACAACCCCAGCTTACTCGACAACCCCGTGCAACAACCACGGTCTAGCTCTAGTCATTCTTTCAGGTCTCACGTTAGAGGCCTGCACATGCACACCCACACTCTTTTACTCACTCCCGGCCAGAATCGAACATAATCGGTTCCAAAGCCAACAACCCGCAGCGCGCCAGGTCGCCTTTGTTCGTCAGCCACTCTCTATCAATAAGATTCCCTACAATCGGAAGCGACATAACGAAAAGAAATCGAAGAAAATAACAGCCATGCATCTACCCATCCTTTTCACATCGCTCACCCTGCTAGCCGTTACCACCGCGGTCCCAATGGCGAGCCCAAGTCCATCTCCCACACCAACAAGCGCACTGCCATCTCTCGCTTCTCTCTCGCACTCCGGTTCAGCATCTGCTTCGGCATCCGCTTCGCCTTCTGCTTCCCCGAACCCCTTCGAGGCTTGGTCCTGCCCCGCAGGCAAGTATAAAAACTGCTGTATGGGCGTTGAGCAGAGCTCGCATGATATCCTTAAGCCACTGGGCGAAATTGTTCCTACTATTGGTGGAATTCAGGTTAGCTCGGCTATTGCCTTTCAATGTACGTTTCCCCGAAGAGATGAGAGATTCTGCAATATGCAATATGCATCAAGGGATCGCTAATCTTTGGTATTGATATAGGCAAGCCTATGGGTGATCAGAAACCTCCAAGCTCTTGCTCTGGCCATGGATATTCTCCTATGTGCTGTGACAGCAAGGATCATGTAAGTTATCTCATATCCTCCCTTTGCTTTCCCCTTTGCCCGATAGATCGATCAAGACAGGGGACATACACTAACATTTGACTTTGCTCCTCTAGGGCCTCATTGAAGCCTGTAAGCCTTTCGAGAAGGTCAAGATGGACTATTACTCCCACAAAATGCAGCTCCCTGAGACTCAGGCCGACATCATCATGGATGCCGTCACCTAAGGCTGTTCCTCCGTGACTGTCACCGAGACCTGGCGTTTTGCGAACTTGAAATGTGACTCAGGATCAGGATGAATGGAAGTTCGGATGTACTTTTTGGTATACTGGGGTAACTTACGGCGTGGGGAGATCCAAGACTGGAGATAGGGTGGCTCTTTTGTTTTATTCTCTTTCTTCACTTGATATTACTTGAAGACTTGGGATACTTTTTTTTAGATTTAGGGCTTGATGTTTAATGTATACAGCATTCATTTCGATTGTGTTGTTTTTGGTTCCTTATTACGTAGGAGCTGTTCCAGGGCATAACAGTTAAGGAGTTGGCAGGGTTGAATATTGGAATATAAAAAAGTTTCATGAAATATATAAGTTGACTTCTCAGAGCGAAGAGTGGCAATGATCCACGAGTCTACCATGAAGACAAGAAACCCCAAAAAGAGTCAAGGAATCCATACCATGCCCTATCATTATGGATCCGGGAAAGTGTATACACTTCTCGTGTCCTCGGATGGATACTTCCTACTTCCTTCCTGTTACACACCACCATTCTATTTCGAAGAATCCTGGAAATATGTTGTTCAGCCCTGGAGGGCACATTCAGTTCGAATTTGATCTAATCATACATGGTCATTGTCCTTTTATCGCCAACCTCGTCCACCTTGGGAAGGAGTCCATGGGCCACCGTGCTGACCACCTGAGTAAGGAGGAGGGAAGTGGTGCTGGCCAGGAGGCATAGGCTGACCTTGTCCTGGTGGGATGTGAACAGGAGGGGCATTGAAAGGAGGTGGGAAGGCAGAAGGAGGAGCCCCGGAACCTGGTGGGGGATAGGGCATGGGCGGCATGTGTGGGGGAGGTGGAGGCCAAGCACTGTAGGCGGGTGGGGGTGGGGGAACAAAGCCGCCATTAGGTCCCATTGGCGGGTGTGCATATTGGCCATGTCCATTTGACGTATGAGGAGGGGGGAAGGAGTTCATGGGTGCGGAAGGGTGTTGAGGTGGATGGGGATGTTGATGTGACTGGGATTGGTGAGGGAGTGGGAAATGTGCAGGAGATGGTTCGCGGGGTGTGTATGAGCTTTCTCGGCTGCGTGAGCGCCTTGGGGAGCGACTTCTTTCCCGGGAGTCAAAGCGACGACGCCTAACTGATCGCGAGGGGGACCGACTCGGGGTCCTCAAGTCGGAGAGGTTGTCGCTGTAACGCCGGCGCTTGGTATTAGTTCGTGTTCTACTGCGGCTCCGACTTCGACTGCGAGAGTCCCTGGGACCCCCCTCTTCATTTGTTGACAAAATGCACGGGACCATCCATAGTATGTCTCACCATCCAGGATATCTCCTGTGATTTCATCTCGGAGCACTGACTGGCCTAGCTCATCAATATCCGTGTCCCTGTCATCCTTGTTGAGGTCGTCCGTGCCATAAATATCGTCCACCTGGCATAAGAAGCCCTTGAGAGCTTTCACTAGGCTTCCATCTGCAGGTCCTGCCTGCAATTGTAGCGGCTTGATAGCATCAGGTCGAAGGGGAATGGACGAGTTCGGGATGATGTGAGGGATAAGGTTGCCCGCAGGCAGATCGTAAAAGGGGGTTGAAGAGTCTCCATGGGTAGATGGCATCACAAAAGGAACATCCTTTCCGGGTTTCTTGGCTTGGTCTACTTCACCGGCAGCATCGGTGGTTGGTGGGGTACCCAAGGAGGCCGAGTTGATGACCACTTCCCGAAGCTTCTCGACAAGCTCGGGATTAAAGTATCCATGCTCGGACCAGATATCAAGCAGATCATCCAGCCGGTGGTGGTGCCGTGGATGCTTCTGGCGATCGTAGATAGCGGCATGACCAACCAAATCCACGATATGTGGCTGCAGGGACCCGCTCACCGTGGAGAAGGTTGCAGTGGTGCCTAGGTGGTACTTGCAATGGTGAAACAGATCATTGAGCAAATACAGTATGTGGAGTTGTCGGCGCTTCGCTGAGGTTGGCTGAGCGGGCTGGGGCCCAGCGGCTGGTTCGAAGGGGGTAGCTAGCGCTACCAGGTACTTGGCCAATCCTCCAACACGATTAGATGAAGCAGCAACATATTGTAGCAACCATGCTTTGCAGGTCTGAGGTGACTGTGATTTAGTAACTGGAACGTGAGAGGTATGTGCAACGAGTCAGACCTGGATGTTTTCCGCCGAGCAATGCGACAGCGCACGTTCGAGAACGGTATGAAAGGCAGTTATCTCCTCCCGAGGTACAGAGGTGGGGTCTGGGCGTAGCAGACCCGCCGAGAATGAGGCCTTTGCGATAGCAATCTGATGGGACGCCATGGCTGGAACCTGGAGAAAGAGAGATTGATCATTGTGTCTGCTGTTATCGCAGCTTCTATCACACGTGACCGCGACTAGCGCGATGAAGTATACCGAGAGAAGCGAAATCGAATCAGTTTGCCGTTAACCAGGATATTAGCTTAGATTGTGATGTAGGGAAATACAGTATGATATTGGGGACAACTGATTGTTTGAATCACTATATTGTACTGTATGTGGGAAGCAGAACCTTGGAATGCCTCTAGCCAGACGAGTTGCCTCAATCAGGAGATCTTGATAAGATCATCTAACGTACCCACGTTGCCACTTTCCCCTCCGGATATCCTCAAGCCGTCATCGTACTTCGATCCGGAACTCTACTTCCGTTTCGCAGGCTTCGCGGTGAAGCCCAACCCCCTACTCTCGTCTAACCCTACTTACTCTCCCTACCCCACCTTTCGTACTCAGAATGCCTGATGGCGTGAGTGCTTGCCAACAGTCCGATCCGAGCTCCAGTAGAAACAGTAGTTGCAGGTTGATCTCCGATGAATATTCACTGCGAGAATCAGGCCATGCTTTAGCGCCCCCCGCAAGTCCCCCACAGTCGGATCACCTCATCCCTACGGACGGATAGCAAAGTATGGCCTGATGTGCTTATAAAAGCCTCATAGTTGCCCCCCCCGGGGCTTCCTGTAAACTTCGCTATATCCTACGGCTTGCTCTCTCTTTACTCTACTTTTTCCTCAAGCCAACTACAACTCTACTCTACCACCACTTCACTCCATACATCTCACTCCCCAAGTGATCGACATATCGACATCATGGCCACGATCGCTCAGCTCGCTCGCCCCTCCATCCGCCACTTTTCAGCCCACCGCCCGCGCCCTGATTCTCGCATCGCACGTGCCATCAGCCTGGGCTGCATTGTATCGGGCGTAGTGTTGCCATTTGTGCCACCCGCCCTTGAGAGTTCCCGCCAGCGAAACTCAGGTCTTACTTCTGTGGGAAAGTGAGTTTACTCTGAACATCTCAGTATTGTGAGATCAATATTAACATTTCAATGCAGGAACCCCCCACTTTGCTTCCACGCCCGGTAGATACCTCGCGTTATAAGCTCTCGCAATCCGGGAACTGCTCGGTGCAGGCGCTGATATGGAGACCCGGCTTGCGAGATGATGCATTATGCCCACGGAGTTTAGGATGGCGTTATGAGGTTGCTCTCGATAGCAGCCTGTGATGGGATGTGTTTTGCTTTTCGTTTTTTTTTTTTTTTTTGGTCTTTGAGACAACCAAGGATGCAGATGTCAGATCTCTCGATCGTCACCAGATAGTCAAAACATGCGCAAATCCATTCCCTAATGAAATGACCAAGCTCGAGTAATGTACATGCTAATATTGAGCCACAAATCCAACATAGTACAAGAAATTCAAGACAATTTCAGCATAGCCGTATCAAACACACCACCACTCTATTTTGGTTTGATGTCAAAATGTACAGATGCGGCCAGCCGCTCAGCTAAACCGATTGCCGGTCGGAGGTCGGTACGGGGTCGATGTTTCGTATTTCCCTTTCTCCAGAACACGGTCGGCCTCAGTCAAGGGTTCGTGACGAGTGGGTGCGGGGTCATGGGAGGCTTCGGTACTCGGAGAGGCGACGTCGTCGGCGGTATTCTGAAGCCGAGTCATGTTTGCTCGCTTTAAGCTGGCATCGTCGCTTGGGGTAGGCCCCGGGGTGTAAAGTGTCTGCCGCTTGTGTTCCTCTTCCATAGCCTTCATCTGGGCTTTACGCTTGATCTCGGCGTCGAATCGGGATTGGCGGTCGGCGTTGATGGATTGCTTTGCGAAGTAGTAAGCGCCGCCACCGGCTGAGGAGACAGGTTAGTCTTTTTCTGGGTGTGAGTGTCAGACAGCCTCTTGCTTAGAGCTGAGACTAATCATTTCGGTTACATACCGACACAAAGAGTGCCCCAGCCCACCCTGTTCAAGGCGCAAGCCATATCAGCAATTGAGTCTTCATGTTATTGAGAAACCTTCTCTCACCAGGTAGATCTGATCTAAAGGAGGAATAGAAAGTCAGTGCTGGATCAAATATAGGAGACATATAGCACCTACTGTGTTCATGATGAATTGATGAAATGTTGAAGTCGAAAGTGAAGCTTACTGAATGTCGTCAGAACGGATAAATTACCGCCGTTTGTTACCGCCGTTAGGCCAAAACCCACTATCAGTCTTTCACCGCCTAGTCTACCGTCTATCCTACCGCCTTACTAGATTAGAGCTTCGTTGAACATACAATATCACTAACAGTGCCAACCCGATTGTACTAGGCTCGTATTAACTTCTGAGGATCTCATTCTCTCACTCCAAGTGTAATTCGGTAAATATATCGATAACGAAGGACTACACGTTGATAATAAGGCTCGAGGCCTATTGTAGGTGGGCATTGCCTAAACGCCTGTCCATGGGTGATGTCGTCGATTAGCTAGAAAGCTATATTTAATAAGATAAGAATCTTGCATAAAACAAGATCTTTTAGTTCAAGCGAACATAGTTGTAGCATACAGCAACGTACCTAGTTTCCAAGGTTAGATGGGAAATGGACAGTATTACTAATAAAAAGAGGCAGAATGGGTTTTGACCCGATGGTAGCAATAGACTGCCGTAAGCTAGCCTAATCGCCATCTCCGATTACCAATGGAACTTCTTCCAACGTTGGACCTTTCTGATATTCTTATTCTTCACGACATCCCTCTTTTCGGATCCCTCACCTCCCTCCCTTGACCTTACCACCTCATATCTCCACATCTACAACCTTATTTTTGAGCAACCCAAAGCTCTTTTCGAGCAGGAAACCCCAGCGCCAGGTGTTGCTATTGCGATTTATTACCATATATTCCATGCTGGTCTGAGATCACATTGGAGGGGCAGCGCTCCGCCTCGTCGGACTCTCGTACACTGGAATAGTCCTTAATCAGCTTTCTTCCAGAGTTTCATCGACTCCACCGGGCTTTCAAATATGCCCCCCAAGCGCAAAGCGGCTGACGGTAAGTATCCCGTGCATCTTCCGGGGAGACCGTGACTCATGATGTACAGGCGGCACATCCAGCAGAGCCTCGAAACGCGCCACGCCCGTCCCCGATGTCGAGGATATTACCAGCGATGATGATTATTCGGACGGAGATGATGATGCACCGGAGTCCTCCAACTTGAAAGGTATGGTGTGGCACTCTGACCACGTGAAGTGACTTGGATGCTAAATTGGCGGTTGAAGAGGTTGTCGACAAGTTTTCTCTCCAAACCTTCAGCAAGAAGGCACAGATAGATAAGACAGATCCCCGATTTGGTTACAAAGATCTTTCTTCTTTGCCCTTGAAGCGCGACCATTACAACCGACCACTATGGATCGAACCCATGAAAGGCACCATCACTCTTGAGAGCTTTTCCCCGTTGGCATCCCAGGCCCAAGATTTCCTGACCACCATCGCTGAACCGCTCTCCCGCCCAACACACCTGCACGAATACCGCTTGACGGGTCACAGTCTATATGCAGCGGTTTCAGTCGGTCTCAAACCACAGGATATCGTGGAGTTTTTGGATCGTCTGTCAAAAACGCCACTGCCGGAGACCATTCGAAATTTCATTATCGAATTCACGAAATCATACGGAAAAATCAAGATGGTGTTGAGGCATAACCGTTACTACGTGGAAACGACAGATCCTGAAATGCTCCAACGCTTGTTGAAAGATGAAGTGATTGGACCACAGAGAATCGATAGTACAGAGGGTATCATTGAACGGGCTGCTCCGAAAATGGGCGGCCTTGTTATTCCCGGAACCAAGGATGCGGCCGGTGTCAGAGAAACCACACAACAGGAGACCACGGCTGTCAGGGATGAAAATGAGGAAGAAGGGGCTGCTGTGAATTACGGCATCGACGATGTTGGCGAGGACGACCGCGAAGAAGCCATTACTTACAGTTTCGAAATCCCCCCTGCTGGAGTCGAAGTTGTGAAAGCCCGCTGCCAATTTATCGGTTGCCCTGCTCTAGAAGAGTACGATTTCCAGGGAGATACAATCAACCCCAATTTGGACATGGATCTGAAACCTGCTGCCCGGATTCGTTCTTACCAGGAGAAGAGTTTGAGTAAAATGTTCGGTAACGGACGCGCGAAAAGTGGTATCATTGTGCTTCCTTGCGGTGCCGGTAAGACCTTGGTTGGTATCACTGCTGCAGCTACTATTAAGAAGGGTACCATTGTTCTCTGCACTAGTTCCATGTCCGTGGTTCAATGGCGAAACGAGTTTTTGCGGTGGACGACAATTGATCCTGGTGACATCGCCATCTTCACGTCTGACCATAAGGAGAAATTCAAGCGATCGACTGGTATCATCGTATCCACCTACTCGATGGTTTCGCAAACCCGGGCTCGATCATATGATGCCCAAAAGATGATGGACTGGCTTCAATCCAGAGAATGGGGTATGATGATTCTGGACGAGGTGCACGTTGTGCCGGCATCGATGTTCCGAAAGGTCACATCTGCAATCGCCGCACAGAGCAAGCTTGGCCTGACCGCAACGCTGCTTCGAGAGGATGACAAGATTAAAGATTTGAACTTCTTGATCGGACCCAAGCTTTACGAAGCAAACTGGATGGAACTCGCCGCACAGGGTCACATTGCCAAGGTGCAGTGTGCGGAGGTGTGGTGCCCAATGACAACGGAGTTTTACTCCGAGTATCTGCGGGAGAGCTCCCGGAAGCAAGCCCTGCTGTATATCATGAACCCACGCAAGTTCCAGGCTTGTCAATTCCTTATTGACTTCCACGAAAAACGTGGTGACAAGATCATTGTGTTCTCTGACAATGTGTATGCTTTGGAGCGATATGCTCTCAAACTGAACAAGGCCTACATTTACGGTGGCACCCCTCAAAACGAGCGCATGCGTATTCTGGAGAATTTCCAACACAACGAGCAAGTCAACACTATTTTCCTATCCAAGATCGGTGATACCTCACTCGATCTGCCTGAGGCTACCTGCCTGATCCAGATTTCGTCCCACTACGGATCCCGTCGTCAGGAAGCCCAGCGTCTTGGACGAATTCTGCGAGCTAAGCGCCGAAATGATGAAGGCTTTAATGCTTTCTTCTACTCCCTTGTGTCTAAAGATACAAATGAAATGGTCTACTCTGCCAAGCGGCAAGCTTTCCTGATCGATCAAGGCTACGCATTCAAAGTCATCACCCATCTCCAGGGTATCGACAACTACGAAGGACTATCATACGCAACGCCATCAGAGCGCCGTGAACTTCTCCAAGAAGTCATGCTACAGAATGAATCCTCTGCCGATGTCGAGCAAGTCAATGATGACTTGTTCTCTATGCGCACGGGCAAGAAAGGTCCAGCCAGGAAGGCGACCGCCAAACGCAGTGCGGCCACTCTCAGCGGTCTGGCTGGTGGCGATGACATGGCTTATATTGAGTACAACAAGAGCAGGAACAAGGCGCTCAAGGACAAGGGGCACCATCCTCTATTTAAAAAGATGGAGCGGGACCGACAGCGTCGGAAGAAGGACAGAGAGGACGCGGATTGATCGAAAATGCCTTGCTATTTTTGGTTTCTGTTTAGCGCTGTTCCGCGGACTCTTCTCTGTCTTCTCCAGAATGATATATACCCAAATGAGTCAACAAGATAATCTAGTGGAATCTAAAGCCATGAGCTAGACTCTGACTTACCAACATCGAACACCTGGACCCGAACCCAAACAAGCTGACTAATATTCTCTTAAACTGTCCACTGGTGACTCCTTCAATACCCTCGAATACCCTCGTATATCCCAAGGCCACATCTCAATCCGATGGAGACCCAAAGAACCAAAGAGCCAAAGAGCCAAAACCCCGCCTATATCGTATAGCAAAGCTTTTGTAAGCACAAGGCCCAGCCCGAGGCCAGTTATATACCAATGACGTAGCAGCGGACCCCCGAATGGCCGAACCCAAGACGATGACATTAAAGAAAGGTCCATTGGTCGTCAGACACATAGAACTACAACATCTATATATAGGGACATGTTAACCCAGCTTCGTTGCACAGTCAAACCACCACACACCATCTATCGCTTTCCATCTTCAATCCATTTCCCTCGACCGTGCTTCAAGCTTTCCCCACATTTTTACAGCTCCCCTGGTGACGCACGTGTCAAGATGACTTCTTCTGCTTCGGCTGTGGCTTCGGCCACGAAGGTCAACCTCGTGCCTGCTACGGACTCGGGGGTTTTCAGTGCTGGTGCGAGGGAGGATGCGGCGCGGGTTACCAGTGATCTCTTACAGGAGGATATGGAGAAACATCATGTTTTCTTCAATGATATAGGCTTTCACAGTATGTTCTCAGCTTCAGACACTACGCTCCGAACATGAGATGGGGTGGCTGACTAGATTCTAGACCACATACCCCATCACCTACTGAGTATCTATGCTCTGGGTGCCAGGCCTGAGGATATCAGGCATGCCTACATTCAGAATTTGAGCTATCAGAAACCTGCAATGCCTGTTGATCAGGCTATGGTCGAGTCTTTGCGTGAAGTGGATGGGTTCCGGGAAGGGTTGGGCGAGGGAAAGAATTATTCCAATTATTTGGCGCTTTTTCAGGCTGAGATCAACGCCAAGGGTGTTGGAAATGTCCTTGCGGAATATGTGTTCGCTGGAGATGAGCGGGCTGAGAATATGTTGTGTCGCTTGTTTGGTGGTATGTATTCGCTCGATTACCCTGTCTTGCTATGATGAGTTGCAGGCTCACGATATGTCCAGGCTTGATTCACCCGCTTATCCACCTCTGCTTTGGATTGGAATTCAATCAGCCTGCCATTGTGGCTCAGGGGTTGGCCCAGGCTGCTGTGCATGATGACTGGCTTGGTCGCGTTTTTTTCCTTCCGGCGGAGAAGATGTCTGCTGGTGTTGGTGTGACTGGAAAGAAATCATTGCTTGAACTTCTGAATGAGTGTCGGGCGGATACGGCCCTCTTTGACAGTGTCAAGTGGGAGGATTCTAATAAGATCAGGGATGGTGTAATGACAAGAGCCCCGGAGCAGATGATCAAGTATGCCGCTCAGTTCACTGTTTCGGAAGATCAAGTGGAAGAAAGACTGGCCGATATGATCAACACAGTCGGTAAGTATGTCCTGGGATATACTAGTAAGCCCTGCTGATTCCTTTCGCCAGTCTACTACACCAGCGCCGCACAGCGTCCAGCTCGAGAAATGAAACTTGATTTCTTTTTCATCCACTGTGTCAACTCGTCCATTTTCCTCTCCAAGATCACTGACCTTCCATACCTGGACCAGCGATCAAAGCTGCGCCTGATAGAATGGAAAGGACGCATCGACCTATTAATGTATGTCTCACGCGGGACGCCAGAGCTCTTCATAGATATGGTCGCCAATTACCCCATCAAAGAAGATTGGCCCCGTATCTTCGAACGAGCTGTGACCCATAGCACCGATGACGGACATCTAGCCAAGCTGGCCCGAGCAGTGGCACACGGCCAGCGGGTCTGCCAAGGGGTCGAGAATAAGCATCCGATGCCGATCCATGGGGATATGTGGCTGCGAATCGGGAACATCGGTAAGTTGCGCCTCTCACTGTATTGACACTAGCCTAATTCTCAACAGCTGTCGACTCCACCGTTGGGGAGGGTCAGAATGGCATGTGGGTCCGATCCACTGGCTTTGATGAGGCTTGGGAGCCTCAGGGACGCGCGCATATGTGACGTGCTGGGATGAAGGATCTTATTCAAATCGTAGCCGAACAAGCATGTTTTGTGTACTGTATGCCAACTACCAAATACCACCAAATTGAGGTTGAAGTACAGTGAAGTACAGAGTGGTTCCACTCTGGGAGCTGCGGTGGGTCCCTTTATGACGCCAGCGGCTCAACGGGATAGGGATTGGTAGATGGTGAAGTGTAGGGTCTGAGATCTGAGCTATGGAGTAAGTCAATGGGAGGCGAAAAGAGGACATTGATAAATCACGAAGAAGATGGGAGAAGAAGAGAAAACGGCCCTGGAGACAATCTTCGAAAGCACCTGACGAGGACATTGGGGGATCACGTAAAGTGGGGCACCCCAACGACTCTCACTTTTCCTGTTCATCTTTTATCCTTCAGACTTTCATACTTTCATCTTCCCAGCATGCCTGACGATGATAAATCTCACGACCAGGACGGTTCTGGGGATGAGAGTAACCCGTTCGTCGCCTTTCGGCGCTACGCTGATGAGCAGGTCTCCACAATGCTTCAATCCATCACAGGGCTGCCCTCCCAGGTAACGCCACCTCATAACAACCACTGGGAAATCTTTGCGGATGACCACGGCTACGAGAGCAGGGTATCTCGCCAGAGAGCTGGCAATGATTCGGGCGAAGAGAGGTATTCGACAAATCGAGATGGCGGAAATGCTTATTCGGGCGGATACGACGACACTCGCAACCCAAACAAGACATCACATCCCCGATCATGCTGGTCCGAACATGATGATCCATGGCACTCGCAGTCATGGAGAAAATGGTGCAACGGACCATCTGACTTTTTTGGTCTTGATTCCTTCTTTGACCGCTTCTGGCTTGAGGATCGCTTCTTCCCCTTTGCGTCGCATCTCCTCAATCCCAACCGCAGCTTTTTCCTCCCAGACATGTTTGAGGACACTGGCTCATCGACTTGGCCTATTGCATATATCATGTTCAGTCCATACTCGCCTCTCCACCTTGAGCGCCAAGCACAATATCGCGCATACCGTGAAAAGGGCGTTATGTCGTCGATTATGTCGTCTTTGAGTCTGGATTCTGACCAAGGCTCTTCGGAACCGCAGTGGCGAGATGCCTTCGAAGATTTACTTCGACTTGACAATGGAAAGCCGATGCTTAATCGTGATGTGCCTGTGACCTCGGAGACTGGGAAAGATTGGCTCCAGGGCTTAGTACAGCGCGGAAGCTTGGGTGACCAGTGGAAGTTCGTTCCTGACACACAAGGGCAGCCCTGGTCAGGGATTACTTTCTCTGGTCGTACGCAGCAGGACCGCTCTCTACCCGAGAATGCTGACAAGCCCGTGGATCAGAAGAACCAACAAGAAGCTGAAAGTGAGCTGGATCTCTACGAACGCTTCTTGCACGATATCGAAAATCGCGAGCGTGAATTCTTCCGTGGTTCCTCCGAGAGCCCTCTACTACGTATGCTCCTCCAGGAGCGACGCCAACAGCAAGAAGAACTTGAAAAATACAGACGCGGTGTTTCAAAGGCGGAGGATGAACACAGCAGTGATGATAATGAAAGCTGGCTGGAGCTTGTTTCTGGTGGGAACAAAAAATCTGTTCCTGAAACACCTCCAAACTCCTCTACCGAGTCCCAAACTGTGACCGAGAGCAAGACCGTGAACGAGAAAGTTGAAGCCCCGCAACCAGCGCAGTCTCGTGTCATTTCGACCATGACTCGAACAGAGCGTATTCAACTTCCGGATGGCTCAGTTGAAAGCAAGATTGTCAAAACCAAGCGTTTTGCCGATGGTCGTGAGGAAACCGATGAGTCGGTTGAGGTATCTCATCGTCAGCCGGGAGATTCCAAGTCCGGTGAATCTGGCCAGTCGAAGAGCGGCTGGTTCTGGAAAGACTAGTGGTCAAACAACAAAACTGTCAATGTCACCCATATTGACACCAAAACCTGAAACTACCCGTTTCAATTGCTCATCAGCGTACTTTCTTTCTCATTTCAGGTGTTCCAATTTCTCATTCAATCTGGTTTGCATGGATTTGCGAGGATTTTCAGTTATATGGCGCTTTCTTTAGTTCACTGCACTTATTTTGAGTCACGAGCTCTGTATCTACTGCAGATTCTTTTCTTATATCTTATGGAAATTGCATTATTGTGCTGTACAGCAACCTAACAAATACGAACCACAAAGCGTCTTGAATGAACAGGAAAGCCCATGTCAGCTAGAACTACTCAACCTTGGCAAATTCGACCAATCTCGATATCCAACAATGTCATGACTTATAACTTGCCAATGAAGCAATCCGCCCTCAGGAACCCGACCTGCCAAGCCTCGGCCCAACTCCGCTTCCCCGCCTTCCGCCGCTGATTAATGCGAGTTCGACAGGTTTCCAACATCGGAATATTTCGAACACTTCTTAGAAAACCCTCAATTCTGCCCTCTTTTGATCTGCTTCACAAGCCCTTGAATTTGCGCATCACCAGAATGACCACAACCCCTCAGATCCCCGCCCCGGCCCACACGCTCGCGGATTCCATGTTGTCCCGCCACTTCGGAAGAGAGACGGTGAACTACTTCTCCAGTATGGGATGGGATTTGCCCCGGACAACATATGCGCATTAGTAACACTAACCTAACTAGGCTCTCCGATCAACCGTCTGTCATTCTTGCGCTCTGATCACCCATTCCTCTCAACCGCTTTGAAGCACCCGTCTGCCCGATTCGTCCTCTTGAACAACCTTGCGCCGTTGACTCCGTCGCCTGCGCAGTTGTACTATGCCAAGCATGATGAGGTGCAAAAGCTTGTGCCTAGCGATCTATTCGATGTTTCCGAGGAGGACATGATCAAGAACTATGATTCGCGCAAGACGCATCCCACTTTGGTCTTCCTCGGTTTGGACGAGAGTCTGAAGGAGGGTGGATTGGCGTGGAAGATCTACTCCGGAACACCTTATTTCGCAGTTGATGTTACGCCCAAGGGGTCAGAGGAACAACAAACTGCAGCAAAGGATGTGATCAGTGCTATGGAAGCCAAGGGCTTGTCTTTCTTCCAAGCACGAGTTGTCATGTCCTTCTCAGCCGATGAAGGTACGGCCAAACTCACAGGGACTACTCGAAACTGTGCACCGAAAAGCAAAATCAGAACCAAAGCTAACTGTCGAAATAGCCGCGATCTATGCCCAGGCGCGCGCGCTAATGGACTGGAACACCCGCAACACTTTCTGCGGAACATGCGGACACCCCACGTTAGGCGTGAACGCCGGTACAAAGCGCGCTTGCCCACCAACAGATAAGGCCCTCATGGCCACGGGCAAGACAGAAGAACGACCAGTCTGTAACACGCGCACGACACTGTCGAACCTTTCCTTCCCACGAACCGACCCAACAATCATCGTAGCCGTCGTCTCAGCTGACGGCAAGCGCATCCTCCTTGGTCGTTCGAAGCGCTTCCCGCCAAACTGGTACTCAACTCTAGCGGGCTTTATTGAGCCAGCGGAGTCTGTTGAAGATGCCGTGCGGAGAGAAGTGTGGGAAGAGGCTGGTGTGACTTTGTCGCGGGTTGTTATTCACTCGTCGCAGCCTTGGCCTTATCCTGCTAATTTGATGATTGGCGCTATTGCCCAGGTTAGTGACCCGGCTCACGAGGCTATCTCTCTCCAACATGATCCCGAGTTGGAGGATGCGAAGTGGTTTGAGATTGATGAGGTTGAGGAGGCTTTGAGGGTTGGTACTAGTGATTTGGGAGGCTCGGCTGGACCTGGGTATAAGGAAGGTGGTTTGCGTTTGCCGCCTCCTACTGCTATTGCTAACCAGTTGATTCGGGCTGCTGCCAGTGCGGAGTATTTTGCTGTGGAGAAGCAGGCAAAGATTTAGATTTTGTAGATTTACGATTGGTACATAGACAATAGAGCTGTATAGTGAAAGGATTTATCGTGGGGGTTTTTGGATTTTTGAATTGTTTTTTGTGGTATTGTTGGAGGGATAGTCTGACACTCTCTACCTTAGATCCATTCAAGCCTTGAGTAAATGGCATCCTATGAAACATAGAACTGACAGAGAAACTCATTTCATGGGTTGGAATACACAGTTCCATCCCGCAACTCGTGAATGCTATCACTGCCTCGACTATTCGGAGACCCAACCTCAATGTATCGAGTACCATCCCGCAGCGAATGAATAGTAACACGACCACTCTGTCGTCCTCTGCGAGAGCGTCTCGAACTGCGAGTAGAATCCGGACTTCCGGACTCACTCAATGGCTGAGAAGTAACCGACATTTCACGATCTATGCTTTCTCTCTCAATCGAGGCTTGAAGCTGATGATCTGCAACATGAGCCAATCCCATGTCCGTATACCACCGACGCAAGTCTGCGGCATATTTAGTTTCCTCTGGGCCATATTCAACAGGCGGTCCCTTGATCTGTGCCTCTTGACTTGATCCGTCAAAGACGGCCCAGGCGCTAGTTTCGGCACTTACGATCATCACGGCGTGATTGAAGCTTCGGACTTTGAAGTCCCTTAGTAGAACAGCGTTGCCTTCAACTAATGATGGGAAGGTGGATTTGTAGCGCCGGAAGATTTGAGCTTGGAGAGTCGTTCCAGCCATGGAGGGGTCTGTTAGCTGGATGGTCATGAACCAATCCTTTGAGCCTGTTTTGGCCTTTGCGATTGGGGAGACTTCGTTGACGATTGAGATTGTGTCTACTAAAGCATTGTAGTGATCGATGAGTGTGGCAAGCGGAGCGAAGTAGGAATATTTGCTGCGTAGCCCGGTGGCATTGCGATTGGGATTTGGAAGTGGCGGCTCTGTCGCGAGCTCTTTTGCCATTTCGGGAGCTTCAGTGCTGACGACGACCTCCAAGGGCCGACGATCGTCGGGATGTTCTGTGGCACCGTCGAGACCGTACTTTTCTTTCTGGACATCGTGTACGTTCTCTGGCTCAGGAACTGCTTCAATACTTTCTGGATGGAGTGAACCGGCTGCTCGCATATACGGGAAACCTCTATCGAGTTCCATGGGTTCATCCTGTTCTCCTGTTGGGGATACCTTGGGCTCGCCACGCTGATCAGACAATGCAGATTGTTGAGTAGGGTCTGGGGTTGGAAGTTGTTGCCCGGAAAGAGAAGCCATGACTCCTGGTGCTACAGGCTCAATCTTCGTATCGAGGTCGGTGATCTCAGGAAGTTCGATGGGCTGTTCTTGCGCCAACACTGACTCGGCTGCATCTTCCTCAAGAGAAGGAGACACATGCGAATCAGACGGCCCATCGACATTGAAGAAGGTATCAATCTTGTCGGTGTCGGTGAGTACGACTGAATCTTCCAAATTCTCTTGATCCACGGATATTCCATGATCAATAGCTTCAGACACTTCAGACACACTTGGATGATTATGAGCAGGCTCTTCCACATCAGGCTGCTGGTCCTCATCGGAATCTTGAGCTGCAACCGGTCCTACCTGTGACTCAACGCTAGCTATTGAATCAGAGTCTTCATCTTGCTCATTGTACTCCAACTCTGCCAGCAAAATATCATCCTGTACCAGATCAACCGACGCCATGTCTTGTTCATTTTCTGGAGCATCTTCGTCTCCCGACATTGTATCAAGTGGTGATTCGCTAGCCTTATCGCTGTCATGCACTCGATCATCTTGGTCATCGGATTTATATGTGTTTCTTTCGTCGATCTTCTCATTCTGGTCGCTGTTGGAGGATTCCTCGTCGCTCTCCGCTCTATCAACATCTCGCTGTACATACTGATCAGAACCAGGACTTTGCGAACGGTCGTCTTCGTCAGACACCTGAAAGGTTGAGAGAGCCGGATGTGTAGGCGCAGTTTCATCTTCGCTGTCGCTGTCCAGTACGATTACTTCTTGTGTCTCCGGGCGCGAGGGAAAGGTCTGTTCTTGTTCTGACCCATCGTCGGTGGAATTTTCGACATCGGATTCATCGTCGCTAAACTCCTCTTGTTCTGGTCGCGTACCTAAATGGGGTACATGGTGATCCTCCTCGTCATCGTAGTTGTATTGTGATTCATAATCGTCGGCTTCTTCGTCATACTGCTCTTCTCCCCCAACCACTGCATCTTCTTCCTCATCGTAGTTTTCACTTCGTGGGCGAGGAGGCACATTCAAAGCCTCAATTGAACCATCAACTTCGTCTACACTTTCGAGATCCTCGGGAGGATTTGCAGTAGGTTCAATTCCATCCATTTTATCTGCATCCACGGCAGATAAGGAATGAGGTTGACCACTTGACTGAACCTCATTTTCTAGATCTGACACGGAGTCTTCCTCATTATCAATCTCGCGTTCAGGCTGAGCAGCCTGCACATCGTGTTGAATGTCTCCATCCCCCAGTTGACTATCACGATCCTCCAAGGACAGCAGTTCGTTGGGGTGATCTTGATTTGACTTTTCAGCTTCGTCGGCCTTTCCAATCTCAACGTCACCCTGAGCAATGCTTGGCTCATCGATAATTGACGGAGGATCGGCCGTCCCGGCTTTGAATTCGTTCGGTAGATCTTCTGATTCGTTGGGCAATACCACAATGCCATGAAGGAGAGATTCAGTATCAAGAGCAGGCTCCGTCTGAAGAGACGCAACAGTTGACTCGACCGGTGCCATCACAGATGGATTGAGAGATTCGATGACAGGAGTCTCGTCCGTCACATTAATCTTGTGGATCGCCGGAGTCTCAATAGCTGATTCATGTGGTGATCCAATAATAGTGGTTTCCGGAGAAATCGGACGAATCTCATCGAGTTGGGTAGGCGTAGACCATGATGTGAAATATCCGTTGGAATTGGCGTGGTTTGATACCAGCGGCGAGGGAATTGGAAGCCCAGGGGACGGAATAGGTCGAATTTGTGGTGTGTCGGTCGGAAGATGAACGCCTAGAGGCCCTGGGCCAGGGACATAAACTGATGTCTGAGTGTCTTTGTTGCTTGACTCGGCTGCACGCCTTTCAAGAATGGTATCGGTCAGTTCAAGAGAAGGCTTCGCAAACACCGGCAAGGGCTTCTGGGGTGCATTCTCGGAGTTGAATGGAGGTGCAGCATTTGCCATGGGCTCATCGGAAGGTTGACCGTTCGCATCCTCCGTATCCTCCGCGTCAAGTTCTTGATTTACAGTCTGTTCCCACCAATCCACTGGAACCTCTTTGTCGACTGAGCTCTCAGACTCGTCAATCAGCCGCCAATCCTCCCTTTGCAAGCTGTACCGCGGGCGTTTCCTTCCTTTCCCGGGCACAAAACCATCGTCTTCCGTAAAAAGGTCACGCGACGTATCGATAACTCCTCCATATGAGCTCCACGTAGATCGCATAAATGCCGGTGATCCCCAAGATCCTGTATCAGGCGCTGTATCCAATCCATGCTTGGCTGTTTGGCGAACGGGGGTCGACGGAGGTGCGAAGTCGACAGGAGTTGGCACAGTCGGCTGTGGCTCAACATTGATTGTCAACGGAGGCTGAGAAGATCGGCGGACCTTTGTAGGATTTTGTTAATATCCGAGAGAAGTGGAACAAGAAGAAAGATCCCTTACCTCGAGCAGCACAGCATCTTCAAAGTGTGCATCCCACACGGCAGATCTCCCGGGTGTCTGTGTGACGGCTTCATGGCTAACAAACCTGGAATTTGCCAAAGAAAGATGAACCGTATCCCTTATTCCAACATGCGATTCTGCAATCTCCTGCGCGACGCGTCCATGAAATGTGGCTTTTACTTGTCCGTTCGGTCGTCGTAGGCGGGCATCTGGCTCTGCCAACAAAAGGCTCAGAGACTTGTTCGAGGACGAGTAGGGCCAAATGAGCGTGACAACAGCAACAATGAATTTTTCGCTTGGTTGCGCAAGGTCTGGAGAAAGCTGGGCGATTGGGACCTGTGTCAGATGCGCCAGCGCATTCGGTGCAGATTGTTCGATCGCGTCCATTACGCCGGTTTTGCGCGGCTCTAACTCCATCGGACAGCCATCGAGAACAGCATATGAGATCAAATAAAGATGTAAGTAAGAATGCGAGGGAAAGACAGAGTTGAGGCGGGGGAAGTGCTGAGATCAAAGAAAGCCGGGTGCTTCAGCTTTGTGCTGTGGAAATACAGGTGTATCAGTAGCATGTTACTATGTGTAATTATGGTATTTTTGAAACATAATTACACCGACTGCGATCAATAAAACTGTCTTTCTTTTATTCTTTTAAGCATTGAAAGGGCATATTTCTTTCTATTCAGGTCAATTTAAGTCTTGATTTCAGCTTGTTGAGCTCTCATCGACCCAATTCCCAACTCCAGCTGCTTCGTTCTCTTCTGATCGGTTCCTAAGATGTGGGCACTGAGCTCCACCATGGCGTTACCCTCCCCCTCCACTCCTTTGCTTCATAACATTTACATTCCTACAATTTCTACAACTGCGACTCCTGATACAGAATGTCACTCCCGAATCCCATTCGCAGAGTCGCTGTCATTGGTGCTGGGCCATCAGGCCTGGCTGCAGTCAAGTATGTGGTGTGATATCTCGACCACAGCATAGCATGTTGACCCTCCCAGGTATCTGCTCGCGGAGAACCACTTCGACCAAATCGAGGTCTTCGAACAAAGAAGCTCGGTTGGTGGAGCCTGGAATCACAATAGAAGTTCAACCAAGTCTGGGATGTCAACCACTGTTCCTCATCTGAATCCCCACGAGCCACTCGAAAGTCCGACCTGGATCGATGGACCCGATGGAAAGCGCGAGGCAACATTCGTGTCTCCGCTATACGACCTACTGGAGACCAATATCCCTAGGGAGTTGATGCGTTACTCGGATCAGGACTGGCCATCAGAAGCCCAGCTATTCCCTAAACATCAAACGGTCAAGCAGTACCTGGAGGATTATGCCAAGGATATCACATCACTCATTCAGTTCGAGACTCAGGTTTCAGATGTCAAACTTAAGGATGCCGGTTTAAGCACCTGGGATTTAACAGCAAAGAACCTTATGACAGGCGCTGAAGTCACCCATACTTATGATGCCGTTGTGGTTGCAAGCGGTCATTTCACCATCCCCTATCTACCAGCTTTCTCAGGTATGGAGGCTTGGGATGCATCTTATCCTGGTGTCATCTCCCATTCCAAATTCTACGATTCCCCCGAATCTTTCCGAGACAAAAAGGTAGTTGTGGTCGGAAGCTCTGCTTCAGGTCTTGACATCGGTGCTCAAATCAACAAAGTAAGCAAAGGCAAAGTGATGGTCTCCCAGAAGTCCGAATCATACTTGGCTGCATCTTCGGCAAACAATCAGATTACTTGCCCAGAGATAGTCGAGTTCCTTCCGACGACAACTCACAACAGAGGAATCCAGTTTGCAGATGGCCATATTGAAGAAAGTATCGACGCAATTGTTTTCTGCACTGGCTACTTTTATTCATTCCCTTTCTTGTCTTCGCTCGTGCCACCAGTCGTTACCCACGGATGGCGAACGACGGACATTTATCAGCATTTATTCTATATAGAGCACCCGACGCTTGCCTTCCCAGTTCTTCCGCAACGAGTCATTCCGTTCCCTATGGCAGAGGCCCAGGCTGCTGTTTTCTCTCGTGTATGGTCTGCGCGACTTACACTTCCATCCAAAAAAGCCATGTGTGACTGGGAGGAATCGGAAATACGCACTAAAGGGGATGGGAAAGCATTCCACCTCCTCAACTTCCCCGCGGATGCAGACTATTTGAATTTCCTCCACGACTGGGCGAACAAGGCGACTCTCCGCTCAGGCTTGTCAAATGATGGAAAAGGCAAAATTGGCCCTCGCTGGGGCGAGAAAGAAAGGTGGATGCGAGCACTTTTCCCCGAAATCCGACGAGCTTTTGTACAGAGAGGAGAGGCCAGAGGCCAGATCAGGAGTCTGACAGAGCTCGGGTTCGACTTCGAAGAGTGGAAACGGGAACAAGGTCCCCACTTATGATTAGCGTACAAACTCCACATAGACATAGAGTACACATAGACAGACTTATATTGAGTTGCGGTGCGGAAGGGAAGTTACGAAGTTTGATACAGGTTCGACGTAGTTGGATGTAGCGAATAGTGACGTCGTGACGTTAATAGGTGGGTTCTGTAGGTAGGTGAATGCTGACTTTCCAATATCAACTGAGCCATGAGCCTGGTTCAAAGTGAGAGGTTTCAGTTGAATAATTCACACTAATTCAAGATCAGAGATGGCTCAAAACGACTCTTGTTCACCTTGGACTTACTGTAGAAGAATAAGTAAGTAGAAGCCCCAAACTATAGATGTGATGTAGGGCTACCGATAAGCGCATCACATGACATGATTGTTATCCATCCGCCCGTCGCGCCGTTCGGTTACCCTCTTTCATACCTCGACGGGAAACGTTGGATGTCTCTTGATATTTACACGTAGCCGGGATCAATTCATTTGCTCATTGGAGCCTACCCTAAGTATTGAATCCACATTTCATCGCCCCGTCATGCTATCTCCCAAACACAGGTAGCCCGCACAGGATGCCCCGAGCTCACCCTCCCACTCTCAACAATCGCAACACTACAAGTTCTAGGATACGTGCTGACTCGCCTGGAGCTGGACCTGCAATCACAATTGATAGTAGTGACTGTAGTGAGAGCAGCAAAGCAGAAGACGAGTGGCCTATTAAGAGCATTCTTGAGGAAACCGATACGCAATATCTCATTGATTGGGAGGGACCTTACGAACCAAGTTGGGTGAGTCGCATTACATACTGGAGCTTCAGAAAATTTCTTTCAGCGTTGTGCGCCGGGCTCAGGCCAACTGACGCTTTTCATTATGTAGGAACCCAAAGAGAACGCCAGCGAACCTGCGATTGAGGCCTGGGAGAGGTGGAAAGCGCGCAATACAAGAGGCAGTCCAATTTTCATCTCCTCTGATAGTAGCCGCGACTTGGAAGATTCCAGCAGCAGCTCTAGCAGCTATCATAGTCTCAGTCAAAACCAAGATCAAAGCCCCGAGCAACACGTCAATCAAACCCCCAATCACTGCCGCATTGAGAGTCATATCGCCGCCCAGCTTCAGAGTGAATATTTGAATCATCTCAGCGCAAGTCAGGAGCAAGACTCACAAGTTTCAGCGTCACTTTTTGTGAATCAAGGCAATCTTCCGGAAATACTCGAATCCATCGAAGCTAGGATCCAGCAAAATTCAGTCCCCGCTCTAGCATCGCTCCATTACTCCTTGGACTATTCACAATCACGAAACCGGTCTTCTTCTTTTGAGACAGTATCCGACTACTCTCAGCCCCCTGCGAAGCTCTTGCCAGGCGAGTCTCAGGGAGTAAACCTAGACGATTCGCTACAAAACACCCAAGAGCAGGGAGACTCTACTCACTCCTTGTTCCTCGCGAAGCCCTTGTCAAGCGAGATCGAGGAAGTGGGCGTAAGCAATACGCCCCAAACCACGCAAGAGCAGAGATACTCTACTTCTGGTCAGAGTCCTTTGAGTATTGATCGCAGTGAGCCCCCTCGACCTGTTGCGAGCGCACCGTTGAGCTGGCAATCAGTCAAATCACCAGGCACATTCAAAGGTTTCAAATCCAGCGAAATAGCCGAGACGCCTGCTCACCCACCGTCTGCGATCAGCAATATCTCGTTTGACACTCCCAATCTTCGCAGCACATTGATTTCCCAACCTTTCCCCTCACGCAGTCTGCTTGAAGGTAACCACTCCCCCCGCCGGGGACAATTTCATAATTTGCTTACATCCCACAGAAGTGGAATTTTCCGAACCAAAGTATTTTGGCACGATCCCAGAAACAATATTCCACCCTTCACAGAAAAGAAAACTGAGTGGCGAAACATTTGATCGACCAAGAGCTTCATTTTCGAACATTTTCGCCACACGATTATCAAGCCAAACAATGGACGAAAATGATAACAAATCTCCGCTCGGTGAACTACCAGGGTCCACTCCAAGGGAAAGGATTCGCAACGCCTGGGCACAGCTGAATGCACCCCCTCAATTTGGAGAAACTCAAATGGCTAGTGGTATTGATACTCCATCATCCGTGGGAGATATAGAGGCGTCAATACCAGTGTCCGTCCCTGAAGCAACAGCGCCACTCAGTGTCAGAGCTGAGACAGACCCGTTCTCCCACACCGCAGTTCATCATGCTCATTCTTCTTTGTTGCCGCCGTCAGAGCTAGCTCACAGTCAGCTAGGCCAGCCATCAATGCAGACTATTCATCCAAGTGCGTTGACTGCCACAGGTATGGAAGAGGTCGTGCCAGGATCAGTTTACCTCGGGCCCTCCGAATTTGCTGTGACTCTTCCAATGGATTCTCGAGTAAAGGATGACTATGAAAGGGTGTTGGCAGATGCAGCCTCAAGCATTCGCCGGTTCTTCGTTGGTTTCCAGTCTGATTCTCAAATATCAGCTTCGGAAGTAAGTAAAAGTTTGGTTAGGCATCATTCAGACACCTAACATACATTTTAGCGGCGGAATCTTGAGCAAAAGATGCAGGAGGTTGTAATGCGACTGAACAATGTTTCAACTCATCCAGATCTTAACATTGCAACTCACCTTGCAGACTCTAATACAGACCCTGAGAAGGAGGCATCCTGGGCCGAATACTCTAGTGCCAAATTCCTTTTTCTTGGTCATCTCATGGATACGGTGGAAACACATGAACTTCATGTGATTATCGCGGTACAACATGAGACAACACAGGCAGTTATTGAGCGTTACTTGCTAGGGAAAGGATTCGCATACACCAGACCTCGCGAAGATATGGGCCGCACTCTGGAAGTATCCATGTCAAGAGGGCCACTTAGCTTTGGTATTCATTCCAGTGAGAGTGTGCGCGAACTTTACAAACCACCGTCTGCAATTTTTGCATTCGATGCTTCTTTCAACCCTAAAAGCCCATCTATGCAGCACATCCGAACTACATATGCACGAAACGGAAACTTGCTTCCTGTTATCTGGTTCCTTGTTGCGAACACCAGCGAACACATTCAACGTTGTTTGCCGGATTTGACTGAACCAGAGCGATTACGCTGGCTTGTCCATTACATTGCCCGCTTCCATGACGAAGTCGGAGATCTTCAACATGACGCGCTCGGTATACATGAGAACGCCGAGGAAATTCTCACATATCTTCTTGATGGTGTTGCTGGCTGGCCACTTGCCACTATTGAGCCCTTGGCATTTGTCTCTAAAGAGGAACTAGAGGCGTCGACTCCTTCATCGGGCTCTTCACTTCCACAGCCCCAGAAACGGTCTCTTGTGAGTTTGCCATGTTTCCTTATTCATTCACTACCTAACTCCGCGACAGGACGATGAAGGGGAAGACTACACGTCAAAGCGGGCACGAGTCGATACTCAAGACAACAGTCAATTGACCGAGTCAACTAAACCTCCGAGCCAAACATTGTATCCCGATTTGGAGTCACTGGAGAAGGTGCTCATCCAGACAAAGCACGCACACGCGACAGAGAAGGAGCAGTTACAGGCAGAGCTAGCTCAAGTCCGTGCTCAGGCGAAGGAAATGGAGCAGGCATTCGGCAACTTACAACACCGATTCGAGACTCGGACCGAACAAGTTTACACGATTCGCAAAGAACGCGACTCATTGGTGGCAACCACAGCATCGCTTCAGGGCGCTTTCGACAAGTCGCAGCATCAGGTTCTTGTTCTGAAAGAGGAAAGGAAACAACTTAGACAAGAGCTCCACGAGGCCAGAGAAACAATCAAAGCTGGTGGTGGCAGCGCTGCCGAACTGGAGATGACACGCGAGGAAATGCGTCGTCTTAATGCTGAAAATGAGGACCTCACTCGCAAAGCTTCATACGAAGCAAAGCGATCTGAATACACCAGAGAGCAATACCAAACTGCATCTACAGCGGCAGCTCAATCCGGCAATGAAAGTCGCCTACTGACATCCGAAAACGAGGAACTGAAGCGCAAAGCCGATCTGAACAAGGTCAAACTTCGCGAAATGAACATCAATGACAACGATGCCCGCCATCTTGCGAAAATTGATGAGCTCAATCTGACTCTAGCAGCGCGGGAGGAACTCCTACGCAGAAAGGAAGAGGAGCTTCGTGAAATTCGCAAAAACCGACCATCCACTCGCTCAACCAGCACTCAACCACGAAGCCCTAAAATATCAGCCAGCAGCCGTCCAACTAGCCCCGGTGTTGGCCACAACGGCAATGGTCATAACGGAGGTCTTCCAGGCAGAGGCAGCGCACTACGATTTAGCTCAGAAATGCGATTCTGAAGATGTTTCTCTGGGACCTTCTTTCCCCCTCTCTTTTGCCATCAATTGCTTGTTCGTCCATTTCCTCACGTCGGTGGTCTATGACGTATAGACATCCGATAGACATTCGGAACGTTTTTTTATCTGCAACGATTTTTCAAACATCAGTCTAGCCGAGCCTTTTCCCTTCGTCCGCTCAATGCGACATTGCATCTGCCTGGCGTTTCATTCCTTCATTTTGCTCCATTCATCCATGAGCGATTTTCACTTCGCAAGCCAATTCAGTGTGGAGCGAACCTCAATGCGCTCAGTCTATCTCTTTGCTCTCTAGCCAAGCCAACAATCATATCCAAGTCAAGAATTACATGATATTCTGAATTACATGATATTCTTCAATTCTGAATTGTAGCCATCCCTTTTTCTAGAGCTAATGAATGTACCATTTCACGTAGCCTGTCAAATTTATTGATTATGGAAAAGATATCAGTTATGCCTCAGTCAATTGTCAATCTGGAATTGGATTTGAGCTAATGATTAAAATATATAACCCGAATTATGCGATAAATCCGCAGGGTTATGTAAGTATACACTGGAAAGAAATAAGACAGGAAAGGAAAAAGGTCAGTTTTGTGATGAAGAGCAAAAATGAACAAAGAAAAGAGACACCCATGTCCAAACTCCTACCCAATCGTCGATCAAGATTTAGAAATGCAATTTACCTAGGCAGCCAATGACTTGGCAATGAAAGCAGCCAGTTCCTTGGCCTTCTCGCCGCGAGTCATGGTGAAGTGATTGGCATCCTCCATGACGGTGATACCACCAACATGCTTCGGGCCAACGAGGGTATCCCAACCGTTAGGACCGAGATCGGTACGGTTGTTCAACAGCCAAAGCATCTCACGCGGGTCAGGACTTCCGTCCTCGGCAGGCGCAGGGCGCTGGTCTCCAGGCTTGGAGCAGACTCCGTCTTTAGCCCAGACTAGGAATGTCTTGGGAAGCTTCTTGGCCAGCTCGGCATCCTCGTAGGGGAATGGCTTGGCCTTGTAAGCATCGAGAGAGTCGATGAAGGCAAGGAAGTGGGGAAGCAGCCACTTTGGTGGAGGGGCCTTGCCCTCGCCGAAGAGTCCGATGGTGTCAAAGAAGCTATAAAGACGGCGTGGTAGCTTCTCCAGCCCAATTGGGAAGGGAGAGTCTAAGAGGAGGAGGCGCTCGACTCGCTCGCCCTCTTCGAAGATAAGTTGGCGTGCGGCATCGTAGGCGCAAATTCCGCCGGCGGACCAGCCGCCGAAATTGTATGGTCCTGTTGGTTGGCGGCGACGGATCTCGGCCACGTAGGGAGCTGTCAGCTCATCCAGGCGGAAATTCAGGTTCTCAGGAGTGCGCATGTATGGGCAGTTCAGTCCGTAGACACACACGTCAGGAGAAATTCCGGGGATAGTGGCATAGGATGTGGCAGAGCCAGAGCCATCTGGGAACAAGAACAGCTTCTGGGTTGCCGTCTTGGGATTACCCTGCAGGAGGATCGAGGTCGCTGGCGGGTGCTGGAAGGCAGCGCTAGAGGCAGTGCTGATGCTCGACTTGGGGGCCTGGACCTGGATTTGCTCGGGAAGGAGGATGGCCTCCGCAGCTACAGGCTTAGGCTTCAGGTCGAGAGTTTCTTCGATGTCATCGAGCGTTTGGTTCTCAATGAAGAACTCTCCTGAGAGATCCATGTCAAGATCCTCACGGATCTTACCGAGGACTGTGAGCGACATCAACGAGTCCAGTCCCATCTCGCCAAGGTTAGCATCGCCGTCAAGTTCCGCAGGCTCAACGCCAATCTCCTCAGCCAGGATTGCAGTGATCTGTTTCATGCTGTCGTTCTGCTCAACTGAGCCATGAGTCATGGACTTCTCGTTCGCAGGAGTTGGGAGACCGCTAGAGTTTGGAGAAGAGATATCAGTCGAGGAAGCGGCAGAAGACATGTCTGCGTCGCTGTTTGAATCATCGCTGCTGCTCTCGGCGGGACTCATCTGAGCCAGAAGACGCTTGAAGTCCTTGACAGTCGGATGGTCCACAAAGACAGAAGAGTCAAGATCGATGCCCATGTCCTCGCGATAGCGTCCAGTGACAGTGAGAGAGAGTAAAGAGTCAACTCCGTAGTCAGCGAAGTCGAGATCATCGGTCATCTCAGCTGCCGAGAGTCCGACCTCTTCAGCAAGAATAGAAAGAGCGCGGGCAGTGAGACTAGGTCCCGTAGACTTGGGCGAAGACGCAGTGGCCTTCTTGGCAGGTCCCTTCTTGGCCTTCTGGACGTCGATGGGAGCAGGAGTGCGCTTAGCGGCAGCTGGCTTAGCAGCAGGAGCACCCCCAGGAGGAAGAGCCATGTCGAGAATCTTGCGAGCAAGTGCTTGGAACTAAATCAATTTGTCAATATTATTCAAAAACAAAGAAGGGAGGAAAATCAACATACCTTGACTCCTCCATACACAGCGACGATGTCATCGCCCTCGAAGAGATAGACATCACCAGCCCAGATAGAGTCCTTCCAGGGTTGCATTCGCACATAAGTTCGGTAAGTGACACTGGGGTCAAACTTCTTCAAACAGCGCATGGAGTCCCATCCATGGTTGACAAAGACTTGATTCTTCGAGTCAGTGTTATCGCTGGCGTTCATAATGAAGCCAGAGAGGTGACCAATGCTGTCGATCCAGAATGGGTTGCGGTGGAAGTTGCCAGGGGGCGCCTCAAACTTGACAAGAGCCGTGGCTTCGTGTTGGTCACTGTCAAGTATGACTTCGCGGATGGACTTATAGTTCTCGTCATAGTCGACCAGAGAAGCGAACAGCTTGTAGACCATTCCTCGCTTCATGCGGTGAGCCTGGCCAGAGATGGTGCTCTCCTGGAGATGTTCAATGCTTCTCTTAATCAGGTAGGCGCTGCGACTCCACTCGATGGCAGAAGCGCTGGTGTCAAAGAACTTGATGGTGCAGCTGGCATGATCGAGGATCTTCTTACCCTCGGCAGTGACTGACCAGACTTGCACCTTGGCATGTTCCTCAGCCCAGTTGGCAGTAGCAGAGACTCGGAAGAGCTGCTTGCCACCCTTGGCGATGAGAGGCTTGGGGACTGTTACGTTGCAAACGTCCAGTCCACGGTCTTTCCACTCAGGCTTGTAGTTCTGCACCAGATACTCACCTAGTGTCTGGGCAATATCCGCATACAAGGAAGATGGAGTGAGGCAAGCACCGTTGACCTTGTGGCCCGCAATGACGCGGTTCAACTCAGGATCGGCGATGTCGTTCTCAATGACAATCGTAGCTGATGAAGCGTCACTGGTCGTCTCAAGAACCTTCTGGGCTGCTGTTGTCAAGAAGGTAGAGACCTGAGCAGCCTCCACTACTGGCGTAGCGGGGGCTCCCTTGAGCAGACAGAAGTTATTGGTGTATGGGATCCAGTAATTCTTGAGGTCCCACTTGTACGAAGGCAGTGGAAGGACTTTGTGCCCAGCAGTGAAGTCCTGGTGGTACTCTTTCCAGCGGATATCCACACCTGCAAGGTAAAGTGCAGAAAGACTGTTCGACAGAACCTTCCAGGTATCTTCCTGGCGACGGAGAGAAGCCACAGTGGTTGCCTGAGGGCCGAAGGTCGACTTGACCATTCCGGAGCACACAGTGTGAGAGCCAATCTCAATCCAGAGGGTCTTCTCATTCATCAACTTAGCATGGCGGGTGGCTTCCAAAGCACCTAGGAAGTTGACAGTCTCACGGCAGTGGCGAGTCAAATAGTTGGGACCAAGCACCTCATTGCTGTCACTCTTGATGACATCTCCAAGAAGAGCCGAGACGTAAGGAATGGCTGGTTCGCTGAAGGTGATACCCTTAGCAATCTCAGCAAGGTTCTCGAGGATAGGGTCAACCTGAGCAGAGTGGAAAGCGAAGGGCACCTTCAGCTTGGTTGCCTTGAAGCCTTCATTGCTCAAAGTCTGTGCCAGCACATCGATTTTTTCGCTGGCGCCGCTGATAACAGTCTCACTAGGAGCGTTGATGCAAGCCACTTCCGTCGCGCCATCAAGGAACTGCTTGACCTGTGCCACGGAAGACTTGACAGCAAGCATAGCGTGTGTTCCGACCTGGCATTGCTCAGTGAGGAGCTGAGCCCGGCGACCAGCAAGATAGATGGTATCACTTGTGGTAAGGACACCGGCAGCATTAAGTGCAGCAAACTCACCGAGGCTGTGTCCAAGAACGAAGGCTGGAACAACACCAAGAGCGGTCCAGTACTTGGTCAAGGCCATTTGAATGCAGGTTGTTCCGAGTTGAGTGACAACTGGGCTGTGTTCCTCGATAGGAACGCTTCCATCAATCAAGGACACAATTGATGGGAAGCCCTGACTCTGGCCAATGCGATCAAAGTGCTCGATGTGAGAGCGGAACTCCGAGCAACTTTCAAAGAGCTGACTGCCCATGCCAGTATACTGAGCGCCCTGGCCTGTAAAGATAAACCCGATACCCGGTGCAGTAGCAGGAGACGGGCTGATGCTGTCCCGGTTGACAATTGGAGCCAATGCACCTCGGACATCATCCAATGTAGATCCTGCGACCGCAACTCTGAATGGGTGGTGGAGACGTCTGGCAGTAGTGGTGTAAGAGAGGTTGGCAAGAAGGCTGGCCGGATTGACATCGAACTGGTTTTTGTTTGTGTCAATATACTGCACAAGAGCCGAGATGTTGTTCTTCAGGGCTGACTGAGATCGTGCAGAGACTACCACAAGGTGAGCAGATCGGGAATCCTTCACATTGAACTCATTGAGAGGTCCATCCTCAACCAAGAGAGCAGTGTTACCGCCAGCAGCCGAGAAGTTGTTGACAAAGGTCTTGCGCTTTCCGTCACTGGGTCGATTCCATGCGGTAGGCTCAAGAGCAATGTGAACATTGCGCTGTGGGAAGTCTGTGGGGAAGTTGTGGTTGATCTTGGTCTTGATACCGCAGTGAGGAGGAATCATGTTCTTCCGCATCATCATGAGCACCTTGATCAAGGCGGTGACACCAGAGGCAGACTCTCCGTGACCAACATTGGACTTTGCTGAGCCGAGGTGAAGAGATTGAGCTGGTCCGCGACGGTAATCCGGGGCGAACACGTCGAGAACCGACTGCATCTCAACTGCATCGCCGGCCTGGGTGCCAGTTCCGTGCATCTCGATATAGCTAACGTCCTTAGGGTCGGTGTTTGACTCGTTGAGAAGCTTGTCGAAAATAAACGACTGGGCACCGACGTGAGGCCGAGTGATGGAAACAGCCTCGGCAGAGTGGTTGGTATACGCTCCGTTGATAATACCATAGATGGGATCATTGTCGGCCTGAGCATCCTCAAGTCTCTTCAAGACAATGGAGCCAATTCCGTCAGCTCGGCAGTAGCCATCAGCTCCGTCGTCAAAGGTGGTGCAGTTTCCAGTTCGTGAGAGGAAATGGCCACGGTCGAGACCAGCATGGTTGTCGGGGTTGGTGAGGATATTCACACCACCAGCCACGGCAGAGTCACAGTCGTTCCTCCACAGTGAGTTGCAAGCGACGTGAATCGCTGCAAGACTTGAGGAGCAAGCTGTGTCGACGCTAACACTAGGGCCGCTGAACTTGAAGTAGTAGTTGATACGGCCGGGGGTGAAAGCACGGTTTCCACCAGGAATGAAGTAAGTATCGATATCCTGACCACTGTTGATTTCACGATAGTCGTCACTGGTCATTCCATAGAAGACACCGACTCGGTTCTTTTGTGTAGAGGGAGTGCTGTCAGGAATGAATCCAGCCATCTCAAAGGCCTCATACGCAGTCAGAAGAGCGAGTCTCTGGGCTGGATCGGCCTGGAGAGCCTCACGAGGAGACATGTTAAAGAAACGAGGGTCGAACATTCCCGCCTCGTTGTACCAGCATCCGTACTGAACCTGACTGGTATTTCGTGTCTTTCCTTCCATATCAACATGGGCCTTAACGTCCCATCGCTCGGGGGGAACTTCGCGGTGAACATCCATGCCCTTGTACAAGAGATCCCAGAAGGCCTCGGTATCTGGTGCCTCTGGGAATCTGCCGGAAAGTCCAATAATAGCGATCTTGGACTGATCAGCACGACCAGTGCGATTCTCGGCCTCAGGGTTCTTTTGAACATCGCCGATGGAGCTATCAACCTCAAGGTCGGAGATTCCGGCTTTCTTCAGCGAGCTAAACAGGCTCTGGGTAGCAGTGCTGGAAATTGGAAGCAATGTGCAAGTTGTCGTGGCAGACTCCAATGTCGAAAAGCAGGACTCGATTACCTTGTCCCAGCAAAGCTGACGCTGCAGGATCTCGTCAAGAGCGAACTTCAACAGCTGCTCTAGGCTCTCAGCCACGAGCTCATGGCCAGTCTCACTTGAGAGAACAGGGATTTGAGGCACATAGCTAGCGAACTCTTCTTTGGGCCAAGATTCCATGATACGGTTCACATCCCTGTCATCGTACAAATGAGAGGCATGGTAAGGACCGTGGATTGGAACTCTAATTGGCTTGTGTTCCTTAGAGAGGTTGGTCTCAATGAAACGGCCAAGGAAGGTCGGGGGGCCACTAATTGTCAGGCCGTTTTGGCTGACAGCACTAATGTAAGGCTGAGACACACGGGGCAAGGCCTTCAGATCGTTAGTTATTCCGAATGATTGATGACTATTTGGGGCGTTTCTGAGAAATACTTACAGTTGTCTTCGCAAACTGTTCAATTAGAATTTCAGCCTCAGGCTTGCGCATGCCAGAAACCAGGACAGACCAGCTTGATGCTAGTGACTTGTTTGACTCGACAAGATCCTGAACTTTCAGGACACAGATACCGAGCCTCAAAGCAAGGACCACGGTCTCAACACCAACTGGGATAAGCTCTCCAACGGTTCTCGAAGAGCTGACAGCTGCCGATGCGAGTTGACCAGTGCAGAGACCAACGATGAAGGTCTCATCACCAGATGGGTAGGCATGGCCCAAATCGCCATAGTAACTAAGAAGCCGTTAGTCTGGTTGTTTGACATGAGTAAGGATTGAGAGCCCTACTGGATGAAGCTGCCCAGTTGATGAATAGTCGTCAATGCGCTTTCCAAGGCCGCGTTTGGTCCAAACTCTTTGTATCTAGCGAGAAGATCAACAACGCTGGTGAAGCGAGGGAACTTCTGTCGCTCGGATGGAGGCAGTGCGGTAACTTCCTTGCGCAAGGCATAGTAGCACTTTTGGAAAAAGGCCGACAGCAATGAGTCATTCTTAGCATGCAACAGGCGTCGGAGCCCCGTCTCAAAATCCGCAGTCTGGTCTCCGAAGAGATACACGCGACTGGGACTGTCCATGATCAAGCCCGGTGCCTAATCACTTGTTCGAAACTCTACAACAAAAGAAGAAAGGTTCAAGTCAGGCGCGGATCGACAGGATTGATACTTTATATAAGGATATGGTTTCTTCTTCCTTGTGGGTCAGAACCAATGGTAAGGCATCATGAGCCTACTATCTTGGCATCTTTAAGGAAACGTGAAAAGTCTTCGTTCCCTGTTTTTCCACTGATCTATGGTACAATTTCAGTGACCAAACTTAGGGTAAATTATCAGCCAACAGCAAACCCCGAAGAGAACTTTGTGATTCTGTAGTACTCCGGCCCATCGGTGGAGGGTTTAACCAATGGCACCGTTACGGTAGTGAACCCATGCTGTCTGCGAGGCTGCAGTATTCTTGGTTTGGAGAATGCGAAGAAAGGATGGATGTGGAGTAGTCTGACAGCTTCGTTCCCTGGAAATTCCAACCTATGGCATACATTCGTCGAAGTACCGGCAAACCGACGTGATGTCCCGGTTCGCCGAATGCTGCTTGCGGATAAGACAGCTATCTGTTGAGGGGCCAGAACCGAATCGAGGCCTACTTGGGCCATTCATGACATACTTATTGGAATAAAGAGTAATGATTGACGGATGATTCCCGCAAAGAAATTGCAACTGAACAGTAAATGTCGCCGCTTTCAGAAGGTTACAGCCGTTACTTCCATTGGGTCACGTGATAGTTTTGCCCTATGTGTCTCGACCTCTGGTGTATCTATGGGTCAACGGAACTTTCATATAATGCACAAAAACCCGGTAGAAGGTCCCAGATATATTGCTTTTGTCTTAAGCTTCAGGAACTACAGGGGCAATACTTCAAATGAAGGCACCCCAAGGAACGCATTGTACACCAACAAGAAAGATTTTGGAGATACATAGGCCGATCATCGATCGATCGGAATGCAGTACAAAGTTTACTTGGCAAGAGGCTCTCATATCCTTGGCAATTTCTAATGTTAGATCATCGCAAGACACGCTTGTAATATAATCCATACGTCATGACTCGCGTTGATATCAGATTTTCTGAGACATTGAACGCCCTTTTGCCAAACTACGTACAAATATGGATTGAGTTCAGTACTTTTCACAAGGTGACCTCTGACAATTGAAAAGTACAACACCGTTGAAGTTTGTTGAATGAGACAGGAGGTCAAATGACATGTACGGGTGTATGGTCTGTAGAAAGAAGAAAAAAATAACGCAAGACCAACCCATGATTTTCTTTCTTTCTGTAAAGTCGTAAGACTCTCTTCAAAGAGATAATTATATACACATATATATCTCTCTCTCTCTTTATTCCGGTTTCCCTGCAAGAAAATATAGCAAGTAACACTCAGCACGCGGGCCCATAGTCGATCTCGCGGTGGTCAGGTTGGTAGAGCTGGTGGGGCAATATTGGCGACGGACCGAGCCTGCATTCTGATGACCGGAAACAGACTGTGATTTGGGGGAAATAAAATGATAGATATAGAACACATTGAATGCTATCATAGCCGGAATGACCGCTAGCTCTATGTGAGATACACTACAGTGCTTCATAAATTCTCAAAATATGAGTAAAAGAAGGATTTTGGAGATACATATGCCGATCATCGATCGTGATGGAGTACAAAGTAGGAGAACTAAAATTGTGACAAGCCTCCCAGACCCGGCTCACGGGTAGATTGGGTCGTTGTTTTACACCAACTGGCATAGTAGGTGTACCAAAGTGCCTAACCTCGGGTGTAGGAGGTCACTTAGATCTTCCACCAGGAATTGGCATGTTAGAGCGAGACTTGAAGCACGGGCAGCTTTGACCAGAAATTTCTTCATTTAAACTCTGTCACTGTTCATTACCAATGAATCAAACCTAGGCTACATGCTCTTGGTCTTCTCCAGTCGGAATCTGGGGCCATGCATCAACGACATGAAGTATGGCTACTGTCATACGGTTGGACATGTGTAGCCCAATGTGGCAGTGGAAGAGGAAGGGGCCTGTATTAACAACCCCGTACCGCACAATCACTCAAACTGGCCCTGTAGGGCCATGGGTGACAAAATCATCTCTCATCTTTGGGTTCTCCATCTGGAAGAACTTCGGGTGCTCAGCGTAAGCCTCATCAGATCACAGAGTGTTTCGCTGCTCAATGTGATGGAAGTGAACCGTGGTGTTGCAAGGCAGATTTTTATGCAAAACAACCAACAATAGATAATTATAATAACTTGGTATAAGAATCTTCTCAAAATTTACTTCAACGTCGTTACCCTGGTCTGTTCGAAGCTCAGGTCCGGGAAATTCTTCACTTATAAAAATCATCTTGGGCGTATCAGGTGCACCCTCTTGCCGTGTGAGATCAAGGTCAATGTAAATCTGCTTTGCCCAGGTAGAATGCTGAGGCCCAACGGTGATTAATGCCACAAGAGCATTTGATAGTACAAGGTTTAAGGCACTTCAGAAATATATATATTGACCTTCACAAAATATCTGACATTATCCAATGGTATTATTCGTCGATAATGGGCTCGTCAACCTGCAAATTACATTGAAATCGGAAAAGCCCGAGAGTTGTTTAGGTACTAATCATTACGTTTATTGAGGAGTATCTAGCCCGACATCCTAAGTCTGGCCCACACGGAGAAGCATGCAATGTCCGCAAACATGTTTGCATTTCTGGCAAAACTATGGAAAATGTATCCTGTTGACACATTTGCATGATTGGCAGAGAGTCAAGATAGTGGAATGTCCAGGAGGTTGGAAAAGTCCGCACTGAAAACAATTTTCCGTTTCCGAGTGTCTTCGGTCCGAGAAGCTCGGAGCTCGAACAGAGTCATGCTGACAGACTGCGTACTGCAAGCTCGATAGATCTAGTGTTGCGTAAGAATACAGTGATAATCTGCAAAAGGAACAATCAAGATTTATCCGAACAGGGAGCTTTATGTTGGTGGCTGGAAAACTTGAACCACTCGCTGGAATGTGGCGGTTGCCCGACTGACACCTTGGTATGAGATAGCATGGACCGACAGGCTCTGAAGTATGTGAGAATCTCATGCGACTTTGAAGTTATTGGGTATGTTTCTGATTCCAGTACGCAAGCTGAAAATATGATGTAAACTGTTGAGATGGCTGCCAGCCAAGATCAGATCTAGTCGGGCCTTGTACGTCAATCCAAATTTGACCGCCAGCCTCAATCCAGAGAGGGAAGATAGGGAGTGTAGAGTGCAGTAGGGAAAATTGACTGGGGGCTTAGTGCCCTGAAATTTCTTGAATCAAGGCTTGGGTGGTAACCTCTGTTCCTCGAATATGTGACATATTAAGTAGGTCCAGCTTAAGATGTGCTCTGATAGACCGGATTCCACAGCCAAGACAATTCCCAGATCCAAGGAAGATCTTGATTGACAAAAAAATGCCCGCTATTTTGGTTGCACATAGTCTGGCAGAGATTCAACTTTTGGCTCGCGCCATAGGGGAAAAAAGGGGAAAATGTGAATTTGAAGGTACACCGCTTCATAGATAGCCCATCATTTGGGACCAACCTAGAGAGCTGTGCAAACTTAAAGTGTATCGCTTCTTCTCCGAGGTATGAACCAAAAAGGGAGGGGATGCGGGGGTTGCTAGGGCACAGGCGATTACGGCACGCCGATCTGAGCTCCACACGATGACACCGTGTGTTTTGTCGTATGCTGGCGTAGACCGATACCATTTGTGACTAGATCGGACGTCAAGGGGCATATCAGATGTCAATATGTCCTTCATTTCACCAACTGGGAAGTCTTGAGATAATATAGTTGCCCACCCACGGTTTGTGTCCCTTCTCAACCATGGATCGAGGGCGGCTCGATTCCCCCGGGTTGGTCAGCAACAAAGCACACCTGGGCACACCTTAGGCTGCTCTTCAGGCTAGTGTTTAAGCTCTTTTTCAGACGCCACAGAAACAACATGTTCCTCGCGTAATATATCAACTGATGGATCAGCTTGACGGCCGTACTTTTCTCCCATTCCAGAGGCTGATGAGTAGAAAACCCCAATTACATAAGTCGATTAAGCTTATCGATAAGACCTCCCTCTCCCGATCGGGCCTAGCGGACCACCACCACAACGTAAACAACCTGAACTACCCCAGTAAACAATTGGGCCTGACCGACTCCTTCCACACCCCGACTCTGTCTCCCAGCACATTGGCATTGGGCAGTCAATGAGCCCCCTCTAATCCCCGATTACCATTCTCCCATGCAATGCTGATTGACTGAGCGACCGTTGCTACCTAGCTATCCCTGCGACCGTGCGTTTACCCTGCGACCCCATCTCAGCTGGGAAGCTGTGTTGGTACCAACCACGCAACACCTAGATTTGATACATCCACTGCCGACCGTGACCTAAACATACAATTCTCGAAACTGCGCCACGGTATAAAAGTGCTGATTGGGTTAAATTCGTGTGTTGCGACCACACGTTGTCTCAGTGAACGTGATGGCTCAGCTGCCAGCGAAGTTCCCATGCTGGTGCCGAGCAGTATACTCTTGGGGCGGAGAGACAAACCGAGATTTGGGATTTGTAGAGGGAGATCTGATCGAATGTTTGAATGCCGGGGATGGACAATGGTGGATGGGTCGGTTGCGCCGAGACAGGCGCGCAGTGGGACTGTTCCCATCCAACTTTGTTGAGCTTCTGAGTGAAGACTTTGTACCTGTGAGCCGGGATACCAGTCCTATGGTTCTAGCGGGATCCTCGCCGGTCAACAATCCTACATTTGCACCCAAGAAGCAGAAAACCGTGTGGCGCAAGCCTTTCCAGGCGCACAAGGAAGCTGTATCACCATCTGCCAAACTAGCTACTGGCCCACTTGGATCTAGCCCAGCACCTTCGATCCCTCAAACTCCACCTCGAGATGGCAGTGTTCCACGCAGCACAAAGCCATTGCGCACCCACGCGTCGGCGGTCAAGAACCAGGGCTCAGTATCCCGTCCCACATCGTCTGCATCGCGACCATCATCGCGCGGCGCATCGCCACGCTCCTCGGTGGAGCCAGAGCGCTCACCATCTGCTATCATGCCACGAGGAAGTGTTTCATCCTCTCGGCCTTCGTCCCGTGAACCATCGCCATTCCAAGTACAGGAACGCCCGTCATCGATGATGCCGAAGAGCAGTGTCTCATCTTCTCGCCCTGTAATGTCTCGGGAACCATCTCCATTACCGGCGCAGGACTACTCATCAGCAATTGTGCCTCGTGGCAGTATCTCATCCTACCGACATTCATCGCGAGAGCCATCTCCATTACAACAACATGAATACTCATCTTCGATAGTTCCTCAAGGCAGCATGTCTTCTTACCGACATGCGTCCCGCGAGCCGTCTCCCTTGCAAATACAAGAACATGCATCCGCAATGGTACCATATGGCAGTGCTTCATCATACCATCATGCATCTCGCGAACCATCCCCCTTACAGATGCAAGAGTACTCGACTGCAATGGTTCCACAGGGCAGCATGTCATCTTACCGGCATTCATCCCGTGCGCCATCTCCGTTACAGATGCAAGAGGATCGAGAAGACTCACCTCCTCCTCCACCTCCCCCGCCGCACCGTGTTGCGATCAGTCGCGCGGCATCCAATTCTCCACAGCCGTCAATGCATCCGGACCAGTATCGAGCCCAGTCGCCCCAGCCACCCATGCACGCTCAACAGTATCGTGCTCATTCTCCTCAGCCACCGATACATTCTGATCAGTACCGGGCGCGTTCTCCTCAGCCACCAATGCATGCATCGCAGCACCGCGCGCATTCTCCTCAACCGCCATCCCACGCTCCTCGCCCTTCACGTTCTCCTGCACCTCTGGATATGAACGATCGTTATGTAATATTCAATCGTACTCCATCTCCATCGGCAGCTTCCGCCCACTCCGCAATGTCGGAACATTCAGCACAGTCCGATTTGCATGGAAACACACCATCCCCATTACGGGATGCCATGGAAGATGTCATGACTTCATTGGAAGATATGGGCCTACCCCGCGACGCTGCATCGCCTTCTCCAACACCAACATTTAATGACCCATGGGCACCAGAAAACTTCGATACGTCAAATGAAAGGACCCCACAAGGCAACAAACGTCGTCCATTGACATCAATGGGCTTTGATGGAGACAAAGATCAACATCAAGGGGGCCTCGTTCATAGAAACAGCGTCTACGGCAATGACCATTATATGGATGGTCCTCCGCAGTTGAACAATTATGTCCAAAGAATGGAGAGCCGTCTTCGCCAACTGGAGGACCAGAACCGACAGCCCGAGGATGATAAGAGTACTGCTGGGGTTGATGACGGACCCCCTCCACCGCCTCCAAAGCATGCTACCTATCATCCACGTAACAATTCAATTGCAGGACAGTTCCCTCACCTCAAGTCTCGCAGGTCTGGCCAAGATCTCCGGGGAGACATCCTTAACAGATCATTCACGAACAAGTCTAGCGCGACCAATTCTTCCAGCGGCAATCAGAGCAATGGCACATCGATGACCAATAGTACGGACAAGACCAGCCAAAGCCTCATGAGCGGATTCTCTGCAGGGGGCTTCAGTGCCACGAGTGCGGGTAGTTTTGCCAGACGAGGCGGCCACGAACGGCCAAACACCGCGATGGACACTGTGCGCTCTCGTGGTTTCAGCGATGCCCGTCCAGAGACCCCTTTCACCGGTGTATCCTATCACTCTAGCCATAACTCATCTCGACAGGGTGCATCCTCTGCTATTCCTTGGTCATCAACTGGTCTCGACACAACTGATCACAGCGGGGTGTTTGGTGGACTCTCAACACCAAAGACGAAAAAGCAAGGCTTCTTCAAGAAAATCTTTGAGACAGCCAAGACCGGTGCTGCCAGTGCAAGGAGCAGCATTTCTGCCCATGGCGACAGATCACAATCTCAATCTCCGACCAAAAGCAATAGAGGAATTGACGTGGTATCACCTATGCTCACATCCTATGGAAACCGTGATAGTGCCCGTGATATGGGACTTGGCAGCGCCAGTACCATTGACTGGGTTCAAGTGCGACGGGATGTTAACCGAGCATCCTCTCCCAGCCGCAACGAGAGAGTTGAAAGGGCAGAACGCTGTCAGATGCACGATCATCCTGTGATCTACGCTGTGGAGGAGCTTTACGATACCGCAGAGGGAGATGAGAGCATTGACGGCCAACCAATCAGCGAACCTATCAATTTCAATGCGGCAAACCTGAACCTTGTTGACAAAAGTGCAAGGTTTATCAGTAGTCTTCCGCCAACGACAAATCCCATGAGTCTTGCACAAGCCTATATTTGTCGACCATACAAAAGTGACGTTCAACGCCTACGCGCCATCTTTACCTGGGTCAGCGAGAAGATTGCTTGGGAGGAACCGGCTGATGGCCTCGAAGTCGACATGAAGAGACTACTACAGGCCAAGCGAGGCACCCCGGAGGAAATTGCTCTTCTAGTGCATGAGATGTGTGCAGCTGTTGGTTTGCATACAGAAATCATCCGAGGATTCCTCAAGTGCCCTGGCGATGTTCTTGATCTCGAAAGCCTCTCCCGTCCCAATCACTGGTGGAACGCAGTCCTTGTCGACGGCGAATGGCGCTTCATTGATTCCGCGCTGGCTAACCCCACAAATCCCCAGCGGAGCCGTTTTGTCTCTAACAACTCCGCCGTGGCAGAGAGCTGGTACTTCCTGACACGCCCGCTCGACCTTTGCTATACCCACGTCCCGCTCTACCCAGAAGAACAGCACATTTGCCCACCAATCTCACCTGACGTCCTCCTCGCTCTGCCCTCTGTCTGCCCGCAATATTTCAAAATGGGTGTTCAGCTACCAGACTATGACACGAGCTTACTTCGCATAGAAGGCTTAGAAGTAATGCAGCTACGGCTTTTGGTCCCTACAGACGTGGAGTGTGCTGCGGAAGTTGAAGCTCCAGCTTTCGCTCGCGACGCAGATGGTGACTTCTTTGAAAGCGGAGACGTCGTACGCAAGCGTGCTCTCGTCCAGCCAGATTGGATCCACGGCCAAAAACGTATCACCATCAAGGCCGTCCTCCCCGGAGATGAGGGACAGGGTGTGTTGAAAGTTTACGCAGGAAAGAAGGGTCTGATGCACTCAAGCAAAGACATTCCCCATCCCCTGGCTTTCGCTCTCCCAATGACCCACACTGGAGAGAACCCGTCGTACGACTTCGTCCTGCGCCACCCAACACCACATGCTCAGCGTCACGACTTGTACATTATGCAACCGCAATGCTCTCGTCTAGCAGTCAACAACACCTTCGTCTTCGCCGTGCGCCAGCATCCATCATCTGCAACACCAGCCAAGGACGAACCATCCTCCAACGGCCGTGGCTCGCCATCATCCGTCTTCACCCGTCCATCTAGCGCATTGAGCATGGTCTCCAGCAATGCAGGTGGCTCCACTGTTTCGGGCGCTTCATATGAGTTCTCGGCATCAACTTCTGCAATCTCATCCACAAAGTCTGCCTCTGGACGGGACAAGCCTGCTAAACTCGCCATTCAATCTCCCTCCGGCAAGATCCTCCGTCTTACTCGGAAGGCAGAGCATATGATCAGCAGCGATAGTGGCACCGAATCGGTCACCCATGCCGCCGCTGAAGGAAGCGTGTGGGAAACAGTTATCAAAATCGGGGAACGGGGTATGTGGCGTGGTCTGGTGCTCGCTGACCGCGCCGCGCGGTGGTGTGTATTCTGCGAGTGGGAATGTGTTTAATGTACTACATGGATGGTATGGGCGTTTGTTGATTCACTAGATCTCCCAAAGGCGGCTGCATTGCTTTTATTTCCCTTCCTTCCTTTGCTTTCATTGCTCGTTTTGTTCCGCGTTCTATACGCCTGCATATCTTCGACACTTTTTTCTATTCATCTCGTGTGTGATCTTGTCCTTCTTCCATACTGACATTGCATCTGGTCGGCTTCAAGCATTGCGTATATTGTGCATTACCTTTTCTTTTGTTCCCCTTGTCATTTGCAGATATCTGGATATTGGTGTTTCAGAGTTCGCATTCATAGGAGTTCTGAGCAATTCAATTCTGCATGTTCAATCTCGGTACCCCGTGCATTGTATTTCTATCATATAGAATCCATAGTAATTCCTTTATAACTTAGATACTGCAGTCCGTAGCAGTGGCGCAACCTGCTTTCTACTGCCAGCGGCATTCTTCTGAATCCACAACCTTCTCCAAAAGGGTGTATCTGATCCATTGAGAGCAGAACCTATATCCTCCTGCCCGGAGATATGCTCGTTATCTAACGGCGACCAATCCACAAGCTCGAGCTGAGAGGTTGTCTGCTCCACAAAAGCCTTGACGCCATCAAGTGCACACTGATTCTCACGAATCACGCAGACAAACAGCTCGCGACAAAACGAGCCATCAGCAGCAGTAAATGCCGTCATAACGACAACAACATCTAGCTCTTTCTGTGTTGAAGCAAAAGCGTGTATAGCATCCAGGAATTTCTCCGGTGTCCCCGATTTCTGCACAATCCACCGAATAGGCTTAACGGAAGAGCAGAAGCCCATCTTCACATTTTCGCCAGAAGACTGGGACGTCTCACTCCAGTCCTTATAATCACGATCAAGAACTTCATTCAGATTCAAGAGATCAAGACTGTTCTGTTTAGCATTCAGAACATCATTGTAGAAAGATTCTAGATCCCATTTATCCCCAGAAGCTTCGGATGCTTCCAATCCTCCCCTGATCTGTGAGTGCAGGGTCTTGACTGCCTTGCAGTCAACATCAGTGACCTTACCCTCGGCAGTTAGATTCGATGTATCGATCAATACCGCCGAGAGAGCGAGCTTTGCTACTTGTGCCATTTCTTCTAAGAAGGCTTGCTCGCCACCCATAAGCGTCCGGCTCTGTAATTCTCTCGTAATAAGGGAGGCACAGGAACCAGGACCGGGTTGGATGATCAGAGGCTGGTTCTCCGGTAGAGACTCAGCGCCTGGCATGAATTTCTCATCGACGTGGTGGTCGATGCATCCCACAGTTCGGAAGGTGACACCTGGCAAACCGGAGAGTGAGCCATATCCCTTGTCTGTGTTGGAAGGAACAGGCAAGGCGTTCCAATCAACCAGGGTTACATCAGCGAGGAGCTGCTCAAGGATGTTCTGCTCTTTCATATCCTGGGCGAAGTCTGCAACTGTCACGACATGTTCGCGAAGAAGATTTCCCGCCGAGTCCTGGGTATTCTCAAACTGCTCCTCGGTCTTCAATACGGGGAAATTAGTCGAAAGCCATAATGCAGTAGCAAATTCCGGTCGTAGCCGGTACAGTTCTGGTCCTGCAGGCACATTGGGAAGATTGAGAAGTGGAATGTGCGGCCGCGGGGCTTTGAGGGGGAGGCGGTTGTTCGCGCAGAAAGAATAAACAATCGCTGAAACAATCGAGTCCAGATCAGCAGAAGGATTGCCGATGACATAGATTGGAGACTCGGATACAGCCCCCGAAAGGAACTGGCGGTGCAGCTGGCGAGCCTGTCGAAGGAAGAAGAGGAGAGACATTGTTGAGAAAAAAGATCTGATCCGCAACGTCATGGTCCAGCACGTGCGGAGTCGACCGTCTCCAACTCGACTCCAACTCGTCTTCGACTTCACCTTCATCCCTCGTTCACGTCCCTTCGCTGCACAATGAGAAGCGCAATGGCAATTTCGCTCCCAGAAAGCTTCTCGCAAATCCCCCGCCATGCAATTCTCTACCAAACCCCATCCCCAATCCACCCTCTACCCACATTATCAATATCAACCCCAAAAACATCCCCCCGCATATCCCTCTTCGCCAAACGCGACGATCACTCCTCCCCACTAGCATGCGCAGGAAACAAATACCGCAAATTAGAATACATAGTCCCCGATATCCTCTCCAACAACCCCATCCACCACGCCCACGAGAACAACCCAAACCCAAGCCCCCCCCTCGCAGGCCCAGCAACAACGCTCGTAACAGAGGGCGCAATCCAAAGCAACCACACAGTACAAGTCGCAGCCCTAGCACGGAAACTGGGTCTCAGAGCCGTGGTTCTCTTACACCGTGGTACGGGCGGTGGATTGCGCGCTGCTGCTGATAAAGAGGCTTATCTGCGCTCGGGAAACGTACAGATCAATCATCTTCTCGGGGCTGACGTGCGGGTGTGTGAGAGCGGGGACGCGCTGGCGCGTGATGCGACACCGTTGCTAGAGGAGTTAATGGCTGACGGGGAGAGACCGTATTGGATTCCTGGGGGTGCGAGTTTGCATCCGCTCGGAGGATTGGGATATGCGCGAGCGGCATTTGAGATTGCATTGCAAGAGCAAGAGATAGAGCTTTCTGGAAGCGGCAGGTTTGATTATGTTTTTGTTGCTTGTGGGAGTGGGAGTACGGTTGGGGGGTTGGTTGCTGGGTTTCACTTGTTGGAGAAGATGGGAGGGGGCTCACGGAGAGTTATTGGGGTTTTGAATTCACCAACGATGCCGAGGAAGTATCATGAGGAGAGGGTGCTGGCTTTTGCTCGGAAAGCTGGGAGGATGATCGGGGTTGCGGAGGGAGATATTGGGATGGATGAGGTGCGGCTTGATGATCGGTTTGTTGGGAGTGGGTATGGTATTCTTGATGCCGATGCGAAGGAAGCGTTGGAGTCCATGGCTAGGACAGAAGGCATGATACTGGACCCAGTGTATACGGCCAAGGTTGCGAGGGGAATGATGCATTGGGCCAAAGAAAGAGAGGTTGTGAATATGGAACAGCCCTCGGATGAAGTGAATGTTTTGTTCATTCATACCGGTGGGCAAACTGCTTTGGGAGCCTATGCAGATATCAAATAAGCCGGAAAGCGAATGAAACTCAATAAAATTGGCTGGATTCAACTAGTATTACAGTGAAAGTTGGCAGCAGCAAAAACAGTAACTCGTGACAGACGTAGTCTTGGTGGTATGAAATGCAGAAACAAAAGCAGGAAAGCATTCGCTGAAAAACACCTCCCGGACTCGCCAGATCCATCTCTTGTAGTACACCCTTTTCGAGAATTGATAACAAACGAAGCATAGAAAAGGGGAGCCAGAAAGAGAGAAGAAAAGAAAAAGCCAATAGAAAAACAGTAAGGACCTGAGGGGCATGGTCGAGTTTTAGAAAAGAAAAGATTCCACCGAAAACACATTCAAGCAAAGTATGATTATAGCTCCGAGTCATCGAGGGTGTCATTGGTGCCTTCGTGTTTGAGTTCATGATGTTCACCGGATTGAACAGGTTCCTCATGAACTGAGCCAGCACGACTGCTGCCATTATCGGCTACCAGAGCCTCGAGGGCCTCGTTCGCATGAGTATTCTCCATAGATTGTCCCTCGGCTTCAGGGTCGACATCTTCTTGATTGGTCAGATCTGCAAACACGTCATCCAAATTCTGGCGAGGACTGCTGCTTGCGAATTGAGGTTCACGGCCGAAACGTGGAGGGCTGAACAGTGATGTTTCCATTCCTTGTTGGGGCGAGGGAGAACGAGGGAGAAATGAAGGAGATTGAGAGGCGACGGCGTGAGGGAGGAAAGCGGAGGAGGATGTGGGCGCAAAAGCGGGTGTGGAGTCACTGACAGGCAGAGAGTAGTTTGCGGAGAAAGGATATGAGGCAGTGTTGGGGTCAGACATCGGCGTCAATGTTGGACCCGTGCTTGGAGGCTGGGTACCACTGGAAGTGACAGGGGCTGGCTGCAAAGATGTAGGACGAGCAGACTGTGATTGAGCGTCCACCGACTTCCGCTTGGTGACACCGATATGCTTGGGCCGAAGATGCTCTGGAAGATCTTCGGGGCGATCCACGCCAAGTTGGGCCATCATCTTCTGCTGCTTGGTAGGACGTGGCTTCCGAGTTGACAAGGATTGTTCCAGAATCGGGGGAGGCTCCGGGGCAACCGGTGCCCACTTATGAATTTCCTGTCGGAAGAAGTTGGTCTCGAAGGTGAGAAGAACTTCAGCACCTTCAATTTTTCGTAGGTAGAATATCAAGGTAGGCACTTCCTCGGTTGTGGTGCACGCAGCATTCGTGAAGCCATGCAAGAAATCGCGGAACGCAGTGGCCTGGTTAATGATGTTCTCAAGCACTTCTTCCTCTTCGGGCTGAAAAGGGAGAGTTGCGATCTCTGCATGCCAGTCCTGAAGGTCCTCAAGCTTTGGACGAGCTGCATCACGTGGAATCTTTTGTCGCCAATCGCAGATCGGGCATGTGTACTTGTCGAATTCTTTGACTTTGCCTCTAGCAATCTTCAAACATTTTCCGTGGTACCTATGCGCTGTAAGTATTCTGAATACCAATCCCTAATGCTTTGTCGACTTACCATTCATGACAGACTTCACATTCAATCATCATGCCTGCCTCGGAGTGTCTGCAGATACAGAACACATCCCTCTTTCTTGACTTAGGGCCCCACACATTGGGCGCGCTGTTGGTATTTTCAAGTAACCCTTCGGGGGAGTTATCCCGAGAAGAAGGCTCAACTGGCGGACGATAACTGTCTTCAAGATCGAAGCAGAATGAATTCCGCTTAGCGACATACTCCATGTGGGACCGCAAGATGTGCAAAGGAGCGTTTGCCTTGCCAAACAGCTTCTTGCCCTTCCTCATCCAGTCTTCGTGTCGCTTTTGCTCCCTCTCTAGGTCAATTGCGCCGATAGGCCGACTGGTCAAATGCTCAAGAGATTCCATCAGGTCTCGGATGTCCTTATACTTTGGTCGGTTCTTCAGCTCGGGATCCTTGCTCTTCTCGTAGAGAGTTTGGATCCGCTTCTGCGCCTCACGTTGTTTGGTCAATATAGCATCCACAGCGGTGAGAGTATCGGGCGACACAGGGAAGCGAGAGGCCTGCGCAGAGAGAGCTTCTAATTGCTGATAGTGGACAGCTTCAACCGACATCAATTCCTTGGCCTTGTTCTCCCACGCATCGCCGAGACGAGTGAGTTCCTTGAAATGGAGCAAGTGCTCATTAGTCTCAGCGAGGCCTACTTGTTCAGCAGAAGCCACAAGGTCTCGGCAATTCTGAAGGGTCAAGTACTGATCGCGCTTGCGGGAAGCTTCATCGGTCCATTTGATCTGTCGGGAGACTTGCTCCAGGTGTTCCAGTTCCGGGATTTCCACGTTGAAGTTTCGGCCGGATTCTATCATCTCCTCGATTTCCTGGATCGGTCGGGTATGCGGGTTGACAAGGGCAGCATTAATATCCTGGCGGAATTTCTCGATTTCGCGGGTCTTCTCTTCCAACGCCGCCATCTGTGGACAGTCGAACGAAAGTTTATCAGCCTCTGCCAGAAGGGCGTAGATGTGTTCCACTCTGCGGACTTCACGGTCGCGATCGTCCAGCTGCGCCGCCTTGGTACTGGCCCTGCGCCATGCCTTTTCGTTTTTTCTCCGGTTTTGTTGTTTCCGGGTAATGTAGTTGTTGGCTTCTTCCACCCATTTATCGCAACGCTGGACGAAGGCCGCAAGATCTTGAAGGCCAGACAAGTGGTATGGGATTTTCTCACCTTCATTGAGTAAATTATGAAGGGCCTTAAGCTGGGGCTTTGGTTCATCCTCCAAAGTCTTGTCGAGCTTTTCGGTCCAAGCTTCCGGGATCCTGGCACGTTCTTGGACCTTCAACACGAGCGTGTCTAAATCGGCATCACTCATGCGATAACGCAGGGTGTGGTTTGGACCACACAATTTCTGAGCATAAGTTTCTCCACAGCAGTCATAAGTATCCACGTGCATCAAACAGACTGTTTTGCCTGATTTGTGACAGCGGAACTGAGTGAGGTAAGCGTAGGCTTTGCAATGTTGACACTGGTAATCATCTTCGGGGAGATCTTCATCCTCAACTACAAACTTCGACTGTGGACCCTCTGCCATAGAGGAGGAGTAAGCGGAATTAAGGGCAGAGATTTCCTTTTGTCGGTTGAGGAAGTGAGCACGTTCAGCAAGCTCTCGGTTGCGGGTTCTATTTAGAGCAGGCGCAAGCCACTTAGAAGTAGCAATTGAAGTATCACGCGAGGCCGCTGTCAGAAGCAGTTCATCATGCGAGAAGCATGGATGTCTGCGGAAGTTCTGAAGGCGTTGAACACCGAGTGCTCCATATGGTTCCCAGTCAGCAGGCGCAAAATTGACCGCCTCATTAAAATTAAAGCCGTGGTTGAACCCTGCATGATACGCTTGAGGGAAGGTGAGAACGAATTGACCAGCGCGCTGATCCACGGCATAGACGTTGACGCCCGCCTTTCTGAGTTTGTCGGGGGGCATCAATGTAACGAGCTGGAAAAGAAGATCGGGTTGTCCTTCAAATAGTTCCGGCACTGCATCGCGCATGGCGGCCTCAAAGGCCTCCGCATCAGCACCTGGAATTCCATACCATGTTTTAGTAGCTCCGAAGTGCTGGTAGTTGGCCGAATAGGCGTAATGATCCTCGTTGTGCCAACAGAAAGTTGAGAAGCACATTCCAACGTAAACCCAAGGCACTGTCATACCAGAGATGTCAGACTTGATGTGACGGAATAGGGAGTCACCATAGAACGGAAGCACGTTCAGGTTCCAGGGATCAGACGAAAACGGGTCAAGAGGGTTGCGCTCAATGGTAGGGAATCCACTGCCATGGGTGGTCGAATGGATGTCCGCACCATACTCAACCTCAACAGTTTCATGAAGATCCACAACAAGTTTCCAGAACTCGGCTTCAACGTCATCCTCCGTTTCGCGACGGTGTGTGTTAAGAACTGGATCGAAGGGCATTTTGGAAGCAAAATACTTCTTCTTGAACTCATTTGCCTTTTCTTGGAATTGCTTGAGAGAGTAGACACCACCATCCTCGAAGCCGAATTCCCCAGTACCGACCAGGCACTTGGGACAATGCCAGTCATGCTCCGATGGTGTCGTGGTGGATGGATCCAGGCAAGCTTTGTGGTATCCGAGCTCACAGCCGTCACACAATAGGATTGAGTCTTGATCATCTGCACTGCCACAGGTCTCACATTTCTGTAGATTTATCAATATAAGGTTAATAACTGATACGGGGCCAATGCTTACCTCTCCGTCTGGTTGAACACCATCCTTGCGAACTTTGGGTGGTGCAGGCCGAAGAAGAGACATATGAGAACCAGCAACGGTTGGTAGTGAATCTATCAATACGATTAGAGAATTCGTGTTTCGAAGCGTCGGAAAATATACCTTTTTTGAGGCGCTTGCTGCGTCGCCCACTTTCGCCGTCATCATCACCGTTCTCACTAAGGGAACTATTATCCTGACTAATGCCGCGCTTCACAGATTCTCCAAGCTGACAGTTCACGGGAGTGGAGACAAAAGCATGTTCAGAAACGGGGTTAGGAGTCGATGCACCGTTTTCTCCTTCTCGTTTGATAGGCGGGCCGTTTTGAGCCGGAGTATTGCTGCCAGGAGTATTGTTCGTCGGGGTGAATGGAGAGTGATTAACCGCGGTGAAACCGCCAAGGCCAGTATTCACAGAAGTAAAGCCGGTAGGCGCAGGACGTGGAGGAGGGGTGGGTTCAACGGAAGGTGTAGGCTTCTCGGGTGACTTTTCTGTCGGGGTGTGTGAAGCTGCCATCCGAGGTAGAGTGGGAGTTTCATCGCGGGATCTCGAAGGGGTGCCGTTTTCATCCATCATAGGCTTGTAATTCATGGGAGATTGGTTGGGCGAAGGGGTGTAGGGACCACCATGCTCAAGCTCAAGTTGTTGCTGGACACCCGGTTTGGCCCGGGCCAAATACTCCTCGTATGGCTGTAGGTAACGCTGGTAGGAGTTCTTGAGCGAAGTCGACAAAGAGGACATAATTTTGCCGCTGTATCCGAGGTCGCGACCGATTTCAGCCCATTTCTTCGTCTTGCACACGGATTCGAAACCCCCACGGATCTCGACTGCCTTCTTGAGCTTGTAAAGATCCAATGGCCGCTTGTCGACACTGGGTAGTCTACTGTAGTTGGTTCCGTGCTGCTTGTGGAACATGGCAAGTCCGTCGACGTAGTTCATATTGGCGCGATTGCCTAGAATAGCGTCAGAATCGCACTTGGGCATGATCCCGCCCAGGAGGGTGGAATGATCTGCTGGATATGGGTACTCACCTCCTTCAACAGAATTTAGTTCTTGTCGACGGGTTTTAAAATGGAATCGCTGCAACAATTGTCAACAGTGTCCCTGCTAGTGCCGCAGTCCAGGAACGCATCCGTCAGAAGAGTGTTCCTACCTCTGTATCGATTGCGAAAGAAGGTTGCCAGCCTTCAGGCGGGACTACTCGGCAAATTCCATACTTCTTGCCTTCGGGGGCAATCTTTTGAATGTAGGCCACCGGGTCTTTGAATTCCTCCTCGGTTGGACGAAATGTCGGGGCTTCGGGGATTCCATGAGGGCGAATGCGCTTCGAAGGCTCTCGAGGATTATTCGGTTGACCACGGCGTTCCACGGTTGATAAATCAAGGGGCGTAGATCTGCGAGCGCTCAAGGGTACATTGTGGGCGTGCGATGGGTGAGTGCTCGAGGACCGAGTCGGCTGTCCTGGGGCGGCCGCGGCCGTCGAGGTCGCCCCGGCGGAGGCCGGAGCTCCCATTGTTCAGAATGGGGTGGACTAGTAGTAGGTCGGTCAGATTGGGCGCGTCTCGTCGAGGAAATTAAAGGTGGGAGTGATGCGACAAGGACATTGAGAGCAAGGAAGGGAAGGCGGTTTCGGAAGTCCTGCGGTCTGAAGGGTGGAAAGTTGGGTAACACGAACCAGAGAGAAAGAGAAAAGAAAGTGAGATCAAAGACAGAGACAGTGAAGCCGGGGGGGGGAGGGAAAAGCCGTCGCAGGGAAGAAAGAGTAGATGGATAGAAGCTTAGTGGATTATGTTGCCAGGACGTACAGATCAATGTACTGAGAAGTACTCTCGGGTCACTCTGTGTGGGCCTCCAGTAAGAATGAGACCTCCAGAGACCTAAAAGAACTCTTTCATTCCAGTACCGATCCATACGGTATTGGTCTTCTCAGGGCCCGATTTGCGGCCAAAACGGTCCTCTGAGGGTAATTTACTAGTAAATTACGGTTACTGCAAACGGAACCATGGATTGAAGTCCCGTGATATGCGACATCATACGGTGTTAAGTATTAGTCTTGGTGTTGTTGCCGTAGAACAGACTCCATGTTGGACTAATTGCGACTAATACCAGTTGGTCGTCATCTTGGACTGACAAGTAATTGGGAGTCAGTTGGTAGGTTGGGCTTTCATATGTCGTTTTTTACTGTAGGTTGGTGTATGGACTTTTTGCAGCCCTCTCTTAAGGCTCGGACCGTGTATCATGTCAATCAATGTTCACTTCGGACATGACTCTACCGTCAGATATTTCCCGTCGACTTCGGTATCCTCATTCTCGGTTAAATGGTGAATTGCCTACCCCGATGCCCCGTAAATGTCTCATCATGTGACCCATGTTTATCAACGGCGGACCCGCAATGGAGCTAATATCAAGGGCAAAGTTGGCCGCAGACATGGACGGGTCCGAACGCAAGCCAATCCCGGCTTATTACTGCTGTTATCTCCTCAGGTCAACAGTCAGACATGCCTCACTATACATTGGTTCAACGCCAAACCCAATCCGACGACTCCCTCAGCACAATGGCATCGCCAAGGGTGGGGCCAAGCGAACTGCGAGAGACAGTCTACGACCCTGGGAAATGTCCCTGGTAGTGGAGGGGTTCATGAACCGAGTCGGGGCTTTGCAATTCGAGTAAGTATACCCCCTGTTTATCTCCGAGATATATATCCATTCCCGATGAACAGAATCAAATTTTAATGGCGTGCAGGTGGGCCTGGCAACATCCGGAGAGATCTCGGCACCTTGGATCCGAGGATGAAGTAGATCCCAATGCTCCAGCCAAGCCTAATATCAACCCCAAGACGGGTAAGCCCAAGGCCAAACCGCGTGCGCGTGTCAGACGATCTTTGACGGCTCATTTGGAGGATCTGCATTCGCTACTACGGTCATCTTATTTCTCGACGTGGCCATTGCGTGTTCGCTTTTTCCGAGCCGATGTATATCGTATGTGGCGGGTTTGGAGTGATCGAGTTGATGGACGCCTCCCTCCAAATATCAAGATTATTTTAGATGGCGACAATCTCGGCGCGGTGCCGGCTATGCAGAAAGGCAACGACCTTGCTCCTGTCGGGGGCGTGACTAACTTATCGGTTGATTATACCAGGTTGGAGGACTATCTCGAGAAAACCCTGTTCATTGTGGAAGATGCAGAAGACCTACAGTGCAAGTGTTGCAATGGATCTGTGTCTCCGGAGAAGGAACAGATTGTCGTGTGTCCACAACCAGAGTGTCGTGGCACAAGTCATATTTTGTGTTTATCTACCAGGTTTCTCGACGCTGCCAATGACCCGGACCGCCTGACACCAGTTCAAGGGACCTGCCCAGAATGTGAATCGGTGGTACAATGGTCGGTTATGATGAAAGAGCTTAGTTTCCGCAACCGAGCAGAAAAAGAAGCGCGCGCAGTGGTAGCAAAGAAAGAGAAGCGTCTCCGCAAAGAATCAAAGGCATCATCTGGAGCCCAGTCATCTCCTGTGAAGCCCAGGTCCCAACGGACGCGAGAACCAATTGAAGAATCGACTGAAGACGACCTAAGACCAGACTGGTACCAAGAGGTTGATCTGGAATCCGACTCCGATTTCGACAGCCGACAAAAGAGCAAGACATCTCAATCTGCGCAAAAACTCGAAGTCGTGATCGAAGACAGCGACTGGGATGACGCTGAACTAGTGGAATAACAGGCGAGACCAAGTCTAGCCTGTCTCTAGTTCCCAAGAGGTTCCAGCTTCCTCAGCGCACTAGTTATATCCAGACGTGCAATGCAACCAGTCACAGCATGCTGAATCTCCTTCGACACCTCATCGATGGATTTACCCGCATCAATGATGGCAACGTCCTGCATCCTTTCAAATATTGTCTGGAAGAGCTCACGCACGCGGGTTTGCATAGCCTCATTCTCATAACGCTCAGCACCGAATCCACCACGCTTAGCAGCTTCCTCGGGGGAAATTCCGAGGAACAAACAGATATCAGGACGGGGTAAACCGATCTCCGGCTGCCATGCCCAGTCCAGGGATAGTGTGGGGTTCGCCTTGGCGGCCGAGTAGACGACGCCGGAGTAGGAGTAACGATCTACAATGACTGTGATGCCGCTTGCGATATCTTCTTCGATTCTCTTTGCTACCTCCCATCGGTTTGCTGAGAAGAGGAGGTGGATGGAATGGTCGTCTTGGTGAGATGAGCCACGGAGGTAGCTATCGATTAATTTGCCGATTGGCGTGGTCCTGTCTATAGACTTATTAGATCAATGGCACATAGAGTAAATACAATTCAGCTCAATACCTGGGAATCGGATGTATTTCACGCTATGCCCCTGTTCTGAGAGGAAGCCCCTTAGCATCTCACATTGGCTTGACTTGCCCGCGCGGTCGAGTCCCTCCACGACAATGAGGGCACCGCGTCGCGTCGCTGATGATCCTGTCATAGTTGAAGAATATGAATGTTTTTGTATGGTATGCGTTCAATCGTGCAGTCGTAAAGATCAGATCCCCCAGAATATGACAACAGTCTAGAAGTCCAAATGTTGACAAGTCCGAGGGGTGTTTATCAGCAAATCGCATTTTCAGCCGATAAGATTCCCCCCGAAGCCTTCACCACAACCACCAGCCATGGCCGAAAAGCCCTCAATGACATTCAGTCTTCTGGGCTCAGCAGCACCAGTTCTTGCCCCGAGAATAGGCCAATTATCTATTCCAGGTCGCAAGGCAATCACAACCCCTCATCATGTCCCGCTCACGTCGCGGGGCACAGTGCCCCATATCGCACACGACATGATGCGCGACCATACAGCGATTGGAAATTTATATATCGGACTGGAGGACTGTAAGTGAGACCTCTACGAGATAATTTCCCTCCCATTTCTATATTAAGACCATATCTGACAGCGCATGCCCGCCCGGGCTAAGAACAGTCATCGAGAGAAGCGACAATGCAGCTGTATACAAGACTCCCGCCGCGGCGCACGAGTCCCCGCTGAAAAAGTTCAGCTGTATCCCCAGTGATATGACTGTGATCCTTGGCCCGCGCCGCTTTCCTGCAATTGTATGCCCGCCTTCTAATAAGTCGACCTCTATTGCGCTGTCTACGTCTATTGGATTCCACCAACTCCACGCAAAACAATATGTGAACGCAGTGCACAAGCTGAGACCGGATATTGCTATTGGAATGGCAGATTTGGTTCTTGGAAGGCAGCCTGGTAACAAGAGGCGCGAGAAGATGGTTGATCGCACGCATGCCTTCACTCGTGATGCCTTGGAGCAGCTATACGGCAAAAGCCTCGGCGATGATGAGAAATCGAGGACTGCATTCTTTGCGCCGGTGCTACCGCTGGACAATGCGCAACAATCGCTTTACTTGGAAGATTTGGAGGATGAGTTCCGAGGGGATATATCCGGCCTCGCGCTGTACGAAGCTGCCTCCTTGGAATATATTCCTCCTTCTTTGGGCGGTTTGCCGCGGTTGTTGTTGAGTGAACCTGTCACTCCTCATGACATCCTGCGTGAGATCTCACTGGGTGCAGATCTGTTGACGACGCCTGTTTTGGGCGCTTCGTCTGATGCTGGTATTGCGCTGGACTTCAAGTTCCCGGCTCCAGTTGCGCTGGATGGTGGGAACCAGCCCCAGCCTTTTGGATCTGATATCTGGTCTGTGGAGAATGCTTCTGATGTCTCTCCCTTGGCTGAAGGGTGTGTTTGCTATGCTTGTCGCAAACACCACCGGGCGTACTTCCATCATTTGCTGGCTGCGAAAGAGATGACTGCCTGGGCCCTTCTTCAGGTCCATAATTACCACGTCTTTGATCTGTTCTTTGCCGGTGTTCGGGAGAGTATTCAGAATGGTACCTTTGAACAGGATGTTGAAGCATTCCGTCGCTACTATGCTCCCGATATGCCTGAGAGTAGTGGCCAGGGTCCTAGGTACGTGTTTTTTAACTGATTGAGATGACATGTCTTTTCTGCTCGTAGCGTTCTTGATGGGGTCAAGTTACTGACTGTCTCATAGGTTACGTGGCTACCAACTCCCAGCTCCGGCAGCTCACGCCCCTCGTCGTGCGCCAAAGGTGTATGGCCGCCTTGAAGAAGTCATCGGTTCATCTTCAGCAGTAACCCCCGACACCGACGCGAGCGGACTCGAAGAGCACGGATTTGCCGAAAAGGTGTAACCCTATTTTCCAACCAAATCCTCATGCATAAGCGGACCTGTTTATAAACGCATTTGCTTAGAACTAGCGTCTCAACGAATATAAACGAACCTATAAACCGAAAAGAAAAATATGCATATTCATTCATAATATTCATCTCAATTGCACGAGGTCAAGACTACTATACAGAATCCATATTTTGTGCCATTTATATCTCATATATTCAGGCTTCCCCTCATTAAACCGTCAACGTCATCTCCACACCATAGGGTATATCAAGATTCCAACTGGAAGAGGAGGATGGGGAAACTTAAGCAGCCTCGCCGGCCAACACTCGCCACATCCACTTGACCTCGTCTTCCTCTTCCTTGGAGCCCTGTTTGGTTCCAGCGCCGAACTGCTGGCCAACGACACAGACGAGCCAGGCGTCGTTCTTAGTCGTGTCCAGGTAGGTCTCAGTAGGCGAGCCGCGGGGGTAGATGCGGCGCCATTCGTCCCAGATGCGGAAGGCTTCTTCTCCCCAGGCACGGAAACTGACTTCTTCGATGATGGTTGGTGTGACGATTTCTTTGCCACGGAATACTCCCCAAGTGACAGCGTTGACACTCTCGGGGTTATCTTCGAGGCTGTCCAGGTCGACATCGGTGGGTTGAGTTGGAAGCGAGGATTCAAAGGCTCCTGAAATGTTTGTCGCGAACCAAGTCAACTTATCGGAGCCATGCTGAGCAAATAGGGGCTTAAGGATGTTGGTGTAGTCATTATTTGAACAGAAGAACTCGACGAATGGCTTCTGGAAGACGAAGCCCTCGCGTTGGGGTCCCCAACCGAAGATGTGGTGGTCACTCTTCACGCCGTTGACGGCGGGCTGCGAGGCCAGAGTCCACCAGCCGCGGCCGTCAATCAGCTTGAGGAGCTCTGGGCGAATCAGATCGGTCTCAGCGTTCAAGCCACCACCGTCTTCCTCGGCACCACCCTCTGACCAAGGGACCATGTGAAGCTCCCCGGAGACGTGGCGTCGGAACAGTGTGCTCATATCCTTTGAGTCCACAGGGTGTCCCCATAGCCGGCGAGCGTCAGCGGAAGTGACATGGAGCGAAGGACCGTAGCCGTCAATTTCACCAAAGGCAGGCGAGCGGGCATCACCCCATCGTCCGTTAGGAAAGTCATCCCATGTGGCTTCTCTGCCAAGCGAGCCCTGGCCCTCGGAGATCAACAGAGTAGTGCTGCGATTGGGGTGCATGGGCATACCCACGCTATCTGCGAGGGCCTCATGCTGAGAATCCTGTGATGACTCGTGCACGGAGAGCTTGTCCACGATGACTCGGTTGTGAGGCTGCGAGTGCATAGATGACGCACGGCTTCTTCCTAGCGCACGACCAGGGAAATCAATAAGAGGGGCACCCTCCTCAATAGCGGAGCTGTCCACTTCTGAGTATGGCGGAATCAAGTCACACTGTTCCAAAATGAAAGATACAGTCTTCTCCAGGTTCAGGGTGTAGAAATGGAATCCTCGCGGTCCGGGGTTGGTAATATCTTTCATGCCGCCCACGATCTCACTGACAATGTCTACACCAGCACGCTTGACTGCATCGTCATCATGCTTCAGCTCCTCCATACGTCGGGCAATAGGGGGAGGGATGGTGACGTGGCTGAGCTTGGTGACCCGAGTTAGGATCTTGTAGCTGTGGATAGGCATCAAGCCTGGGATGATGGGAATCGTCTTGAAAACGCCCGACTCATGGTTGCGAAGCATGTCTTCAAACTTGGTATAAGCGTCGATATCGTAGGTCAATTGGGTCATGATGAAGTCGGCACCAGCGACTGTCTTCTCGACCAGGTAGGGAATATCTCTCGCCGGGTCCTGGCCATCTTGGAAGGCATCGGCGGGGTGGCCCTCGGGGTATGCAGCAACGCCGATACAGAAGTAGTCTCCATGTTGCTTGCGAATATATTTCACAAGGTCAACGGCGAAGGCAAAATCCTTGTTACTATCGTCTTCTCCGTGCATGTTGTATTCCTCACTGCGGGGAGGGTCGCCACGCAGAGCTAGGATGTTACGAATTCCAAGAACCTTGGCCTCGTCCAGTGCCATATCCACCAGCTTGCGGCTCATGTTGGTACAGGTCAAGTGTAGGACGGTCGTTAATTGTAACTGGCGCTGGCATACTTCGGCCAACTCGAGCGATCGTGCCGCTGTGCTACCACCAGCGCCCCAGGTGACTGTCACAAATAGGGGACGCAGAGCCTGAGCCATCCGCTCCAGACGCGCAGACAGGTTGGCGAAACCCTAGATGAACACATACTTGTCAGTGACTTCCCATCTTTGCGCACGCGGGGTGACCCCACCATCCGGGTCTTTGGAGGAAAGAACTCCAGGGAGAAGTAGTTGGCATCTGGCGGCAAAGCCGCGATCTTCTCTGTGATTTTCTTCTCCATTGTGTCTAGGGAGTGTATATGGAGAGGGGTTGGATGAGGAAGAAGAGAGATTCGGGGCAAAAGTGGACCATGTCACGATTCCGATTGCGTCGGATACTGCGATGTCTTCAGCTGCCGAGGAACCACACACGGACGATCTACTAGATTTATACACTACATGCATCTTATGCTGGAATTACCACCGTTTTACTGTATGCAAGGGGACCAACTGAAGAAAAAAAACCGCCTGAAAAGTGGCACGGGTTACGATGACTCAGCCCGATATCGATCGACGAGCTTAACCTTGGAACGCTGAACAACGATTGACTTGAATGCTTCACATTGACCATACTCGAGGTTGATTGGACCAGGACACACTCTTTTGTTATTCTTTTGGTTCTTTTGGTCTGGAGCTGTGGCTTGAATTCCCCTGTCATGGCATCTCGTCCACCGAACTTTCTTCGCTATTTCCGTTTGCAGCTACGCAACAACAGACCACCCACAGTGCCGCGACGAACCCTGTCCACACCCTCTCCTTCACAGCCGCCAAAGCTACCCAATGCGAACGCTAATGGCTCTCAATCTCGCTTGCGCCGGTTCAATGACCGTCTCCCCCGCTTTCTCCGCAATTATACCACACCCTTATTCGGCGCCCCGGTCACCCATATCACTTCTTTCTTAATACTCCACGAGATTACTGCTATACTTCCATTATTCGGACTGGTTGGTGCCTTTCACTATGGTGCATGGATGCCGGACCTTTCGTCGGAGACAGGCGAGACCAATGCCTTTGACGAAGGAGCTGCACGGTTTGGTCGCTGGCTGAAGAAGAAGGGTTGGGTGGATCAGGATGATGTTCAGACTGTCGCGGAACATGAGACTACCGGGGAGAACAAAACGCAGCGTGCGGGGGTGCGATTGGTGCTGGAATTTGCAACAGCCTACGCAATTACCAAGGCGTTGCTGCCAGCTCGACTGGCAGCTAGTGTATGGGCCACGCCATGGTTCGCAAGAACCGTTTTTACACCTACAGCCAACCTAGCTAGGAAGCTATTCGTAAGAGGTTGAGCTCGTGGGTATATGTACTGTAATACCAGAAAGCGATGTTCATAATTCAAATGAAAATGTATATTGTTTATTGTTCCAAGCCATCAAGGTCCTTCTCTCAGGCTCACGGCGTCTATGCTGCAAGCACCCGAAGGATGGACCTGTCAGACGAAGTCATTTGGAAACGAGTAATTTACTCGTAAACCCAAGCGGAAGAGGCGGACTTCCACTTGAGGACCTCGGAGGGAGTGAACCAGAGGCCAATCTCCTTCTTGGCGTTCTCGACGGAGTCGGAACCGTGGCAGACGTTGCGGCCAACATCCTGTAAACATGTCAATACAAGAAGATCAGTCTGGAATGCGTGGGGCTCTTACGATGGCGAAGTCACCACGGATGGTACCGGGGGCGGAAGCCAAGGGGTTGGTGGCACCGAGGAGGACACGGCCGGTCTTGACGGCGTCCTTACCCTCCCAGACCATGGCGCAGATGGGGCCGCTGAGCATGTAGGCGACGAGGCCCTTGAAGAAGGGCTTGGCGGAGAGGTCCTCGTAGTGCTTCTCGAGGTGCTCCTGGCTGGGGCTGGTGAGCTTCATGGCAACGAGCTTGAAGCCACGGTTCTCGAAGCGAGAGATGATAGGGCCGATGAGTCCACGCTGTCCATGGTGTTAGTTATTGTTGTCAATTGGGCGGCCGATCTATCTTTGGCGACGGAATCGGTTCAATGGATATTATATCCATACCTGGACACCATCGGGCTTGATGGCAATGAAACTGGATCGATTTGTTAGCTTGACCGGACAATGAGGGGTAACAGCAGGGATGGAGGGGAGGGGAATTGAGGAGGGAGGGAGGTTAAAGTAGATCATGGAGAGCAAGCACGTACGTCTGTTCCTCGTTGGCGGACATTTTGAATATGAGACCAAAAAATGTATGTGGTATGAGGTGGAAAAAGTAGGAGGAGGTTGAAGATTAAATAGAGGGGCTTTTTTCGGTGCTGTCACATCTGAGCAGATGATTGGCTGACGGCATCGGAGGGGTGTCTCAGCTGAATGCCTGACTGCCTGAATGCCTGACTGCCTTGGCGCCTTGATACCTTAGTGCCTGTCTGTTCAGGTGTCCGGCCAGCTTGGAGCTTCCTGTTGACATCTCCACACTTTAAATGCGGGTATCTTCATTCACCACCCTCAGAGATTGAGAGTCTCTGGTTGCACATACTGTCTACATTATGGCCAGGAGTCAACCTGCGTCCCGTTGGGCAGTCTTGCTCTCCTTGGTGATCCTCATCGGATGCGTTGTCGTCCCCAGTTGTATGGTGTCCCCTTCTTCGATTAAGCTTACGGCCGGCTAATTGCCCACGTAGGGGCTGTCAAACACGGAGACTTCAAGACATGCGAACAGTCTGGATTCTGTAAACGAAATCGCGCATACGCCGATGATGCTTCTGCTCAAAGCTCGTGGAACTCGCCCTACGAGCTCGATCCCGCCACCGTGCATTTCAAGGATGGCCTATTCACAGGTGTTCTTGTCAAAACAATCACTGCCGACGAAAAGGTTCAGCTACCTCTTACAGTCTCTTTCTTGGAATCCGGGGCCGCTCGGTTGTTGGTGGACGAAGAGAAGCGACTGAAGGGCGATATCGAAATGCGACACGGCAGCAAGGCAAACAAGAAGCGTTATGATGAAGCTGAGCAATGGGCGATTGTAGGTGGCTTGGAACTTAGCAAGTCAGCTACATTGAATGCCCAGAGTGAAACCGGCTTCACCAATATTCTCTATGGACCTGGAGACAAGTTCCAGGCAGTCATTCGCCATGCCCCGTTCGGCATTGATTTCCAAAGAGACGATCAAACCCATGTCCAATTGAACGAGCGAGGTCTTTTGAACATGGAGCACTGGCGTCCGAAGGTGGAAAGAAAGGAAGGCGAAACTGGCGAGGACGAAAGCACCTGGTGGGAGGAGACATTCGGTGGAAGCACTGACTCCAAACCCCGTGGTCCCGAGAGTGTTGCTCTTGATGTCACTTTCCCTGGTTACAGTCATGTGTTTGGTATTCCAGAGCATGCCGACTCTCTTTCACTCAAGGAAACCAGAGGCGGTGATGGCAACCACGCTGATCCTTACCGTCTATTTAACTCGGACGTCTTTGAGTATGAGCTCGAGAGCCCAATGACTCTTTACGGTGCTATTCCATTCATGCAAGCCCATCGCAAGAACTCCACTGTCGGTGTTTTCTGGCTCAATGCGGCTGAAACCTGGATTGATATTGTCAAGTCCACAACCACCGCCAACCCGCTGTCCTTGGGAACCCCTTCCAAGACCAACACTCAGACCCACTGGATCTCTGAGTCTGGTCGGCTCGACTTGTTTGTCTTCCTCGGTCCTTCGCCTAAAGAGATCAGTAAGACATATGGTGAGCTTACTGGATATACGCAGCTCCCCCAGCAGTTTGCCATTGGCTACCACCAATGTCGCTGGAACTATGTAACCGATGAAGACGTGAAGGAGGTGAACGCCAAATTTGACAAGTACCAGATTCCTTACGATGTGATTTGGCTTGATCTTGAATATACTGATGACCGTAAATACTTCACCTGGGATCCCCTCACATTCCCTGACCCCAAGGGTATGCAGGAAAAGCTTGATGAGACAGAGCGCAAACTTGTTGTTCTGATCGACCCACATATCAAGAAGGCGGATAACTACTACGTGTCCGATGAGCTCCGAAGCAAAAATCTCGCCGTGCTCAACAAAGATGGCGAGATCTACGATGGATGGTGCTGGCCCGGATCCTCAAACTGGGTCGACTGCTTCAATCCCGCCGCACGCGTGTGGTGGAATGCACTTCATAAATACGACAAGTTCAAGGGATCTCTCTCAAACCTTTTCATCTGGAACGACATGAACGAGCCCTCTGTTTTCAACGGACCGGACATGAGCATGCCCAGAGACAACCTGCACTATGGCAACTGGGAACACCGTGATATTCACAATGTCAACGGCATGAGCCTCTTGAACGCCACCTACGAGGGCATGCTCCAGCGCAAGAAGGGCGAGATTCGCCGTCCATTCATTCTGACTCGCTCATTCTACGCCGGGTCTCAGCGTGTCTCTGCTATGTGGACTGGCGATAACCAGGCCACATGGGACCACTTGGCGGCATCTGTTCCCATGGTCCTGACGAACGGCATTGCTGGTTTCCCCTTTGCCGGAGCTGATGTTGGTGGCTTCTTCCACAACCCTGATAAGGATTTGTTGACCCGCTGGTATCAAGCTGGTATCTGGTATCCCTTCTTCCGCGCGCACGCTCACATCGACACTCGTCGCCGTGAGCCGTATCTCATCAGTGAGCCTCACCGATCCTACATCGCTCAGGCTATTCGTCTGAGATATCAACTTCTTCCTGCCTGGTACACTGCCTTCCATGAAGCCTCGGTCAACGGCACACCGATTGTGCGGCCCCAATACTACGCTTTCCCCGATGACGAGCCTGGCTTTGCCATCGATGATCAGTTCTACCTTGCCTCTACTGGTCTTCTCGTGAAGCCCGTTCTGACCGAAAACACCGAGACTGCGGACGTGTATATCTCCGACGATGAGAAGTACTATGACTACTTTGACTTCACTGTCTACCAGGGTGCTGGCAAGAAGCACACCGTCCCTGCCCCTGAAGACAAGGTGCCGGTCCTGATCCAAGGTGGTCACATTATTCCCCGCAAGGATCGTCCCCGTCGTAGCGCCGGTCTCATGCGCTGGGATCCATACACCCTAGTCATCACCCTTGACAAGAACGACGCCGCGGAAGGCAGCTTGTACGTAGACGACGGCGAGACCTTTGACTACGAACGCGGAGCCTATATCCACCGTCAATTCCATTATCGCGAGTCTGTCCTGTCCTCCGAAGATGTCGCCACCAAAGGACCCAAGACAGCCGAGTACCTCAAGGCCATGGCCGGTGTCACCGTCGAGCGGGTGATCATTGTCGACCCCCCTGCCGAATGGAAGACCAAGGAGACCGTGACCGTGATCGAAGACGGGGCCAAGGCTGGTTCCACTGCCTCATTGGAATTCTACGAGCAGCAGCTCGGACAGGCTTCCTATGCCGTAGTCAAGAAGCCGAATGTTGGCATTGGAAAGACATGGCGTATAGAGTTCTGAGTGACTGATCTCTGGTTCGAACGATTTATGTATGCGATTGGCCATGTGTTTTTTTTTTTTTTTTTTTTTTCAAAATCGTTAGTCTGCATGTAATCCGCAGCTATTTGAGTGCTCATAAATGAACAGTATCTCATTTGATTTGAGTGTTTCGCCTCTGATTCGGTTTCTCTGCGTAGTCAACCACCGCGATGAGGGCTTCCAGACATATTTCGAATTCTACTTAGTTCCCATGCGCCTCAACCCACACATTATATTGGTCGCCTTTATCACTATCCGTAGCGACCAAGCTCAGCTCTCCGGTCGATTTGAACTCCCACACCACCTCATTCACGTGCTCCTTTTGGGTTCCTTTCTCGTAAACGTTGGACATATCTGTTTCTTGCATGAGAAAGTCGCTATATGAGGCTTGAAAGCTTTCCAAAGCAATCTGGTTCGCTTCCTCTAAGGTGTCATAGATCCCTTCAATGTCTATGTCATCTATAGAAGGATCCTCAATCATGACGACGAATTTGTAGGGAATTGGACATTCTGCAGTGCGCTCACGCAAGGTTGGTTCGTGGTGGGCTGCTTTCACTCGGTCCAGGATATCCTGGGGCCATTTGGGTACAATATCTTTGGAATTTGATCAGTTTTAGATTTGGTAGGCTAGGGTTATGGGGAACCATACCAGACATATTTGCGTACAGTGTAGGGAGTTTGCAATGATTATGGTCGGAGAAATTGCGCGAGGGGCTTAGAAGAAAGAAAAAACTCCACGTCATAAACTAAAAAGATCCTCTTCCACGCGGGTCCAAAGTGACGATCACGCGCTGAGCTTTTTACCTGGCGAAGTGGCTTTCATTATAAGTGAAGTGATCTATCCCCTAGCAAAAGGAGTAGCAGCAGGAAAATCGAAGCTAGACAAACTTGTCAGATATTTTGATCTCCAGCAGGTTTCAACTGATCTGATACATAATGAAGAAAGCAATAGCCACACAAATCATGGCACGTAAGCGAAGCGCATCAATCGGTGCATTTCCTTTACTGGGAACGAGAGAGTCCAAGTCTGCGTCAGCCAGAGTGACTGAGTCGTCACTATCATCCATGTCTTCCGCCTTATGATGGCTCTCAATCTGGTCAAACGGGTTTTCATCGTTGTTGTCGAGTAGGCCCCAGATCGAGACTTGAATGAGCTCCTGCAAATACGAGTTGTGGCCGTCCCTGATGGAGTCCTCTACACATTTTGTAATCCGCGTCCTTTCGTCGGAGGTGAACTCGAAGCCTCGGGCTGTGCGACAACATCCACATTCATCAGTACAGTGTCCCACACCAAGAGTCTGTGAAGCGGTATGTCGATGAATACAGCACCCACAGTCACGACCGCAGTATCCTCCTTGCAAAGAACAGTGATCCCGCAGAGTGCGGTGCATATACCACTGGGGATGTGAGCGCCAGAGCCGGAATGCTCTGGACAGAGGGCCTTGGTGGAATTCGTGCCGATGATGCCACCACTGCCGCCCCAAGAACCAGGATTCTTTTCGTAATTCCGCCAGTTCTTCTTTCAAGCAGAATTCTTGCAGTTCTTGCTGCGGGAAATTCGTCGCCTGACGATCCACTGCATCATAGAGCGATACTGCCTTCTGGGCATTTCTTCGAAGGGCGAATTCTGTAAGCAGGAGTTTCTGGATTGAACGTTGAAGGCGTGAATTGTTGTGATAAAACTTTTGCTGTCGGAGCCGTTGAAGAGCATTGATGTCTCCTCTCTGTTCGAGCTCGACTTCCGTCTTGTCGTACTCCTGATGGCGGGTTCCTGACGAGGCGAGCAGTGGCCTAACAAATTCATATAGAAACGACATGGTTGCTGAAGTTGAGTTCAAGGAGTGCTACGATTGACAAAAGTCATCTGTTTATGGTTTGTAGACGATTCATGGCGATGTCAAGTGTCCAATGGTTTGTATAGTTCGGATGTCAACAACGGCATCCATCTGGACTTTCTACTCTAAACCCCCATAGATCAAATCAAGTGAAACGCAACACATGTGCAATAGTCAATTCAACAGAATTTAGTACCCGATCAGCATCCAAAACACGACCAAAATGCCCTTGTGCCAAGTAAATTAACCCCAAATGAAACAAATCCAAGATCGACACGCTGACATAAGCCCAGACCCTGAAAAAGCCGCATGCGTGTCGAAGTGTACCTTTCTCGGTTCTTTGGATTTCCCCTTCCCCTGTCGCCCAAAGCCTGTGTGTTCGCATTAGTTAAGGCTTCAAGATACCGGCTCAGCTTCCATCGCAGCGATAGACCCTGACCCGGAGGTCCCACCACGCCGACATGTATTTCATTTCGGCTGCCATTGACTGGGCCGCGCCCGTCTTGTAAGTTGGCTTCCACCGGTTCTGGCGTCGCAGATGCTAATGAAGCTCGTCAACAGTCTCGTCACCTCGCCCCTGACATCCTATGCCGACCAAATCGTGAGCATCCATCGCTCGAGGAGCTCGGCGGGGTTCTCATTGGACATTCCCCTGATTATGCTTGTTTCGTCGATCTTGAAGTAAGCTCACACCCTCCAGCGCGTGCAGCGTCGAGATGGAGGGTCAATGCTGACGTCTTTAGGGTTTTCTTTTGGTTTGGAGAGTACTATTCAGTCACCTTGTTGACCCAGGCCGTCGTCATGATTGTGGTGCAGATGACTATGCTCAAGGTTGCATTGGATAACCGGCCTTCTCGCGGTGGCCCCAATGGAATTGAGCATGCGCCTTTCAGTGGTGGCTCGGACAGCGGTTCGTCGAGGCCCTACGAATTTTGGCAGTGGAAGAACACCAAGCCGTAAGTTTTGGAGAGCGCACGGGAAGCCCGTAGACCTGGATACTGATGCCAAACACAGATACTACATGTTCCTGGCCTATTTCGTCGGAGCCTTGACCCTTCTCCATTTGAGCCCGATCTCCCAATTCGACGCCTACATCAGCCTGTTGGGTTACATCGGACTTGCGGTCGAGGCCACCCTTCCTATCCCACAAATCATCGCCAACTACCAATCCGGCTCGTGCAAGGGCTTCCGGGTCTCCGTCATTGCGGCATGGATTCTCGGTGACACCATGAAGATGAGCTACTTCTTCTGCAGCACCGAAACCATCCCATGGGCCTTCAAGCTATGCGGCATGTTCCAGTGTGCGTGCGACTTCTACCTGGGCTTCCAGTTCTACATGTTCTCTCGGAATGCCTCGCATACGACACACTCCCGAGGTCCCTCCCAGACTGCCGGCAGGTCGGAGCCAGATGGTCGTTGGGGCCATGAAGAAAAAGACATTCGCATGAACTAGAGCGGAACCTTGGGAACATTGGTCACATTGGGCATACAATAGACATGTAGATAGGAATTGGCGACCATATAGACAAATAATTTGAATGAGATAATGTTTATATTGTGTTTCGACGTGTTTTATACTTGCACCGCACCGCTTCGGAGTTAAGGATTTCCGCCTTGGGAATTGCCCCGCGATATCGACTTGGAATGCGCTTCTTGCCAACTTGTCTTCCTAACAGTTTGCAGTCTCTGCGTATCCTCCGGTTGGTCTTAATTCAATAAGCCCGCTAATACAGTCCTTCTCACAATGGCTACTCCCACAATTCGCATTGGTTATGTGCCCGGTACGTCTACCCCTCCATAGCTCAGCCTGCATTGCCCCATACACTGTTCGAAATGCCTCAGAAAGATGCGCGCTAATGATCTCTATCCTGACTTCTAGAGCACTACCTCACACCACTCCACCTCGCCCTCCGCTCCCCCGCCGTCGCGGCCCTCCCATTCAAGATCGCGCTGACCCCATTCCCCTCCGGAACGGGTCATATGATCACCTCGCTCCGCGGCAATGAGATTGACATCGCCATCGGTCTGACCGAGGGCTGGGTCGCGGGTCTAGCAGGCAAGGCGCAGCAACTGAGCCAAAACGCAGATGGCGGATACAAGATCGTCGGTCACTGGGTTGACAATCCATTGCGATGGGCTATTGTCACAGGCCGCAACCGCGACGAGATTAACGGAGTTTCAGACTTGAAGGATAAGAGGGTTGGAGTGAGCCGGTTGGGAAGGTGAGCTATCGAATTGGAATTAGCGAGGCATTGGTGAATTGTAAATGGCGCATATCAGGCTAACTTGCGGACTCTGCAGCGGCTCTCACATCATGTCTTTCGTCCTTGCTCAGCAGCAAGGCTGGAAGGCAGACTCTCTGACTACTGTCCCTCTGGGGCCTTTCGGGCCTCTGCGCGACGGTGTCTCCGGCTTGGATGCATCGCAGCCTGAGAAGGCCGCTGACCCATCGGCGGAGTTCTTCATGTGGGAAGAGTTCACCACAAAGCCCTACTTCCACCCGACAGCTGAGAAGCCAACCCCACCTCTGAAGAAGATCGGCGAGATCTTTACTCCCTGGCCTTCGTGGATGATTGTCGCTTCTACGGCTCTGTTCCCTGCTCCCGAGAACGACCAGCGATTGGCCAGTCTCTTCCAGGCCCTTGATCAGGGTGTCAAGGACTTCGAGGCTGATACGGCCCAGGTTGTCAAGTTGCTCGGTACTGGCGAGCTTGGATGCAATTACATTCAGGAGGATGCTACGGAGTGGTTGAAAGATGTCAAGTTTACTAACAGCACGCGTGGTGTCGACAACAAGCTCATTGAGGGTGTTGTTGATGTGCTCAAGGTTGCTGGTGTGATCGATCCGGCTATGAGCAATGAGGAAGCTATCCAGCGGGTTATTGGAATTAAGCGATAGGTCATATGTTGCACGAGGGTAGAAAGCGAATCCGCAAACATGTTGTAAATAATAATTCCATGAAATTCGATACATGGTACATCGTTTTTCAAGATTTCCAACCCCGAATCATACATAGAAGTGATCCACTGGAGTCGGAATGGTTGGCGAGAGTTTGCACGAGGGAGACCTTGCTTGCCATGATACTCACCCAATCCCACTGTTCCATACTGTATGCATGAGATATTTACTCATACATTATATCAATTGGATCTCCGAAAGAAACCCCTGAAAAGAAGGAGTCACAAACAATATGCATTCCCAGCGTGGACCCCTTGCACCCTTACCACGGGATATTCAAGGTATAGGTATGTGTATACCCCTGCATAGCTCTATTCGAGGGACAGATATTTGGGCTTCTTTGGGTTAAAGTAGGTGTGACCAGGGTCCATGTTCACTGCGTTGATTTGTGAGGCGTTGCCTTTTTACCTCCGGGGCTGCATGGGTGATATGGAGCGTTGGGGTGTGATTTGCTCTAGATGGAATAATTCTCCTAAGCCACGTCCAGTAGGATGACGTTTTCTGATTGTAAGGCATAGCAGGACAGTTTTTGCAACTTTAAATGCCGCAATTGTTCTTTTCGTAGGATAAGCTGGTCCGGCACGATGCGGTTCAACTTCACTATTCTCAACCATAAATTTCATTTTTAGATCGATATCTTCAAGTCGAGTTGAAAAAAGCACTTGCTATGATATCTATGTATGCAACTTGCGAGTTAATCAATAATGAAGTTGATTCAAGTAGTGGGGTTGGCCGCGAGGATACACATGAACCTGCACCATTCCGATATATATATCCATCCACGCTGGAGTAATTTCAACTTTCGTTTGTACTTCAAATTGAACTTACAATTATTGAGCCAATCTACCATTTACAGTACTAAAGTTTACATGTATTGGAGAAAGTTATAGATCTAATTAAAGGAAAAGGGACTAACCCGCGGGCGAGAGGCAGACCAACTGACTAGACAAGAAAGCCAACGAGCACACAAGGGATATAGAACCTAGGAAATGGAGAGAGCCAGCTCAGATCCATCAACTGGCCTAGATCCCCATTCTAGAGGGTAGGGCCTGCTGTTCCCTCTCTACATTCCCGGATCTGCCTCGGGTTCCCTGACAACAACATCGGAATGCACATCAAGCCGCAGAATTCACCTAATGACCCAATGAAAACACGCCGGTAGGAATATTTCGACAAATGAAGCTCGCTCAGACTCTTTTTTGCAAGTCAAACCTTTTTTCCGGTTAACTGCTGGCGTGTACAGAGTGGGTCATACCATGCGTGTAGAGCCCCAAATGACGCCGGTGAATGGTGGAACGCAGGTCATTGTTTTTACGAATGGATGTGCAAAATAACTCCTCTACGCTATTTAATGGCACATGATGCTCGATCCTTGAGGCCCTCTGGTGTTCTGACTTATTCTCGTTGTCGGCAGCCCTATATTAATAGTCGCCTTTACTAACCCTAGCCCTAATAGCTAATACCCTGCCAAAGGGATAATTTTGCGTTACTATGCGGTCCTCCGAAAGCATCCTGTCTTGGTCACTTCTGCTGGCATCTCTGGGAGGAGTGCAAGCCAAGCTAGACTTGAAATCGAGCAAGAACGTTGTTGTTTACTGGGGTAGGTGACCACTCATTGTATGCTTCGATTGAATCTAATTGAAATCTCGTGCAGGACAAAACTCTCTAGAGAACTCTTCGGGGGGCAAGAAGGTAGAGAGCCAAAAGTCTTTGGCTTATTACTGTGACAGTGAGTGCAACTCTTGAGAGGCTACAGCATGAAACTAACAAGATCGCCAGATGAGGACATTGATGTATGGATGATCGCATGATTCTTGCTGGGTAGTAAGCTAACCAAAATCTCTAGGTCATTCCCATGGCCTTTGATATGATGGTCAATGGCCCTGGAGGCGCACCGGAGATTGACTTTGCCAACAGCAGCGGAGACTGCGAGGTGTTTGAAGGAACGCAACTGAAGAATTGTCCGAACGTTGGGTATGTATCCAATGGCACTGCTGGCAGAGAGTCCATTCACTGATAGCTTCTAGCGCGGACATCAAGACCTGCCAACAGAAGGGAAAGACCATCCTTCTCTCCATTGGAGGAGCCACATACAGCGAAGGTGGCTTCAAGTCCGAGGCAGATGCCAAAGACGGGGCCAAGTTGATGTGGGAAACCTTTGGTCCCAAGCAAGCAGGCTCGGAGGCTCTTCGTCCCTTCGGTGATGCTGCTTTGAACGGCTTCGATTTCGACTTCGAGGCCAACGTCCAGCATATGGCTCCGTTCGCCAACGAGCTCCGATCCCTCATTCAGGCCGACAAGAGTGGCCAGGATTTCTTCCTGACTGCTGCACCTCAATGCCCCTATCCGGATCAGTCGGACAAGGAAATCCTCAATGGCCCGGTTTATATCGATGCCATTTGGGTCCAGTTCTACAACAACTACTGCGGTGTCAACGCCTACAGTGCCGAGAGCTCCGCGAACAAGTTTAACTTCGAGGAATGGGACAACTGGGCTCACACAGTCTCAAATAACAAGGACGTCAAGGTCCTTCTTGGAGTTCCAGCCGACACCACCGCCGCCAGCACGGGATATATCCCGTCGTCGGAGCTGGCCAAGGTGATTGAGTACTCGAAGAAGTTTGACAGTTTTGGAGGAGTGATGATGTGGGATGCCACGCAAGCATATGGAAACGGTGCCTTTATCAAGGACGTCTCAAAGGCCCTGGGAGGCGCTGATGATACCGGTTCGTCGTCGTCCACTTCGGCGTCGACCTCGGCGCCTTCTTCTTCGTCCACTGACACTGCGAATACCTCGTCCTCTTCCAATGCACCCGGTTCCTCACCCTCATCTTCCTCCTCCTCTGCTGCTTCCTCATCGTCCAGTGGTCCTGAACCCACCTCGACGGAGAGCCCGACCCCTGCCGACACTACCAGCTCCAGCACCACCTCCGAAGCCACCGAGGCCCAACCGACGACCGCCGCAACCCCAGAGGCAACCGCCCCTCCAGCAACCACTGCTCCTCCTGTGCCTGCCCCGACGTCCACCGAGCAAACTCCCCCTCCCGCATCCACCGAGCAAACCCCTACACCTGCATCCACCGAGCAAACCCCTGCATCTACCAGTAGCACTCCGGCGCCCAGCGATGATCCCGATCAAACTGAGGGCGGTGGTTCCGAGAATTCAGACCCAGAAGACCTGGTTTCCAGCATCCTTGGAAATGATCTTCTCGGACTGCTGGGTGGTCTCCGCACAGCTAACACCGCGACGCATCGTGTCACTCACAGTCTCACCAATAAGACGGACCCCAAGGCGATGGGGCCCGCAGCACCCAAAGTGGCCATGCATAAACCGGATCCCCAAGTAGCCATGCAGAAAGCGGATCCTAAAGTTCAAATGCCTCAAATGGGACCGAAACTGGACATGCATAACATGGGACCTAAATTGGACCTGAAGCACATCGGACCTAACATGAAGGAAATGGGACCTAAACTGGACTTGAATAAGATGGGACCCCAGGATAATGGTCCTAAGCAAATGGGACCTAATGCCAACAACCTTCGGCGGGCTTTGCGCAACCGCGTTTGAGCTATTGGAGGACGCGCAAACGTTCTCATGGCAGTCTGATACTGCCTTCAACTGGTTGCAGTTTCGATCTGCGTGATTTGAGTCGTAATATGGGCAGATCTTGTCATCTTTCCTTCACTTATGCTTTTTCTTCTTCTTCTGCCCCATTTAGGGCTGTTTTCTATGCCCTCAGATCGCTCTACCGATCTTTTCGCTCATCTTTCTCTTCTCTATGATACCCATAGCTTTATAATTATATCATTTCTTTTCATTTTCACACTATTGATCCTTGTGGTCGGAAAGAAACGTTAAAACAAGTTCAAAACTATTAAAGATTAACTGAAACACAGTTTCTACTACACTTGGGTTTCAATGAGCGCCGGCTGAATGTCAAAAGACGAGAGAGATCACCACGAAACAAGGGCACTATTCAAAAGACACCTCCGATTCCTGGAGTCGTGTGTCTGGGGACTGGAATCTCCAAACCCGCTCACTCGGCCTCCTCCTCTTCCTTGCTTGCTGCCAAGCAGAATCGACCCTTCGCCTCACCTCCTTCCTCATACTCAAGGGTGAGGCGAGACAGGTGCGCGAGCAGATTCTCAATCTTGATCTCACCCTTGTCCCGCTGCACACGACCGAGATTGTCAAGCCATTTGATCTTGTTCAAAATGAAGTATACCAAGGCAATGACCACTTCAACACCAAGCGAATAGCCCCAAATTCGCACCACAGTCACGATATCGGTCCAGCCATTGTGGGTTTCAACGAACTGGTCTGCTGGCTTGGTCTTCATGTCCTGATTAGTGAACCAACCAAAGAGACAGAAGATTGTGGCCAGAATATCTACTCCCAGAATTGCTGTCACAAGGTGGATCGACGGCCAAGTGTCAATACCGCGAGTGACGAAGATGAGCCAATTCTCCGTGAGTGCCACTTCCAAGAAGAGCACCTCCTGAATGGATCCCCAGTTTTGGATGATGCCTCCGTTTTTCAGGAACATAGTTCCCCGTGCTACCCAGGTGCCAAGGGCGAGGAGCACACCCAGGAAAGATGAAATGAACCAGATCTTCGGGAGTTGCCATTCAACGGGTCTCAACTCAAACGAGGCATGATCATAGGCTATTGCGACAGTTGCAAGGTCGGCGAATAATGCCAGGAAGACGATCAGCTCGACACGAATGCTTTCGTTGAGAATAATCATCGAAGTCACGAGGTAGATTTCGAGATGCAAGCAAAGTGCAATGCGATATTGGATGTACGCCTTCATGCGATGGAAGATTTGACGCGCGACTTTGATAGAATCGATAATGGTCGACAACCCAGGCTCGAGGAATACAATGTCGGATGCAGATTGCGCAGCTTCAGATGCACCTTCGACGGCAATGCCACAATCGGCTTTCTTAAGAGACGGTGCATCATTCACGCCGTCTCCTGTCATGGCGGTTAAATGGCCTCGCTCTTGCAGCATCTGCACGACTTGATATTTGTGCTCTGGGAAAACTTCTGCAAAGCCATCGGCCTTCTCAACAAGATCACTGGCCATTGCTCCACTGAGACCACCATGAATCAGCTTATCCGAGTTATACACCTTGGTGCCCAATGCCAACATCTTGCAGGTTTCTTTGGCAATGGCAATGGCATCTCCTGTGAGCATCTTTACACTTATACCAAGGTTTTGCGCTTCGCTAATTGTTTGAGCAGTGTCTTCACGAGGAGGATCGAACATAGGAAGCATTCCAAGTAGAGCCCAATTTTCGCCCTCTTTCTGGACTGCAACTCCAAGCGACCGGAAACCTCGGTGCGCAAATTCTTGCGCTTTCGCTTTGTATAACTCGGCTGTCTCCTTGGAGCAGCTTGTCAGCTGAAGTACAGCTTTCGGTGCACCCTTAGTACATGTATACCGTACACCATCACAGACAGCAACTGTAACAATTCGTTTAGATACTGGGTCGAATGGTGTAAACTTCTCAGTTTTCCAACCACGGCGCATGATCTCTCGGGCTTTAGGATACTGTCTGAGGGTTAATACTGTAACCTTGTCGATTGGATCCAGAGATTCAGTATTGTGCGAGGATGCAAGTGCAGCGACGGCAAACATCCAATCCACATCAACGCCTTCAGCCACGTAAGGATCGCGAATACTTAGTTTGTTCGCAGTCAGAGTTCCAGTCTTATCAGAACAAAGGATATCGACACCCTTCTGAGGATCAGTATTGAAAGCAAGTCAGCTTCGGTGGACGTGACTTACAGCCAAAGATTCAATCGCAGTCAGCTTCTGCACAATGGCTTTCTTCTTTGCCAGATAAGCCGCACCAATGGCCATGGTAGTAGTGGTCACCACCGGAAGACCAACAGGCACACCGATAATGAGTAACGACAGAGTGTAGTGAAGCAGAGTCTGCTGGCCAGGGGAAGCAATGGGGATATGACGGAAGAAGCCACCAATCCAGGCAGCGAGAATCCATGCCATCACAAGAATCAAAAGAGAAGTTCCGATGTTATCCATAACAAGCTCAAAATGGCCGGCCCCTTTCGCAGATTGTACCATAGTTGCGGTGCGGCCAACAAAGGAAGTTCTTGCGCCGGTCTGAACCACGGCGTAGGCCTTGCCACGCTTGCACCCGGTTGTATAGAAGATCATGTCCCCCATGTAACGATCCACGGCTAGGGACTCTCCGGTAATAGCAGAGTGGTCGCAGGCCAGAATGGGATAGCCACGTCTGCGAGGAGGTGGTGCTTCTTCATCCTCTCCGCCATTTGCTTCTTTGGATTTGCCATCACCTTCCTTCACACTTTCAACGGCCTTTTTCGCTTGATCCTCTTCATCTTCCGAATCAGAACCTCCACCGAGCATTCCTTGTTCTTGAAGCTCATTGAACTCCTCCCAGCCGTTAGAATCACTGAAATCACAGATAACCTTGGCATCGGCAGCCACGACTGAACCTTCACCAACAATAATCTCGAATGTCTCTTAGTATGCAGGTAGAAATAGAAACCGCGGAAAGACATACCACATCACCCGGAACGAGCTCTCGTGCGAGACATTCTTGTTGAGTACCATCACGAATGACTTGTGCTCGCAAGGCAATATCTCCCTTGAGACTCGCGACCACATCAGCAGCCTGCTTTTCCTGATACCAGCCCACAGCGGCATTCAAGCACAAAATACCGATGATGACGCCGAAGTCGACCCAGTCATCCAGACCAGCAGCAAGTAAAACAGCCAACTCCATGACTATAACCAGGTAAGTCGGATTGTTATCGCCTGTATAAGAGGCACATACCATAGAGAATTGGACCTTGGAAGTAAGAAAGAACCTTGGCGATAGGATTCTCCTTCTCCGAGGATAATTCATTCCAACCAGCCCGCCGACGGCGATTGGGAATTTCATCACTGGAAAGACCCTCCCGAATATCGGTCAAGGTCCATTCATCGGGAAATTTGCCAGTTTCTCCTTCAAGCTTCTTGACGTGAACCTTCCGCTTCTTCCATGGGGCATACCAGACTCTTTTCTCCATGACTTCGCCTTCGCCCTGAGCTTCTGCGTTTGCATCACGGAAGGTTGACACGTACTTGACAAGCTTCCCATATTCATCCAGATTGGCCCAATCCTGGTTTAGAGACGCCCGGGAAATACGGGAGCTCCGGCGTATATCCGGCCGCTCGGCCTCTGGACTTGTTGCCATGCCTTATGAGTAAAGACCGATAGCTTGATTGTCGATGGTCGGCCCTGGATCACTTTAACGGCGGTGGATTGTTGAGAAATGGTTCCTGTCAAAGAAAAATTGCTCACAAAAAACGATGAAGGGATAGCAACCACGGCGATACGAAAGAAGAGTGGGAAATCTTGATTGTCTGCTCGCCTTTCACGAACTACAAGCTGGAAAGACAAGAAGCCTGTTCTGTAAAATATTCGAGTAGCAGATATTGATGTTGCTCATTGCTCAAGAGGGATAAAATCTTCACCTAGCGCACCCATTGCTTCTTGCAATCTATCATGCTGACGTCGCGACCAGGAAGATCTCGGCATGATCCTTTAAATTGTACACTTATTGTTCTGGCCTTGGAGACTCGGAGTATGCCGCAAAACCAGGTATCAATCATGACAAGCCAGGGCTCGTTTCTTATTTCCCAGAAGGGACCAACATTGGCAAAGCTGGTCCGGCCTATCAAACGGCTGAAATGTATAACGGTCCGTTCCTTTGCAGCTAACAAAGCTCATGACACCAGCTAGTACCTCAATCGAATTCGAACTCAGGCAATTGAACCAGGGTTCTTTGTGATCAGCTCACTGGTAAAACCTTAATAATCAGCTCCATGCTGTAGAGTTTCCCGGGAAGTTGTCGCAAATTGCTGCAGACACAGATGGTAAATTGCGGGGTGAGTTTGGCCCTGTGAGCCCCTCGGGCTTTATATTCTCAAGCTGCCTGCTCGTAGACAAAATGTGAAAGCGATCATAAATCAAAGCAATGAATCCAGCTGGCTGGAGCCACTGGATCATCTAGGAGTCCAACGGCTGCCCGGATGTTGATGGAGACTGGAGTGTAGACTTCGACGTCATTCTCGCCCTGTTCCGCGGACACCCGGCAAACGGAAATACGATCCTGTCCATACCAGCTTGCTGATTGAGTTAGGTGACTGAAGGGAACATTGGGGGGACCTGGACGAGAAAGTCACAAGGGGGACAGGAACTGGAAGGAGGTTCAAAACACATCTGCACGTGATTAGACTTGCCCTGGTTGTGATGCCGAGGGCTTTCAATAGCGAACAAGAAGACCAGTGGATATAATGCAACATGCCTGGATAGGATGAGATAGTCCTGAGCAGAGAAAAGGTGTGTCCCGATGAGGAATGTGGACACCAGACCCACCAGGCGGATCTCCCCGGTTTCTGCCTGACGATCGTGGCCTTCCATTCTTGTTCTTTTCTTTGGGCTCGTGAATGGCCTGTCTTCGATATGACAAGCTCTGGTCCAAAATTTACATCACTTGAGGACGGATATTTGTGGGCATTTCTGACTGGAGAGATTACACAATGCTCACTGAAGTGGTGTGGTAACTAGCACGGCATCTTGGCTGGGCCCTGAAGCATCCGATCACAAATACTCAATCTACTTCTATGGTAAAATCGGGAGAACCCAGGCGTGGAGCATATATACGACTTTTCATTGACTCATGTTTTCGCTTTTCGTAAGTCACTCGTAGCACAAGTTTTCATCCTCACACATGTCATTTATTTGGCCTTTCCGGAGGGAATGTTGAAGAAAACAGCGGGCGAACCGGGGGAGTAGGCTCGGTCAACGCGGTAGTAGCCCTTGCGGTCGAACTGAATGATGTCGTTGACCTTGAGGTCGGCAACGTTGCAGTCAGCAACACCAGCCTCGCGGAACTCGGTCTTGGAGTTAAGACAGTCCTCGAGCTTGTCATCCTCGGTCATGGCGTCCTTGTTGAGCAAGTAGTCAAAGTCAACGAGCTCGACGGGGACGGTGTCTTGATCGGTAGCGAGCCAAGTGACCTTCTTCTCAGTCTTCCTGACGTCACCGGCAAGGTGCAGCTCAAGCTCCAAGTCGGTGATAAGACCGGTGGCGGTGTCTGTGGTGATCTTGCGAACAATGGCATTTCCCCAGTTCATGAGGGTGATCTCCTCGTCCTGCTTGAAGAGCTTGACATCCTCCTGCTCGAGAACAATAGAAGGTCCGTAGACGACCTTCTTCATACCAACAGCGGCGTTCTTGGCGTGCTTAGGCTTCTCCTCGGAGTAAGGTGCGGGAGCGCCAGTGACAGTGGTCTTGACAACGTTCTTGTTGGAGATAGCGGTGTGACGACCAGCAATTGGGTCAATGTACTTCTTGTTAGTGGCCCAAATAAGAGCCCAGTCGAAGTTGACGATGTTCTTGGAGGGACCCTGCTTCAGGATGAACTCGCGGAGGGCAGGAATGGTCATACCACGGCGGCGAATACCACGAATAGTGGGGAAACGGGGATCATCCCAGCCCCAGACAACGCCAGCCTCAACCAGCTTGGTGAGCTTACGCTTGGAAAGAAGGGTGCGGATGAAGTTCATGCGGGCGAAATCCCAGACCTGAACGGTGCGCATCTTCATCGTATCCAGCATCCACTGGTACTGCGGGTTGCGGTCACGGTACTCAATAGTACGGAGAGCATGGGTGACACCTTCCATTGAATCGACGATAGGGCAAGCGAAATCGTAGGTGGGGTAGATCTTCCACTTTGTGCCAGTGCGGTGGTGAGGAGCAGGGTTGCAGCGGTAGATAACCGGGTCACGCATAGCCTTGTTAGGGCAGTCGAAGGAAATCTTGGCACGAATGCACCAGCGAGCACCCTCAGGGGTGCCATTCTTCATATCCTCCAGGCGAGTCAAGCTCTCCTCGACGGAAAGGTCACGACGAGCGCTAGGAAGACCGTCCCAACGCTGGGCGGCCATAGTCTCCTTGTCGGTGTCATCAGCGTAGGCGTCGCCCTGCTTGATGATCTTGACACAGAGGTCGAACAGCTCGTCAAAGTAATCACTAGTGTAGGTCATCTTGTTGGGCTTGATACCCATAAGCGCAAGGTCCTCCACGATGGCATCCTGGAACTCTTCCTTCTCGTTCGAGGGGTTGGTGTCATCGAATCTATTGTCAATCTATCAGTTTGGATATTTTGGTGTGCTTTCTGGTTTTCAGCTTACCTCAGAAGAAGAGTGCCATTGTACTTCTCATGCGCAAAGTAGTCGTTGAGAAGAGCAGCCTTTGCGTGACCAATGTGGAGGTATCCACTAAATTTGCGTTAGTCGAGAATTCAAACATCGAGTTGTAGGCAACTAACGAGGGCTCGGGAGGGAAACGGGTGACAACGCCGTTATCAGTGTTCTTAAGAGCAATGTCATAGCTGGCACCCTCCTTGGACTTGGCGGTCTTCTTCTCCTTCGCGACAGCGTTCATGGACTCAAGAGCAACAGATGTCCAAGGGCAAAGCTCTTCGATGAAACGGAACCAGCGGGTGATGTTCACAAGGGTACCCTTCTTTAGAGCAGCAACAGCAACGCGGTTGCCGCGGAGAGCACCCCAGAGAGCAATGTCGGGTGTAGATAGAGAGTATCCGACGATGAAGGAGCGCAGAAGAAGGTGGGTGTCAATGCGCTGGAGAACAGGGTCGAGAAGCTTGAAATCGAAGGTGGTCAAGGCATCCAGCTGAGAGACCCATTCGGTTTCCTGTATACTATGTTAGAATCGCAAACTATAGACTTGGCGGGGTAATGGCAAAGCTCACAGCCTTAGCATCCTTGCCAACCAAGAAGGGGAAGTTCTCAGTAAGGCTTTGAATGACACTGATAGTTCCAAAGACATTGTTGGTGCCGCTGATGAGCTGCACAACGGCCTTGTCACCATCCTGGAGGAGGGCAGTGTCCTCGTAAGAGATGTTGACCACGGGAGTGGGACGAGCCTCATTGATAGAGGTTGCGATGAGAACCACAGGCAAGATTGCCGAGTGGTTGGCACGAGTGGCCACCTTCAGCTCGAATTGAGACATTGCGCAGAAAGTGAGTGACGATGTGAAGTTTTGGCGGGGCAGAGTCATCATCTCCATGTCCGTCCGGGCTCACGTTTCTCCGGCCCGAGAGCTTTCCGGCAGAAAACAATTGCATCGCCCGGACGTTCAGCTCAGAACAACGATTGCCAGTCATGTCGTCCTTCGGCTCCGTTATGCCTCTGACGGCACGCGGAATTCTTTCATCATGCCGTGTTCCGCTACGAGAGCCCTCTATTGCTCCGGTCCTCTCCAATTTCCAGCAGGTCCGAGGCCTCAAGTCGAAGGTCAAGAGCAAGGGGAAGGAACAGCCTAGCAAGAGCCGCAAAGGCCCGCAAACATTCAGACAAAAGGATTTGAAGGATATGCCACAGTTTACTCTGTGCGATGCCATGCGGTTCGTCCCCTATGTCCGACTGAATCCACGGATAATCAGGCATTGACATCTTGAACAGATACCTCCGAGCCATCGAAGTCGGCCGCGAACCCACTGCCCGCAAATACGAACTGCATATTCGCCTTAAGACAAAGCGAGATGGACCTGTCATCCGTAACATGATCCGATTCCCGCACGCTGTCCAGACCGAATCCCGCATCTGTGTCATCTGTCCTCCCGACTCGAAACACGCCAAGGATGCGCTCGCTGCGGGTGCCGTTCTTGTCGGTGAGCAAGAAGTCTTCGATTTGGTCAAGGCTGGCAAGATTGAATTCGATCGCTGCCTTGCTCACCCCGACAGTTTGCCCGCCCTCAACAAGGCTGCACTTGGTCGTGTCCTTGGTCCTCGGGGCTTGATGCCCAGTGCGAAGACCGGTACCGTCGTCGAGAACGTTGCTGAGCGTGTGGAGATGCTCCGTGGAGGTACCGTGTACCGTGAGCGCGATGCTGTTATCCGCTTGCCCGTTGGACAATTGGGCTTTTCGCCAGAGGAACTGCGCGATAACATGCGCGTGACCATTGAGCAAATTAAGAAGGATGCCTCCGGGCTGACTGATCGTGTCAACAAGGAGATCTACGAAGTTGTGAGTACTTGGACAGTCTATCATTCAGAATTGGCCACTAACGACGTATCAGGTGCTGAGCTCGACCAACGGACCCGGCTTCTCACTCAATGGAGAGTTCCGCACCGACAACTCTCCCGAATCCTCTGCCTTGAAGGGCGTGTAAACTACCTATTGCTTTCTTATATCCTTTGGCGTGTACAAATTTATTGTTTTATTAGGAAGCATTTGGTGTATCATGGTATCACTGTTGAATTAGACACTTTCATAAGACCCGAACGCCGACGCTATGTATGCAACCCAGTCCGTATTGATGACAAGCATGCTGTTTTTACACCTTGAGGGTTTTCAGCGCGGCAACAGCGCTGACATCCTCGCCTATCAGATCGTATATGCGCAAAACGGCCAATGTCCTGGCATCGCGCTTTCCCCCGTAGTGGTAGCCTGCTCTAAAGCGGATTTGAGATCCAGGAGCAGTGTAGACTTGATCTTGGTAATTCGAGGTTGCAATGAAACCAAGAATGGATGCTTCTCGCCGACTCGAGCAGCAATCGAAGTCAAATACACAAACTTCTGGGCATGTCGTTCCAGTTTCTTTAGTGAGATTGCCGGTGTGCCATCCGCCAGCTCCTCTTCGTCGCCGTCCTCACTCTCGCTGCTGTATAACTCAGACTCTGTATCCGACTCCTCTGATATTTTGACATCCTGCTGTGATGGGTTTGTTTGAATCATCAGCCGGTGTTCCAATTCCTCTACACGATCTGCGTAGTCCAGCAAATCTTTGCCAATGTCGGCGTTCGTTCGTATCCGCCGCTTCTCATTCAGCAGCTCTTCCACTTCTCGGCGCCGGGCCTCGACCTTGTCTCGAATAGCTTTCACATCACGCTGGAAGGAAAGCACACCGACTTTGACTCCTTCGACCTTTTCTTCGCCGCCGCGAAGGGATGTCCCTAGCGAGAGGAAGTCCTGGTAGTTCTCATTGACCAAATCCAACAGTTCCTTGTTCAAAGATTGCTCCAACCCTCGCAGCTCTTGTCGCAAATCTTCCAGGCTCTGGTGACGATTTGTCAATGAGGAGAGAAATGTGGCCGGGTCAAAGTCAGGCGCAAGGAATGAAGTGCGGGATAACGGCTCGGGGAAAGGGAGACCGGAGGGGTCTTCGTCAAAGTCCGAGGCAGAGCCGTCAGAGTCGCCAAACTAGAGCCTGTCAGCCAACATAGAGACTCAATGCTTTCGAGATGCATACCTGGAAGCGATTCATGGTGCAAGTGGGCAGTGGAGAGTCAACAGGCGTGGCAGTTCGGGCAAACGTGTTGTCGGTCTTGGCACGAAGTACAGCGTCTCCGCTTCAGACATCAGCTTTACTTTTTTACACTTTACACCTTACGCTTTACACTGCACTTGATCTGACAACGCACGGAAATGTGCATTGCACATGCGAGATTCATGCACCACTCCAGAACTGAACCGAACTGAAATACCAGGACGTGTCTTGTGCCCTTTTAGAGCGGGGTTGTCTTGTGTCTGCGTTGTCTCCTGCACACTACGTAGTGTGGATGGAGTCAGACACTTTATCTGCCCGCAGGGACGGATCCCGGCTGTCGTCTGCCCTTTCTCGACAAGGATGGCCCCGAGTGTCTCCGTCCCATGTACCCCCAGTCATCGGCCCTTCGGGTTCCTCCCACCAGGTATATTCGCGGAACTACGAGTCTGCCGCTGAAGAGTCAGACCGGGCATATCGTACAACGGCTTTACGCCAACTGACTGGAAATCCAAGACCATTGTCCCGCACTAGCCGAGAGGATTATCCTGGCTCCGAACGTCGGCCGTTGACTTTGCCTACGCGTCCGGTGCTGGTGAGGGCTTACTCTGGCGATGTGGAAGATAGATCCTCTCGAAGATCCGCTATGTCCGCGCGTCGATTCTTTCCATTCACTAGCTCCAGAGGCACGGCTTCTGCCCATCTTCAGCCTCAGTCGGATATGATACTTCCCACTGATAAGGACTTCAGCATCGAGAGTATACTACAAGCCATCGAACCTGATATTCGTGGCACTCTGGACTCTATCGCCGAGATTTGTGGCCGAAGCAAGCTTAGTCTTGCTAATGAATATGGAAGTCACATCGCGCCTTTAGGTGAGATCTGTGCTCCACCGGGGGGTCTAGGACCTGTTGAGGAAGCCAGCCCTAGTGAGGAACAGCGGTCCACCGACAACGTGGTTATCCAGGATGAAGATGTCAATGTAGTAGGTGCAGGGCGAGATATACATCCATTTTCGTTTCATAGGTACTTGGAAAATATACGGCATACTGCATCCATTCTTGAACAAAATGGTGGATCCCATCGAGCCGGCACTGCACGGCCAGATTATCTGCTATCTCCTGGACTGAACGCCCAAACAGAAAACAGCATGGACATGGGTCTGGATACCTTACCATTCACACGTGAAATTGCATCACGACCCAAGAATGGTGGCCGTGATTTACTCGCCAAAGATGCCGTTGCTACCAACATGACAGATCAAGTACCCAACATCGCCACTCCAGCTCTGGTGTCTGAGGTCCATCTGGATGCGAGAGCTGATGGCTCTTCTTCGAACGAGCCTCGCCTTCTCCCTCGAGATTCCCTCGACATATCAACAAGGGGAGCAGCGGCACCTGAACTCATTCAGTCCCTTCTTGGTTGGTTAAGATGGACTGCAGGTATTGCGGGGCCAGATTCTCGTCCTGCACTACAGTCTGCTGAGGGCCGGTTGCGTGCCATGCTTGATCGTGCTGGGAATCAAGATGCTGTTCCAGCTATGCTTTGACGGGTTCTTGGGCCAATATGGTACCCTGTAATGAGATATGAAATCAGGAATACTTTACCAGTTTCGTAAAGCTCCATTAATCACCGTCTTCCGTTAATATTTAGTCACCTCTAGACTAATTAGGGCTTACTTCCCTTCCCGTAGCTCCGCACCATAATAAAACTCTTAATCTAACCTTGAACCACTTTTTCAGTACCTCCCCGTTTATCAATATTACGCACTCAAAACCTAAGTTGAGAATGATAATAAAAAAATAAGAAGAGAAAAGATACATAAAAATAACTTGAGAAAAGAAAAATAACAACTGAATAAAGTTGGAAGTATAAGTATATCTTGATAAAGAACTGCAAACCAAGTTCGACTAATAGTCGAGGTCCTTTAATATCGAGAGGATCTTAGTTCGGGTACGATCGAATAATCTATCTTAGATATATAATATAATCGTCTAAAGAGTGGTTTCCAGGAATATCTATACTAGCACCTTAAGAGCGAGGTGACCGCCTCCGCCCTACACTTTATCCCATCGGCCACGGCCACGATTTTCTGGAAGGAGTCAATATGATATCATATCATCTTGACACAAAGGATGAAATAAAAGGCTTCCATATAAGCTTCTGTCTTTCGCGTGGTGTTTTTGAACTTAAAGCTCACGCGGTATTCTATTCTGGGTTCTAACGATTGGCACTAAACGTTAGAGCCCAAAATGGAATAGCGACTTCCTATTTTCTAGTGGAGTGGTTCGTGCACGGACTTTCTTTTCACCTTACTGAACCCCTTCACGTCATATTGTTCAAGCATGGATATCCAACGCCAGTTCCCTAGTGGGCACTGGATCTGGGGCGGAGGTATCTCTTTCGTTTACGAAGTCCACCCTCGCATTATGGTGAAAGTCCCAAAGTCTGGAGAATTTGAAAGATAACAATTTCATAAAGAAGTTGAGATATACCGAATATTCTCTCAAAACCCAACTTGCCCCTCTATCGTGCAATGTTTTCTCTTTTCGGGTAGTGGCATCTTCCTTAAGTATGTAAGAGGTGCGACCCCTATCAGTAGTCAATAGATCGTCTACTACACTACCTAGACATGTCGCTTTCTTCTAGGATGCAAAACAATCATACTCGGGACTAGCAAACTATGGTGGTTACTGCAGCTGAAAAGTTAGAATCTCTTCCGCTCCGAAAAGAATAGATGAATGACCTCGCTCAAGCCGTCGTTTCCTTGGAATCCCTCAATCTTGCCCATGGAGATTTACGACCTGAAAATTTCCTACTTAACCGCAACCGACTGAAGCTATCCGATTTTGATAGTACGGCGAAAATTGGAGCTAACTGTGAAGCTTACATGGCTTCGTATGGCAGAATACTCAATAGCAATGAGTTAGACCAAGGAGAATGTGTGACCTTTAGCTTTCTTGGCCCTCGGACAGAACAGTTCGTTCTTGTTTCCATTTATTATTTGATGAACTATGGGTTTGAAGTCTATGGAGATCGATGTCTCGCCAAAGATCCTTACGAGCATGGCCCTAGGGTAGTGGGGTTACTACAGAGTATGGAATTTCCCAACCTGGGTGGCAATCCTCTGATTGACGACATCATCGACAAATGTTGGCATAACAAATATGTCACGGTCTCAGAATTAGCTGCACACACGAACATGCTTTTGAACGAAAGAATTGATACGACAGAGAGTAACCGAGGTAGAAGGAAGGAAAGCAACGAAGTGGCAGCCCTCGTGGAAACATACTTTATAGAACAATGGTGTGGTATCATGGGTCACATAATCCATGGGATATGTTATGGCTTCGGAGCCTGGTGGAGGTCGTTATTACAGCGTTTCACCGGCGAGCTAACAAAGGCCAAGCGGTCTAATGGTGGCAATCATGATAAGGTGGATCACAACCGCTTAGGAGAGGAACTCATCTCGAAAAAGGAATTTTGTGAAGACCTGGAGAAACGTGGACTTCTTCATGTGCTTTCTATAGGCGAGCCTGAGCAAATCGGGTTCACTTTCGATTGGTATAGACATGGTCTTTGAATAATTATACAGACTTCATAGAGTTCATCCTGAATTAGCTAGAAATTAACCACCTTTGCTCTTCTACGGATGCGGACTGCATTGGAGTACCCTTGTTTAGGTATATGTCAACCAGTTGTCTTCGCAATTCGGCGATTGTGTCCTGCATCGTTAGCCGTAGGTATAGGTGCGAAAGAGCCAGAAGGATGACATGATGTTTCGGGCGTGCAATACTGGAGAGCACAGAGTTAGTTAGGCTGGAGCCCCAGGGCCTGTTGGCACGTGACTGAGGAAGCCCTCTACTCAAGATCGATCTTGACATGTTGGACATGATCGCATGAAAATGGAAATGTATTATGAAGTGCAACCATGTCTCAATTGAAGCAATTATCCTATTCATGTCCACAAACGCCAGGCTATCTATAAATGCAACCGATGAACAGTTATGTAGTAGCATCAAATAACAAGAAGTGTGTACAGCGCAAACAGGGCGCAAACAGAAATGAAAACAAGGTGACTGGGGAATTATGTATATAAGGGTGGGTGGTCGAGAGGTCAAGACAGCTAGGACTTGGGGGATTCAGATCCATGGTCCTGTGCCTCTTTCTCGCTAGTCGGCTCTGAACTCTCGGGTTCACTGACAATAGTCTTGGCTTTGACGACTTCGAGAAGCTTGTCCCCGACTTCGCTGGCCCCTTCGATTTTGCTCAGCTTCGTTCGGAAGTGCTCAACATCGGCTTGCATACTATTTTACTGGTCAGTATCAAGGTCAATTCAATCATGAAAAACAGAAACTAACCTCTTCAATCCGGCTTCAGTCTGCACCTCTGCCAGTTCAAAAGCTTTGGTCCATTGTTCCCGATAGTTGTTGAAAACTGGAACCATGATCATGCTAACAGTCATATCTGGGAGATGCTTGCTCAAGACCCGATGTAAAGTGCCCGTCTCCTTGGCCAGTGTCTCCATGTAAGGGTGCACAGCGGGGGAGCCAGCCTTGGCATCCCATTCGATCTTCTTCATGGCATTGACATGGACCGATGATCGCGAGCTCATGATATCCACAAGCTTCTCGTGAATGCCACTCTGGTGTTCCTGACACAGTCGCTTGACTTTGTCAAACTCGGCCATTAGTGGGTTAGCCTGTCCGGAGCGTCGCACAAATTCTCGTACGTAAGGTACCATAGCGATCACAAAGCTCAGTGCTTGCGATGACAAGGCAAGATGTTTGGTTGTAATATTTTTGAGACCAGCACTTCGTGTAGCACCGGCTCCGAGAATCAATTGCGACGACCGAGAGTTGAACAACTTAAGGATATCTAGTAGGTGAGGTGCAATGTCTTGCATCATGCTGGGGATATTTGCCATGAGGAACTCGAACTCCTCTATAGTGCGCATCATCGCGAGAGCAGAGTCAGGCAGAATATACTTCTGCTCGTCGATAACGGCAGTCCGAACCTTAGTTTTGTCTGTTCCATTGGCGGCGACATCGTTTTGAGATTGGCCTTGTTCATTCCCGGAGGTTGGGATCCAAATCTTAGAGATTTCGGTCCAGGCATCGATATCATTAGTGCTTGCTTCTAGAATCCGAGTCAAAATTGTGACTTCGGCGTCACCAAAGTCTCGTGCATCCCAGCGATCTGCATCCATGACTTTAACAATTTGATGGCGTTGGCTATCACCAAACCTGCTGATGAAATCACGGATTTGATTGCCAACGATAGTCTTGAGAGTAGTACCACTGCGCCCCGAGATGGCCTCACACTCATCAGCGAACAATCGGTTAAGGGTGAAGTATTGTAAGAATTGCTCTTTTGAAAGTTGGGCGGTCTGCTCTGATCGAACTTTCAACACCTTTGTTATTTGGGACTGGGCAATGTCAACTGCTTGACCGAGTAGACTTGACATGTCCAAGACCTGGAGGATCTCATCCTGGGCCATGTCAGAAGCCGTCGGGCCAATCGGTGGAGACTTGATAGCCTGATCTAAGCTTTGCGGGTTGGGGCTTGCTGGATTTGGGCTTCGTGGCGGCGATTTAACCCCGGACGTTGGGGAATTTCCCAATCCACTGGCGATATCGAGGAGAATCTTGACTTGAACGCTGAGTCGTCGGAGAGATTCGCTAATTCCAGTGTACACGTTGACCAACATTGCGTAAGCATCGTCCGGATCGAGCGCGCGCAGATTGCGAGCAAGAATTGACGATTTCTCTTGCTGACTTAGTTGCTGGCCGCCATGCGTTGACAGCGAAACCATAGATTCATTATCGTCGTCGCTGGAGCTGGGTAGATACTTGCGAATGAGGCCTTTCATTTCTCGCAGAACAGCAGTCTTGAAAGAGGTCGCCGCCGACATCGTGTACCGGGATCGAGCAAGTCCATTGAGCTGGGTATCCAGTTGAGATCGTAGCTCATTATTGAAGTTCATGTACGCAGGCGAGACCGATACTCCGGATCGATTGGCACCCCGTTGTCGCTGGAATGAAGCTCCCCAGCGCTGAAGTGTAACATCCGATGGCACAATTTTGACATGCTGTCGTAAATCTCCTAGTAAGTCATTCAAGAATCTGGCTTCATAGCCCATGCCAATGCGCTGGCGTAATTGTGCGAGATCCTCTGAGGCTCCTTCTAACGCCTTGATACCTCGTAAATCAATAAGACGCCTGGGGGCATTCTCTTCCTGCTCCGCATCCTCTGCAGCGGCTTGATCAGAAATTTTCTCGCCGGCCATCAGTTTTTCGACTTCCTCAAGTCCGTCGGAAGCTTCCTCGATATCTCCCTGTTCCACGAGTTCCTCGCATCGAGAAACCGAGTCAACCACATCGCGAAGTTGTGCCACGGCGGCAGCCAGCATCCGTACATTATCTCTCCGTCGTCGCAAGTTGACAATCTTAAGTCCGCCCAAAGCCATCTCCTTATCGATCTTTTGCAGATCCTTCCTGAGCAGTTGTATCCGGTTCACAGAGTCAGCCGCTTCCGCGTGTAGCTCTCGAAGCGACCCTAATGCAGTGAAAAAAGATTTCGAGGCCGTTGAAATAGACGAAATTAGATGAATCTCCACGGTATCCATGTACCAGGACAGCTTTTCTTGAAGAATGGCATTTGTTGCTAGTGCTTTTCTGCCAGTTTGAAGTGGCTCTAGGGCGCTTCCGTTGGAACCTGCTTCATCCTTGGTCGGCGGCCTCGGCGGCCGAACCACGTCGGATTTCTCTGATATCACATCGAATGTGCGAGGATTTTCCAGGTGGAATCCCTCGTCGAAGTATACCGGAGGAATCGTGGAAAGAGGGGTTACAGCGGGACCGCGGCCACGGCCGCCAGAGGAGCGTCGACCACGAGTATCATAGGGTGAGGATGGTCGTGAACCGGTCGATAGGACCGAGGATCTCCGCTCCGGAGACCATGGCATCAAGGAATCGCGATCAGAGTCTGGCTTAGGGGACCTGGCGGTCTGTTTGGACTGGGTATTCTCGCTTGCGCCTTCTTTCGGTTGTTGGAATACATCATATAATGAGCCCACTTGCTCCAAGTACGGCTGGAACACCTTCGGGTCTACACGTGTGATGTTTGTCAAGGTAACCGGGGGTATGTCGCGGGATGATGGGGGCTTGAAGCCGGGATTTGATACCGCACTCTGAGCCGTAAGACCGGTGCGGATGATCGGAGGCTGGAGGAGGGTCGAAATGGCTATGTAGACATTAGCAATGGGAATTGTGGCATATTCGGAGCACATACCATTCTGACCTGACTCGGCAATCGAGCCATGATGGAGAGAAGAGTCCAGCACTCCTCCAATGCTCACGATAGAGCTCGCCGTTGATCCCCTCCTCAGGGGGTATCGTTGAGGGGGCACGCGGGGAGACTCCAACTGGCCTGTTGAATATGAAATCGAAGGCGAGGAAACCCCTGATGCCAGGCTATCAATTGATTTTCGCGGACTGTTCGACATGGCTGTTTAGGCCCACGAGCCAGATCGGAGGGCCACCGGGGGAGGGTCGATCGTAGAGATGTTCCGTGTTATCTGATCATGACAGTGGATGAGCCCCTAGTTGTGCTGTGACAAGGCTCCGGCGCAGCTTCCAATGCCGATCTTGTCCACTCCTGCAACTCGCAATTCCGATGCGAAATCAAGTTGGGGAATTGAATGCTTGTAGTGGCTTTGTTTCGATCAAGCTGGCCATGACAGCTCGCCCCCAATGAGGAAATACGCTAACCATCCTTGGCAATATCGGACTATCAATCATCCGGTAGTCTCTGCCTCAGAGACAAGGCCAAAACCACTTAACGCGTGAGCCAACTTGGACGCGTCGCGTTGGTGTTTTCACGAAAGTTCCTTACTCCCTTCCGCCAACGCTCATCCACCCAACCTACCCACATTTGCACAATGGATAGACGCACCCCCTATACTTTGAGCGTCCTTGCGCCTAGCACAAATGGTGCTGATGAATCACGTCAAACTATTCAAAATCGCTTGCGGGATTTCGTACTGGAATTCCAGCTGGATAATGCATTCGTCTACCGGTACGCATCCCACTTTGGAAATGCCGCGATTGCCACTAACAGTGCAACAGTGATCAATTACGGCAAAATGCTCTGGTGAAACAATACTACTGCGATATTGACATCGCCCACCTGATTTCTTACAACGAGGAATTGGCCCACAAGCTCACCACTGAGCCCGGCGACATCATCCCTCTCGTAAGTCTCTAATTATGCCATTCATCTTGGATTTTTACTTACATGGAATAGTTTGAAGATGCCCTGAAGCTGTGCACTGCACGAATTGTCTATCCAGGCCAGCGAGACATCACACTTCCCTCCCACCAACTGCTACTCCATTCCTCGGCATCGCACATCTCCATCCGTGATCTCAATGCCACCAACATTTCCCATCTTGTACGCATTCCCGGAATCGTGATTGGAGCTTCCACGATATCTTCCAAGTCAACCATTGTGCACATCCGTTGTAAGGGCTGTGACCATAGTGAAAACATTAGCGTCGACGGTGGTTTCTCTGGTCTATCGCTGCCACGGAGATGCGGTCGAGTCAAGGAGCCTGGTGACCAGGCCCCAGGTGAAAACTGCCCCCTGGATCCCTATGTTGTTCACCATGAGAAATGTCAATTTGTCGACCAGCAAGTTCTTAAGCTTCAAGAAGCCCCTGATCAAGTGCCCGTCGGTGAATTGCCACGACATGTTCTTATCTCCGCGGATCGCTATCTCGCCAACCGAGTTGTTCCTGGCTCTCGTTGTACGGTGATGGGTATTTTCTCGATTTACCAGGCTAAGGGTGGTAAGAAGGAGGCCGCAGTTGCCATCCGCAACCCCTATCTGCGCGCGGTTGGTATCAGCTCCGATCTGGACCAGACAGCCAAAGGGAGTGGAGTTTTCTCCGAGGAGGAGGAGCAGGAATTTTTGGAACTCAGTCGCCGGCCCGACTTGTATGATGCGCTCGCCCGAAGCATTGCCCCGTCCATCTACGGAAACGCCGACATAAAGAAGGCTATTGTTTGTCTGCTTATGGGTGGTTCAAAGAAGATCCTTCCCGACGGAATGAAGCTTCGTGGCGACATCAACGTGCTCATGCTTGGTGACCCCGGTACTGCCAAGTCTCAGTTGTTGAAGTTTGTGGAAAAGGCTGCTCCCATCGCTATTTACACCTCTGGAAAGGGATCCTCTGCTGCCGGTTTGACTGCTTCTGTGCAGCGTGACCACACCACTCGCGAATTCTATCTCGAAGGTGGTGCCATGGTGTTGGCTGACGGTGGTGTTGTCTGTATTGACGAGTTTGACAAGATGCGTGACGAGGATCGAGTAGCTATTCACGAAGCAATGGAACAGCAGACTATCTCCATCGCCAAGGCCGGTATCACAACCATCTTGAACTCGAGAACCTCTGTTCTGGCAGCAGCGAATCCCGTCTTTGGTCGTTATGACGATCTCAAGACACCTGGTGAAAATATTGATTTCCAGACGACTATCCTCTCCCGTTTCGATATGATCTTCATTGTCCGCGACGACCACGAGCGCGGCCGTGATGAGAAGATTGCCCGCCACGTCATGGGCGTGCACATGGGCGGTCGTGGTGTAGAAGAGCAAGTTGAGGCTGAAATCCCCGTGGATCAGATGAAGCGTTACATCAGCTACTGTCGCAGGTATGTTAATTTACAGCCATTCTCACACTCCACCCACTAACCTCATTTCCAGTCGCTGTGCACCTCGTCTCTCTCCTGAAGCTGCAGAGAAGCTCTCATCCCACTTCGTCTCCATTCGTAAACAAGTCCACCGCGCTGAGATGGAGTCCATGAACCGATCATCCATTCCTATCACCGTTCGTCAACTAGAAGCCATCGTCCGTATCTCCGAGTCTCTCGCCAAGTTGTCTCTTTCTCCGATCGCCACTGAATCCCACGTGGACGAGGCTATCCGCCTATTCCTTGCATCTACCATGGACGCCGTTACACAGGGTGAAGGCCAAGGCAGCAAAGATCTCATGGAAGCGTCAAGCAAGATTGAAGATGAGCTGAAGCGCCGCCTTCCTATCGGTTGGAGCACAAGCTTGGCAACCCTCCGCCGCGAGTTTGTCGAGGGCAAGAACTACACAGAGCAGGCCCTGAATCGGGCCCTGGTGGTTCTCCAGCGACGAGACACAGTCCAGATCCGCTCTGGTGGGTCACAAATTTACCGCAACGGTGTTTGATTTGTGACTTGTTATGATTTTTATGTGTTTCTCTTGATACACCTGGTACGCATGGTATTGATGACGGTTTGTTGATTTTGCATCTGTTGGTCTGCCAATGCAGGAGTTTGCAAGCGGTGTTGGGCGTGTCTGATGTCTGATTATTGTAGTACATTGGTGTGTTTTATCACCATGACATTTACATTATGTTATTTGAGCTACATAGCTCGCAATTGAATGGCCTATTTGGCCCTTTTGAATAATTTATATTGACTGCGGTAGCTTCCACCCCTAGCTTTATTAGTCTATATCATAGATCTCATAATGAGGGTCAGCACATATTCTATGATCAGAACTTATAACATTAGATGGTCCGCGGACCTTTCACCTCGACACTATTCTGGTCTGGCAACTCATTCAGACAGGCCATTCACATCCCAGTGAACCCATTATGTGGAACTTTCTACGTAGAGTACAAGATAGCCTCGAAGCGAGCATACCAACATCATATTAAGCTCATCTTCTCCATGATGTTATACAGTATACATTCTACTCGGACTGATTTCAAACCAAGAGTCAAGTTTAGATCGTATATCATTGATATTCATATATGCGACAGCGGTCATCAAGACCTCGCCATTCACAAACTCCCAAACAAGCAACAGTATAAAAAGCAAGACTATTCATACAGGAGACCCAGCTCCACCAGAACAAGATAAGTCATCAGTTAAAGGAGACCCTTATTGACCAGGGAGGGCACCGTGGCCCTTCTGCTCGCCGGTTGACTTGGGCTCGTGGCCGCCCTTGCCACTGCCGGAGGTGTTGGCGTAGCCGCCGCTGGGCTGGCTGGTGTAGACGTCACGGCCGGAGCCGGTCTCTTCGGGCATGGGGGCGGTCTTGTGGGCGCGACTGAGGTCGGCGGACTGGGCGTTGTTAGAATTGGGGGAGTCTAGAGTGGAATTGGATTGAAGATTGGGGAACATGAACATACCTCGTTGCCAGCACCGTGGACCTTGTTGGGGCCGTTCTCGATGGGGTTGTCGCTCTGGGGCAGACCGTTGTCGTACTCAGCGCCGCGAACCATTGTTATTGATGTTTTTGGGGAGTGGTAAAGGAGGAGATGTAGTGAGTTGTAGAGGGTAGAGGATTGTAGAGAAGAAATGAAGTGGTGATTTTGCATCTACTTATACTTCGTATGGTACTTCAAGTTGGCAGTTGAGCGTGACAGCATCATGAAATCATAGTGGGGAGCCATGACTTCATGTCGTTGGAATACCTTCTTTTTCTTTTTTCGCCTTGGAACTGGGTCTTTGAAAGGGTCTTTGGAATACGGTAGATTATATTAGAATGATCTAATTGACAGATGTTAATAGAAATTGAGTGGGTGAAGATTTAGGGTCCAATGCTTGATGTGGCTCCAGGGCTGTCTAGGGTTACGCTGACCAGCAACAGAAAAATGAAAATCCAACCCTCCAAATCAAATAATCAATAGAGACAAGAAACATAATAAGTTTTCCAAGTCTCATGTAGCCGTCTGTTCTATCATGTTCTTTTTACTTTTCTTTTTCGTCCTCGTTTTGTGGGTTTTTGGTCTTGAACAATCCGGTGAAGACTCCGGGAAACAGTGACGGAGGTCCGAAAAAGGGTCCTAATTTTGACCTGCAGATTGGCCAATTGAACCGGATTCATTTATCCGATATCTACATGAGGAACATCTGGAGGTCTCGGTCTGCGAGCCCTTGCAGCTAAGCCAGCACCGATGACATGATCATACAGCGGCGCTTGCTCAAAGTCATTGATAGGACGAGCCTCCTGCCTGCGCTGCTGGGTCTGAAGACCTGCTTGAAGAACCCCCCTTAGATTTTCGGGATGAACGTCATTTGCGAGGGGCAATTCAGGTACGCCCGCTGTTGGTGGCGGCACGATGCGATGTGGGGAGTTTGAACCAACCTGTCTTCGTGGCCCAGGAGCCGCATTTCCTGCTTGTATGGCACTAGTAATTCTCTGTTGTAGGCCTTCTTGGTGTGTCTCGCGTCTTATCGATGAGTTGCGAACTGAGGAATCTGGCATATTCCGCCACGATACCCTAGTTGAGTTGGGGTGTGAGGGATTTGTATTATCAACTTGCCTAGGGGTATATGGCGTCTCTGGTTGGTAGATTTGAGACACCTGACGTCTTGCATGATGCTCAATATGGTCACCTCGGGGAGATACCGGACGGTGGCTCTGCTGTTGGGTTATAGCTCTTGTTGCAGATCCAGAAGAAGATGGAGGAGGGACTGGTTTGCGTGTCAGTTGTTTCAACAAATCCGGCATTTGAGGGGGTCTATCTGGTAGGGTGCCGTTTCTCATTTTGATCAGGGCATTTCGTCGATTACTTACTTCTGGATGACTTGAGGCTGCAGTGCAATGAACTGGAGGAGACTGAATAGACGAGTCGAGATCGTTCAATGACGAGCTTTGTGTCCTCTCTATGCGTGATTGGAATGACCGAGTATCATATCCAGCCTTGTGTATGTTCAAAGATGGAGGCATCAGGTCATTTACAGTTTCATCATTCACGGGGCCTGTGGATATGAACTGATCATGTGTGGTTGAGAAGGGTAATTGTGAGGGAGGACGCCCTTTCGCATTCATTAGATTTAACTCTGTAGGTACAAAATCAGGTGATCTCGAACGGGGAGCCCTTTCACTTTGACTCGACTGGTCAGTCAAAGGGTTGATACTACCACGATGCTTACCTTTCATATGAGATGGACGCGAGGGCCTAGGTATCCCCGAAGGTCTCTGGCCCGAGGACATCCTTGACGCGGTCTCTGAACTTGAGATCCTCTTGCGTATCTGGGGATCTTTGCTCCTCGAAGGCGCGTCACGGTGCTGAGTTATCTTGGGGGTCGCGGTACCGGGTTTTGAGCGTGAAGTATGCTCATTGTGACTCGATCTACCGGCCAAAAGCTTGGTCTTCTGGCGCTCGGCGGTGCTGTATGATTTGGGTGGTACTTCTAAATGCCCTACCACTGTGGGAGCAGTATAAGACGTCATCGGGCGTATGTTCTGCTTGGAAGAAATGGAAGAAGGTGGTGTATTGGGGGTGTATATGATGGTCACATGGGGCATTACCGGTGATGAACCAGGTCGGTCTTTGCAGTATACATCGCGGTAAGTAGATGCTGGTGCCGCAGAGTCAATATCCGCACAGCTTGCTCGCACTGGCGTGAAGTCAGCCACAATAGCCACCCCGAACGGATCATCTCCACTGCGCTCCGATCGAAATGGGTTCTCAGTGAGTCCAGGGGCATTGAACTTGTCGTCTTCGTCAGTCTCCAGATTGTCAATATCGAAAGACACAGAAACATCGATTTCGTTCCCGGCATCTTCGCGATCTCCGTGCTTCTTAGGCACAAGTCTGCGAAACGGGTTAATGGGTTTTCTGGGGCCGATACGTATCTTGTTGGCCGCTTCCGCCTCGCGAGTTCTTCTTTTGATCCGCCGGCGAATTTTATACCGGCGCCAAGGACGTCTTATGTAGGGAAAGACGAAGCGGCAGTGGACCAGAACCCAACGGTCCAGTCGCTCATTGCACAGCCTTCCGTCGGCGAACTTCTCCTGTGGATCCAATATCGCCATATAATTGATTTGAACTGAAATCTGTTGTAGATGTTTGAAAACGGCTTTATCGATTGATAAAGGGGTTGCGGGTGGTAGCAGATGTTTCAACCCATCTAGCCCCTATATATAACCCGCTGAATGACATGAACTGCGGCAACTGGACAGTTGGATTGATCGTCTAAGAAATGGCGTGTAAGGCCTTAGTTGTCGATCAATGACCTTTATGTGAATCTGAGACCACTCCGTGATGAGACATGCCAAGACCGAATGCCAAGTTTTAGGTGCATATCCTTGCATCCTCTTGCATCCTCTTTGCATTTTCCGTTTCGTGCACGTCCAGTACTGTGTAGAGTCGCGAGAGGCGACCAGTAGAGCTGGCCGGTATCAGCCTATGATGTCATCAGCGTTCCCCAGATCTCAGCAATTGGATCCCCAGATGAAGATCTTGAGGGGGCAAAATACTGTACCAGTCAGGACGACTGGAGGATGTGCGAGAAGTCCAGTCCCCGAGCCATCGCAGGATCCTGTCCAGGTATAAAACGTCCAGCACGGGATCTCAAGCGGCCCGATCACACTCTACGCCGTACACGGGTTAGTTCAGACGTTACATTCAGGGCTTCAGGGCCAGAAATTTCTGTTCCCTACTGTCGCCTCTTCTCACCTCTTTTTTTGCTCTTCTCAACAATTTCACCTTGACCGGGGACTATAATAGGGAGATTCCCTTCAGGGGACACAGCACCAGTCCGGAGAACAACTCGACGCTACACCATTCGGGATCTCTTCTCTTTCGCGAGAGAGTCTGGCATTGCCTCTTGACTTCCACAGCTACTTCCTCTTCATCTGCAGCTTCAGCTTCAGCTTCAACTTCAACGTATTCCTAGTTCCTACACCTCTCACCTCTCCCCCACCCCCAAGCTCTCCCCCGGAACTCCACTTTCTCCGCACAGACCGAGTCGCAGCTCTTCCAAGGTTCAACCCGATCTGCCCCCTCTCGCAGGTTTTTCTCTTTTCCAACCCTTTTGCTCCCTTTTTTTTTCTGCTATCCCACACAATGGCGGAGAAAGGAGAACCCATCAAGCGTGATGTGCGCAACCACATGTTGTTCGAGGTGGCCACCGAGGTGGCCAACCGCGTGGGTGGGATCTATTCCGTCCTCAAGTCCAAAGCTCCCGTCACTACGGCGGAATACGGCGAGCGGTACACCTTGATCGGCCCCCTCAACAAGGCGTCGGCCGCCGTCGAGGTGGAAGAGCTGACCCCGACTAACCCGGCGATGCGGGAGACCATCCAATCCATGAAGGAACGCGGAATTGAGATGATCTACGGTCGCTGGCTCATTGAGGGTGCGCCTCGGGTGCTCCTCATTAACACCGGGACCGGTTACAGGTGGCTGGATGAATGGAAGGGGGATCTGTGGACCAACTCGGCCATCCCGTCCCCGGCCGCCGATAACGAAACCAATGAGGCCATCGTGTTTGGATATTTGGTCGCCTGGTTCTTGGGTGAGGTACGTAACGCTCTGACCCCAGCGCAAGGCGAGAAAACTGACCACCGTCCCCACTTTAGTACATTGCCCATGATCGTCGCCGCGCCGTGATCGCCCATTTCCATGAATGGTTGGCTGGTGTGGCGCTGCCACTGACGAAGAAGCGGCACATGGACTTGACCACCATCTTCACCACGCACGCCACGTTGTTGGGTCGCTATCTTTGTGCGGGCTCGGTTGACTTCTACAACAACCTCCAGTACTTTGATGTGGATGCGGAGGCAGGGAAGCGGGGAATCTACCACCGCTACTGCATTGAGCGTGCAGCCACTCACAGCTGTGATGTCTTCACCACAGTGTCGCACATTACCGCATTTGAGAGTGAGCACTTGCTGAAGCGGAAGCCCGATGGCGTGTTGCCCAATGGCCTCAACGTGAAGAAGTTTTCTGCCATGCACGAGTTCCAGAACTTGCATTCGCAGGCCAAGGAGAAGATCAATGACTTTGTTCGGGGTCATTTCTATGGCCACAATGACTTTGATCTCGATAACACCCTTTACCTCTTCACCGCCGGTCGGTATGAGTTCCGTAATAAGGGCGTTGATATGTTCATTGAGGGTCTTGCTCGTCTGAACCATCGCCTGAAGGCCGTCGGGTCGACCATGACCGTGGTTGCCTTTATCATTATGCCTGCCCAGACCTCCTCTTTGACAGTGGAGTCCCTCAAGGGACAGGCCGTGGTCAAGTCTCTGCGCGACACCATCGAGAACATTGAACAAGGCATCGGCAAGCGCATGTACGAGCGTTGTCTTTCTTGGAAGGAAGGCGACAACATGCCCGATGAGAAGGACCTGATTACCAGCCAGGACCGTGTCATGCTCCGGCGTCGTCTGTTCGCCATGAAGCGCCATGGCCTGCCCCCAATTGTTACCCACAACATGCACAATGACCACGAGGATCCTATCCTGAACCAGCTTCGCCGCGTCCAGCTGTTCAACCAGGCTTCCGACCGAGTCAAGATTGTCTTCCACCCCGAATTCCTCAGCTCTGCCAACCCCGTTCTCCCATTGGATTATGATGACTTTGTCCGCGGAACCCATCTGGGTGTCTTCCCCTCCTACTATGAGCCCTGGGGATACACTCCCGCCGAGTGTACCGTGATGGGTGTCCCCAGTATCACGACTAACCTCTCCGGATTCGGTTGTTACATGGAGGAATTGATTGAGAACTCCTCCGACTACGGAATCTACATCGTGGACCGTCGTTCCAAGGGAGTGGATGATTCCGTCAACCAGCTGACCGAGTTCATGTTCAACTTTACCGAGAAGAGTCGCCGTCAACGTATCAACCAGCGTAACCGAACCGAGCGCCTGAGTGATTTGCTTGACTGGAAACGCATGGGCTTGGAATATGTCAAGGCTCGCCAGCTTGCCCTGAGAAGAGGTATGAACCTTGCCCCTACCCATGGAAAGCCTATCTTGGGGGCGATGACTAACTCGACAATAGCTTACCCGTCCTCTTTCGAGGGTCAAGAGGATTACTTCGACATCATTGGAGGAACCGAACAGAAGATCTCCCGCCCGCTTTCCGTTCCGGGATCACCCCGGGATCGCTCCGGAATGATGACCCCCGGTGACTTTGCTTCCCTGCAGGAGGGGCACGAAGGCCTGAGCACCGAGGATTACATCGCCTGGAAGTTGCCGTGAGTTGATTCCCCCTGTCAATGCTACGACATCCATACTGACCCCTTTGATCAGTGAGGAAGAGGAGCCCGAGGAGCACTTCCCACTTACTTTGCGTACCCGCAAGACCAACGACCGTGCCCAATCCCCGCTGGACAGCATATCCATCAACGGCCGCCAACCCAGCGAGAGTCCGAAATAGGAGGCCAATAGCCGTATAACCGAAGATTCCGTGCCTGTACGGTGTACTGGAACTCATTTCTCTGGGCCCTTTGGGGGTGGCCCTCCCCTGACGTCATTTGTACTTGTTTAATTACTGTGATTTTTCCCTGCATTTGAAGCCAATGTTTACTGAACCGTTGAAATCTGGTGTTGGACCTGTAGACGGTATACCGGAAACCAAGTAGATAAGCGTTCTAGAGCTATGGGATCGAGGTGTGCAGCTATGAAGCTGCACCGGAGGGAATAGCTCCGGATCGGAACGGCGGAGCTCATATTGAGTTCATCGGTGAACCCTTTTCCGACTATTTCAACCCCTCCTCGACCCCTCCTCTGCTTGTTTCTTCTCTTCTCTCTTCACTTCAGTTCGCTTCAGTTCACTTTAACTACGTCTACCTTCGGTACGACTCCCAATGGAGCCGCGCACGTCCACCCTGCGGGGTTGCAGGACAATGTCCTCGCTAAGATGATGAGATGGGTCAAGGTATTTGTTCGTATAATAGTCGATGCACACGCATGACAGGTGTTCGATCCAGCTGGTCGGGGTCTCCCACGGGATCATTCCTCGACTGGCTGGTCGTTCTGAGATTATACTGTCAAAACTTGATCTAGACAATACTAGCGAAAGGACATGCGTGACTTTGATTATTCCCCCTTTGCGTTTGGTACTCGGTTCGGTTCACTTCTGCCTCTAGGTTTCATGTGTATCCCATTATCTCAATGGCACTAGTCTCATCGAGGGGTTGGGCTTGTGCTTGAGATGGATATGGCCTGACGTGGAGTGGATGGCGCCGGGTGCCTATTCTCTTGGCATACTGACCCAATTGAAGTATAACAGCTTGATCTATTTGCCATCATGTCTACCGACAAGATCACTTTCTTGACCAACTGGTATGCTGACAGTCCTAGTGCTTTGATTCGTCCCCGTGTCATTGAATGGCATGGTTCGAACCCACGTAGTTCAGCTGGCTAAAGTGTATGTTTCTTCAGGCACGCAACCCCGTACCACGCCCCCCTCTACCTCGCACAGGCCAGAGGATACTTCAAGGATGAAGGCCTCAAGGTGGCTCTGCTCGAGCCCAACGACCCCTCCGATGTGACCGAGATCATCGGTAGCGGCAAGGTCGACATGGGCTTCAAGGCTATGATTCACACTCTCGCGGTTCGTTCTCCCTCCGAGGTCGCCTAAAGGACCGTTGCTGATCTCTTTCTAGGCCAAGGCCCGTGACTTCCCCGTCACCTCCATCGGCTCCCTGCTCGATGAGCCTTTCACTGGAGTGGTGTACCTCAAGTCCAGCGGTATCACAGAGGACTTCCGCTCGCTGAAAGGCAAGCGCATTGGCTACGTCGGCGAGTTCGGAAAGATTCAAATCGACGAACTCACCAAGTACTACGGCATGACGACAGATGACTACACCGCTGTCCGCTGCGGCATGAACGTCACCAAGGCCATTATCCAAGGCGACATCGACGCCGGCATCGGTCTCGAGAACGTCCAGATGGTCGAGCTGGAAGAATGGCTCGCGGAGCAGAACCGTCCTCGCGACGACGTCCAGATGCTCCGCATCGACCAACTCGCCGAGCTGGGCTGCTGCTGCTTCTGCTCCATCCTCTACATCGCCAATGACAAGTTCATTGCCGAGAACCCAGAGAAGATCCAGAAGTTCATGCGCGCCGTCAAGCGCGGCACGGACGCTGTCCTTGCCGATCCGGCTATTGCCTACAAGGAATACATTGATGTGAAGCCCATCATGGCTACCCCTGTCAACCGCAAGATCTTTGAGCGCTCGTTCGCTTACTTCTCGCGTGACTTGAAGAACGTGGATCGTGACTGGAACAAGGTGACCAACTATGGCAAGCGTCTCGGAATTCTAAAGGATGACTTTGTCTCCAACTACACCAACCAGTACCTGTCCTGGGATCTTGATGCCGACTCTACTGACCCCACTGGCGATCAGAAGCGTATGGCTGCCCTTCAGAAGGAGGTTGCGGCTGATGGTGGTTACAAGCGTCTTGAAGTTTCGGCTTCTGCTTAGGTTACTTCCTGTTGGACTTTTCCAATGACAGGCTCCGCTCGTTAGCCAAAACTTGTCCATGAATGAAATCAAATTTGCGCTCTAGTTGCTTCTGCTATTTCGTTCTGCTTGTAGCTTTCTCCTTTATTATATCAACATGAAATCCGCGGGGACGCGGTGGGATAGGCGCCTTTCGACAGATAATACTACCTTGCTCGATTGATGCTAGGTATGCCTATTCCCTACGACCCGTTAGAACCGGGAAATTGGTGTCGTCTACCCCGGTTAATCACTCCTAAAGAGGGCTCGATCGAGACACGCTACTGCCTTAGCGGACGACGCTAAACGGTTAACGTTATATTCTACAACTATAGTTAATCGATAACTAAGTTACCTCCCCGAAGGCTTTAGTGCCTCAGGTATAGATACGTAAGAAGAGACAATTTTAAAATACAATTCAGGCCGTATATTAATGCACGGAACTACTCTACCTCTGAACCGCCATACCGTGGATTCAGGTCGGCACAAGCTTAGCGGACCCAATTTCCCAGCAGCATACCGTGGATATACACTCCTGGTGGAGCCACTAGACAGTAGACACCTTCCATGGACGATGGTTCATTTCCGCAGCGTCCACTTCCTGGGTTTTCTCTAAAGAACCTTCCAAAATCCCAGTTTCACCCGCCGAGGCATTTTTCCATGCCACGATATACCTGGTTCTTCTTCCCTCTTTTCCTCGGTCTGGTCTACATCTGCTTCCCAAATACCGGAACCATGTCTTCTCCTTCTCTGCCATCATCCTACAATGAAGAAACAATAGTCACCCAAATTACCACAACCTATAACCTCCTTCTCCAGCTGAGCTACTTCTCCCCTGATCGCGTTACCTTTCCTCCCGAAGGGGGCCACAGCATCAACGAAGAGCTATGCCATTCGCTTCATATCGCCCCGCAGGTAATCTCCCTCATGAAGAAGATTCCCTACGTGGTAGATGGCTACCATAAGCCGATTCTGTGGCAATCGCGGGCCTTTGAATACTTGCGCGATGAAGAGATCCGAAAAGGCCGCGATCCGGAACTCACCGACGTCGCCGACGACGACGAGCTACGGTTGGACTTTTTGCGACCGTGGGAGGTGGCGCTGACTTGTTGGTTGGATGATGGCTTTTCAGTCATTCTGGATACCCAGTCAAGTATATACGATTCCCACGCCACCTGAGCTATGTCAAGAATAGCGTTAACGTGGTCCTAGATACTATTCGACTCATTGATGAATCGGAACCGCCAGAAGATGACTTCCGCGAGGAATCAGAGGCACACAATGCCCCTGCCTACCTCCAAAAGGTCATTGATGATATCCGGACTCTAGAGATGGTGTATTTCCCCGGGGGAGACATTGGCTATCTTCACCTGCCTGGATCGTGGGAGCAGATCGAAGTCAAGCGGGTTCTGACCGAGGATTTCGGTTGGGGCGCGGAGTTCCGGGAGGAGGATTGGCGACGAGAGGGAGAGGAGATTTGTAAAGCGATTGGAGACGAGGGTTTGGATAGGGAGGAGGAGAGGCAGAGAGAGATGCTACGGTGATTTCAATTGCAAAGCTGGAGATTCTGCTACGGTGTTGTCCACAGGGAAGAGGAGAGACAGGAATTCCGAACTATCTATATCCCCACACAGTAATAATAGTCTGGCCACAGTCCACTGCAGTCATCCCCGACTGCGGCATTCCATTCGTAGAACTCATCGAGCGTGATGCCGTATGATGTGGCGATCGCGTAACACCCATCGCCGCTCACGGCCTCGTAGAAGGTCGTACATCCGCTCATCATGCCAGTCTGGGTTGGAGTAGGTGTTGTAACAGACCCAGAGGTGGTAACTGTAACTGTGCTCGCAGTTGTCGCCGAGGTAGCAGACCTCGTGGATGGAGAGGTGGTTGTTGCTGTGCTATTGCTACTGCCGGCAGATGCAGAAATCCCCGACACGCAGTAGGTGTAGTTCACCCAAAGATTATCACAGTTGCTGTCAACATACGTGTTCAATGCGATGAAATCGTCCAGGGTGATGCCGTACTCGGCTTCAATCAACTGACAGGTATCACCAGAGACAACGGTGTGCCATTCGTAGCACTCCGAGGTTGTCCCTGTGACGGTGGTGGTGGGTGCACTGACAAAGCTGGCGGTGGTATTTGAGGTGGTGGGAGTGGTGCCGTTGACGATGGCAATACTATCATTGATGTTAAGGTTGGCTTATGAGAATCACCTGGAATGAGGAATGAGAAACGTACCAGTAATCCATGCCAACTACTAGATTTGTGCAGTTCGAATTGACAGACGGGTTCATGGCAAGAAAGTCGGCCAATGTCAGACTATTCCCTTCACAAATGACGCCGCATTCATCGCCATCTTGAACCAGATAATATGCGCCACAGTTGGTTGCAGTGCCTGCTGGGGTTGGAGACGCTGGGATGCTATAGATTGATTTTGAGTTAGTTCGAGATAAATCAAAGAAGAAGAAAAAAAGGAAAGACTATACGCTATGGTCGTGTAGGTAGAGTTGGTTGAGACCGTGGCGGATGGCGGGCTGTAGAGGCCTCCTGGAGGACCGACGCAGATAGCATCACCGTTGGCAATCTGTCTGGACCCAACGTATGGATTCCAGGTCAAAAACTGAGTCATGGTAAAGTTGTCCTGGTTGTAAATATACTCATCAACGTTGATAGACGAGCTGGCAGTGGAGACGACGGCAATCGGACAAGACATGGGCGCGCAGACGTCCTGGTCAGTCACCCAATTGCAATCTACGTCGTTGTTGAGATTCCAAATTCCGGCCGTGGGGATTTCGTAGGCAATGGCCAGCTGTTGACAAGTCATTGTGGTATTGGGGGATATCGTGATGGTCTGGGGACAGATCGTAGTGATAGGGCCGGGGGAGGCAATGGTGATGTTGATGTTTTCTGATGCGGTGTAGTTGTTCGCAGGAATGATATCAAGATCGACGTCGCAGTTGATTTGCATATTGGTCCATATTTGCTCGGAAATTCCACTGGATCATTGCTGTCAGGTCTTATATCCCTCAACCGAGATTCTTGTACATACTCCCAAATTTCACCCCAGGAGCTCTCAAATCCATGCTTGAACTTTTGCAAAAAGCAAGACGAACATTGCATTTCTAATGGGTACTCATCCCACTCCAGGGGTTCCGACCACCCATAGTTGTCGTCGTTGATGGCCGGGGGTCGGTCGAGGTAGTAATCCCATGCTGCCAGCTGATTCAGGCCATTTGCATCGCTTGCATCTTGTAGGTAATCGTCAAAGGGTTCGAGGCACGTTCCATTCTCCAAATAGAACCACCCCCAGTCACCATATGAGACGTCATAGTAACATTTGTTGGTATACGTTGGCCAAGTTGCTTCGTCCAGGAGAACCATATTGGTGATGTTCCACGAGCTCTCAACATCCAGGCAAAAGTCCTCCGTATCTTCATCAGCCAGACAGATCAGCTCATATTTGTCCTGGAAGAAGGCCATATACTCCGTAAAAGTCATCGTCCGGTTATCCACGTAGAAGGGAACATCGCAGCTGGCTTCCACCGCTGTCGCGAGCTCCCCCAGCGAGCTTTTACAGCCAGACGTGCAGAGACTCTGCAGCGACGAGGTGTTCCATCCTAGTCAACTTTTCGTTAAACAGGACTCAATTGTGCCTTGGGGGTATATGATTGTTACTTACCGACGTTCTGAATCGAATAAGTCACCAGCTGAATCAGATTTTCTGGACAGTCGATCGTAGTATTGAACGCTGCATCACAGGCATCGCTTAGATCTGCAGAGATGATCTGTTTTTGCAGGCCATTATAGAGCGTGGCCGAAAATGCCTGTGGCACTGTCAAAAACAGATACGCAAGTGATATCTTCATGATGACAATGGCCACGATAGTTAACGAGTGCCTGTAGGCAATCTGTCGTCTTTTAGATTTCTCCTTTGCTCGTTTAACGTTCCAGGTATTGACCAAGTGCAATAGCCCCAACGTGTCGGATATAGCTCTACCAGCTCAACGTGATTCAATTTTTTTCCTGAAATTTTCCTCTTTAACCATGGAACAACGCTTATGCCTTCAGCACTAGCACAACTGATTCCGGCCATTCCGTATGTAGCGAAATGAAATAGCCGATGCAATAAAGGCATGGACAGCGCTAGATAGCGACAACCACGGTCTCGATATACAGCTAAGCTCTTAGGCGGTTCCACGTCAGGCCCTTCCCCCTGTTCTGATTGGATGCCTTTTTACGCTCTGGTCCACAGGGCTGGAATGGTGGAAACGGACGGACCCGGACTCAGACCATGGATCTCGTCGTGAAGACATTGGAAGAAAAAAAGGATGCTGTAATTAATTCTGTCGAAAGATTATTTAATATGGGACAATTACTTTGCCTGAATCTTCGGTTTCCCTTGCTTATGATTCTCAACATTGGACTATGGCCCAATTCCGGAGATTCTCAGCCCTAGTTGTGGCGACTTGGGCTGTACTGGTCCTACTAACTGGACATACCACTGCACAGACAGGAACCTGCTCCGACACCGAAGACTGTGTGTCGGGATGCTGCAGCACAAGCGGATATTGTGGTTTTGGTCCAACCTTTTGCGGCTCAGGAAATTGCACAAGCACTTGTGATGCTGTCGCCCAGTGCGGTCGTATGTATCCCAGTCGTCCTTCTCCGGTATCCTTCTGATACACCTGTTAATCAGTGTCCAGCCTATGCTTCAAGTGATAGCTACGACTGCCCTCTGAACGTGTGCTGCTCACAATATGGCTTTTGCGGCACGACCTCCGAATTTTGTGGAACTGGGTGTATAACAGGATGTGATGCAGTTGAGGAACCGTAACCGCTCGACTTGACAATTGAAATGGATCTGATCTATATAGCTAATCATGGATCATAGCTCATGCTCAGGTTCCAGCAGCGACGCTCGGGTGATCGGTTACTATGAAAGCTGGTCCTATGACCGCAAATGTAACGCCTGGTCCCCAGAAGACATCACTGTGGGCGTCTGGACTCACCTCAACTACGGGTTTGCCCTGATTGGATCCGATTACCGCATCTCCCAAATGAATTCCTTCGATGAGGAGCTGTACCCTCGTTTCACCAACTTGAAGTCATCTTCAACTGGGCTGCAAGTATTCATTTCTGTCGGTGGATGGGATGCTGGTGGTTCCATCTGGTCCGATATGGTCAGCACGGAGGCAAACCGCGCGGCATTCATCGATTCAGCGATTTCATTTATGAAGACTTATGGATTCGACGGCATTGACCTCGACTGGGAGTATCCTGCTGCCAGTGACCGTGGAGGAGCTGCAGCTGACACTGATAACTTTGTGACTTTCTTGAAAGAGCTGAAAGCCGCCTGCGGCAGTAAATATGGCATTTCAGCCACTTTGCCATCATCATACTGTGAGTGAATACCCCCTGGGGCACCTTGAGGCCCTGCGCGACATTAGTCACCATATTGACTGGTCTAGGGTACATGCAGGGCTTCGATGTTGTGGGCATGGAGCCGTATGTCGACTGGTTCAACTTTATGAGTTATGATATCCACGGCACATGGGATGGAGCGAATCCGTATACGTCGGCCGTTGTGCAGCCACATACTAACTTGACGGAAATTACTGAGGGTCTGGACCTTCTCTGGCGGAACGATATCAGCCCCTCCAAGGTGGTTCTAGGAGAGGCTTTCTATGGTCGCTCCTTCACGCTTTCGGAGACCTCGTGTACCGAGCCTGGCTGTCCATTCAGTGGCGGTGGTACGGCGGGCAAATGTACGGCGACTTCAGGCATCCTCTCGAATGCCGAGATTCAGCAAATCATCTCGGACAACGACCTCACCCCCACGCTGCTGAAAGAGGCGGCGGTCAAATACATCACCTGGGATAAAAACCAATGGTATTTCTCCTCGCTGGTTGCCTGAGTACGTCCGTCACTAATGACCGTAGGGTGTCGTATGACGATGAAGAGACCCTCGAAATGAAGAGAAAATACGCCAACGACAAATGTCTGGGCGGCCGCATGGTTTGGGCAGTGGATCTAGACGATGTCGACACAAAGGAATCGGTATCAGACCTTACGCTGTCAGGTCTTAGCTCCATTGGCGATGATGTGACTATCAACCGCGCGTATGGGCTCTCGAAACTCGCTTCCACAACAACGCAGAACAGTGTCAATCTCATGGCATACTGGTCTGACTGCGCGGCTGAGCCTCAATGTGAGGCTGGTTATACATCTTGGACATGGGGACACGGTCGGGTAAGCTCACTCTTGTGCCCTTTACTTGCCTATCTTTCCCTGTAGGAAGCTGTTACTTATGATTGAAAAATAAAGGTATTCGATATAGATACAGGAGTTTACAGCGGTATGGGCTGCCACGGTGGTGGAACAGGGTACAATCGCGCTTTTTGTGTCGAATCTGATGTCCAGCTCAATAATTGCTTCTGGGTTGGCACCCCCAAAGACTGCAAACAGCAATGTCCCTCTGGCATGACTTTACTCACCCAGAATACACACATAGCTGGGTTCAAAACCGGATGCAAGAATGGGCATTTCTCCAGTTTCTGCTGTGAATCCATCACGTCCAACTCCCTCATCAACTGTGGACAGACAAATATTGACAACCTTCTCACCGGCGGGCTGGGAATCCAGCGCAAGTCCAGTGGATACACACTTCCGGACTCTGTCAAAGAGGCTGCACAGCAGTGTTTTGATGACGACACAGAGTCGCTGAGCATGATCCGTGCTGGAAATTATATCATGAACAACGTCCCGGGATACTGGACTGGTGATGGCAAATTTTCGGCCGTGAATAACATAGTTTACTCCTCCGCCAGTCAGTCCAGCTGCACCACTACTGTCACTGTCGAGACAACCGTCACCAGCGTCACAGACACCCCAAAGACTGTGACCTGTGATGCAGACAATTTTGATCAGCCTTGCCGTCACTACTGGTCTGTCAATTCGCGACAAGGATATGACACAATCGTGTGTCCAGTTAGCAAGATGAGCGCCCGAAAGGCACCCGCGGCTTGGGACAGACAGCATACATCCTCCTGGAGATGGTGGGTCCCTAATCTTGCCAATTCGCTGGGTACCAACAAATGTGACCGCGATGAGTGGCCACCAGCAGCATTCATGGAGCAAAGCGGCTCACCTTATGTGCAATGGATCCGATTTGTGCCTTCATCGGCCAACCGCAAAGCAGGCCAGCTCTGGAGAGGAGTCTGTGGCAAACCAAAGAAGCAGACCAAGTGGGAAGGAGGCCCAATCAGCGGTGGCACCTGCACAACAGTCAAATCGGTCATCTATACAGTAAATGCGATGAGCATGCACTTCAAGAACATCTTTAGTGATCCAGGTCTCAGTTCAAATCCCTGTCTGCCTATTATCACTGATGATCCCGGATTCGCTCTGTTCACGCAAGATCAATGGTATGGAGATAATGTTTTGGCGGGTTACGATTCGGCTGCATATAAATACGATCCTGTCTCTTCCTTGACTGCGGGACAGACTATGCCTCGGGGCTGGTGGAGTGGAATAGCGAAGCGCTCGGATCCAGAAGATGAGAATAAGTGGGGAGAATTGGAGACTGAGATTTTCGAGGCTTTGGAGGAAGTTGCAGAAGACAGTTATATTCCCGTGCAGAAGATGGATTTTGACCCCGAGAAAGTCGTTGTCAACGAGGGTAACTCAAGTCGCTATGCTACTCCTCAGGAGCTGTGGGAGGAATTGGGTCTGCTCAAGTGTCGTTCGCACAATTGCGAGACAGAAAGAGCCGCTGTTGGCCACTACGATGCTGAGGAGATCCAAAGTCAGATGGCGATTCCCACTGGCCAAGATTTGTCGATTCAGACCCCTTCACCAAGTGCCTCAAGATTGAACCCTGCGTCTGGTCCGAGCATCGCGCTGGGTCCCAGGGAAACCGGAAGAACATAGGTAGCTTTTGAGGGGAATTGAGGAGGTGTCTATACCAAAAACTAAGTTGATTGGAAATCAACCTGTGATCTTCTCGTTGTATATATAGTCTCATGATTCCTTCTGAGTAACATACAACAATCTATATCTTTGAACTACAACACAGAGTTTGCAGGCTACCAACAGGTGGAAACTTGTTATACAAAAATGTAACTAGACACCTTGTTAAGTAGATCAGTGAACTTGAAGGCTAGTCGTTAAACAGTAGTTCCTACACTGATTCTAGGAATCAGCGTTCAGTCTATTCATTACAACATACCTTTATTATTGTATCCGCTCCGATCAGAGTCTATAAAACCCGGAGACTATCATTGGTAATCAAATAAAAGAATTGACACCGTATAAATGTACCCATCTGGAATAGACTAGTCTCAGGTTCACACTGATGGCATGCCAAGAAGTTTTTATTGTTAGGGTCCACCTCTATAATGTCCGTCCTGAGGATTGTCCACAGTTGTCATGTCTTATATTTGGTCTCATCTCTGCCACGCCGCTGTTGCAAAACGGAATGCCAACTGACAAGGCAGTATACAATATTCAAGCTGCAGAATGAGAATTGAGAGACCTGTTTCACCTCTCTTTCGTGTCTGCCTTGAAGACTCCCCTCATCCCCACCACCTTGACTCCAGCTCATAAGGCTAGCCCTGTTCAGCCACTGCCAAGAAGTGACAACATGAGGCTGCATCCCCGAACATCCTTGGCGTGCCAGCCTCGGTCAACTGTAGTGCTCCCACTAGGCATCAACATTTCCCAGTCCTTCCACCGTTTCATGGATCATAGGTCAGGCTCTGTGGCTGTTCTCCAATTTCAGCCTTTCCTGCCACAGAGTCATGCAGGCTTGGCTTGCAGACCCCCAGTGCAACATCACGGCCATTCACGATCCTGTGGCTAGTTCTACGAGAAAACCACGCCATGCGCCACAATAATGACTCGCTGCTCCGTTGCTTTCAAGGTCTGGGCAGGATGTCAATGTGGAGATTCACAACTGGGTCCAGTCCACTCGTTGTGAGCTGTACTGCATGGTGCCATGGATGGCTGCTCCACTCCCCGACATCCTGGACTCAGCATGTCTCCGTTGTCTTGCAAACATCTCCCCGTCTGTACAGTATTGTAGAGTACCCCCGCACCGCCAATGCCTGTACGCCCGACAAATGCCCCGCCGTGCCAGCTGCAATGGCATCGTTGGAGACGGCCGTTGGCAAATGATGCTGGGCCAAGTGTTGGACAGGAACCGGGGGCTGCTGCATGATCGTGACTCTCCGGTAGGTTCGGGGTCGGCGCGTATTGTATCTGGGCAGCGTGAGGTATATAAAGAGGGTTTGTGCCCTTCTCTCTGTTCTTCCTTCAATTCCATGATCCAGAGTCTTTACACTGTACTTTGCATTCTCCTCTCCGATATCAACATGAGCTTCCACGAATCTGCCATTCACATCGAGCTGGAGGATGGTCATATCCTCAAAGCTATCCTGCGCAATGAAGATGGCGATGAGCAAGAGTCTACTCTCGACTTGAACAACATCATTGGGAACAATGATGGTAAGCAGACATCTTCCTTGGTCTCAAGGCTGCAACAATCACTCACAACTCATTTTAGGTCACTTCTACTGGGAGGGCGAGAACTTCCGCGAAAGCGCCTCGGATATCAGCTTCGATCGTGAGGGCGATGAGGAGATCCCTGTTCTTCGGGCGGTTCTGGGTAACATGGAGGGAGGTGAACAGGATGCGGATATTAATCTCGCGGAGCGGATCACAAACAACAATGGAGAATTGGTCTTTCAATAGGCGGGCTTTGTAGCTTGGCTTCAATCTTCATGTTAGGTCAGAAAGTATTACCAATACAATGATATCTTTCGATCTTGCATTTCTATTCTAAACGAAAGAGCACCCATTATGCGTATCTGTGGTTTCTGAACTGGAATTGCTTCCTCTATCTGATCAACCAATCAATCCAAGTTCAATTAATCTGTTGCAGCTTAACTAGTAACTTATATGAGCCTGTGGATCTTCCTAACTCGACCATTGATTCCCAATGCACATCCGTTAAGGCTTCAGTAACAATTAAACTCTCTTGTTGATGACCCATTCAAGAGAGGAGCAAAAATATGTAGCAATGAGGTACCATCACACTCATTCTATCATCGTCGTTGCTCTGTATACTTCGACCAAACTAAACTGGAGGCGATAGGCCCCACCATACCCGACGTCATCCCCTCACCAACAGATTCGAACCTCTCCATCACCGCTACAATTGAGCTCACTGCGAATACCAATACTGGCTCATTAGCACAAACATGGCACCTCTCATTCGAGTCATCGGCTCCCTCAATGCCGACATGGTCTCTGTGACCCCGCGATTCCCAAACCCAGGCGAAACAATTACCTCCTCATCCTACTTCACAAGTGCAGGCGGCAAAGGTGCCAACCAAGCTGTCGCCTGTGGCCGCATGTCCAGAGCCAAACCAACCGGCCCTGCACCCTCTACCAGCGACGTCCAAGTTGAGATCATGGGCGCAGTCGGCGCATTGGATGGCCACTTCTCCGCACTGCTAAAGCCAACACTGGAAAGGTCGGGCGTCGATCCATCCAGAGTTAAGATCGTTGAGAATGCCTACACTGGTGTCGCCGTGATCATTGTTGATTCATCGGCTGGCGGTGAGAACCGCATTGTCTTCTCGCCTGGTGCCAACTATGATGGGATGCAGCCGACGCCAGAGGTACTCGGTATGGCACTTGCGACACCCTTACCAGATGTGATTCTCATGCAAGGTGAGATTCCGCTTGATACGATTATTGGGACTTTACGAGAGATTGCTGCGTTCAAGGCTAAAAACCGTGCTGCGGGGAAGCGCGGCATCGAGTGTGGTCCGGATGTTATGCTTAATCCTGCCCCTGCCCCTCCGGGTGGCTTGCCGGAGGATGTCTATGCTGCTGTGGATCATTTGATCTTGAATGAGACGGAGGCGGAGCTTATGACGCCGCCGGGAGAGCAATTGCTCAGGGTCGTTCCAGATGCAGAGGGTCTGGATGGCAAGGAGAAGGTTGCGCGGTATTTCCACCAGCTGGGCGTCACCTACATTCTTATCACGCTAGGGGCCCAAGGTGTTTGGTACAGTGCCACGGATGGTGGGTCTTCGGGACCGAGTGATGGTGTGCGGCGCTTCACGAATGAGATTCCTGCAGCGCCTGTGTCTCGCGTCTTGGATACCACTGCTGCCGGAGATACTTTCGTTGGAGGGTACGCCGTCACGGTGGCGCGGTGGCGCGAGCAGCGTCGTGGAGCCGGACAGGCCGGACAGGATGTGGCCGACGACGAGAAAGCATACCGGTATAAGACGGTCATGGACGGGGCAATGCAGCTGGCAGCGCGGGCCTCGGCTCGAACGGTGGAACGTCAAGGTGCCATGGATAGCATTCCATTTGAGGATGAGATCTGATGTCATCCACGAATGTACATTAATTAGGTATATCGAGATAGACTAGATCAATTACGGGTGCCTATCCCCAGTGGAACAATGCCCGATGCCAGTGCACGAACACGTCTATGGTGGGGAGGATAGGTTCACGATCCTTCACTTGCAGGTATGCGACCTGGATAATTGTACGAGGGGGGGGAATATCCAGCCTTTATCCAGCCCACGAGGAGGGGGTGAAGCCCTACCGTCGGTGCATCCTCTCCCTATTAATAGCCCATTCTCCACGAATCGACCTTCCAAGGGATGGATGCCCTATGAAACGCCTTCAACATTCTCCCGCCTATCTGCCAAACCTGACACCCCAGCCGGACACGCGGAACCTCTCCAGGCAGCTTCTCCTACCGCTCTGGGGATGTCTCTGAGTTGATGTCAACCTCTCCATGCAGACCGCAAGATGTTTTAGCGGATTGCCTCAAACCTCTGTCGCCCCTCGTGCATTGCATGAGTTTCATCACAGCTGAGTCGTAATGAGCCAATGGACGCTGATGCGCTGGCAAAGTTTCCGTCACTTCATCTTTTAGCGCTGTCACGTCGCGGGGGGTTTTTCGTGTCGCGAGGTATTGGCTACTGACGCGGCCAGTACTGATGGGGGCGGGATGCCGAGTATCGGGTACTTTTGGACGCGTTCAAGGGATAGACGCGACTTACAAGACTGGTTTTGGGGGAGGGGGATAGACCTGCTCGAGTAGTAGAATTAGAGAAGACAAGAAGAAGATAATAGCCAATAGAGAATCAAGAACTAGAGAATAATTGAGTAGACTACCAAAGAAAGAATAGCGAAAGCGCGTAACTGTAAGAATCGCATTGTACGAACTTGGCATCTCCATACATACTGAACGAACTGACCTTAACGCGACGCGATGCTATGCAGGACATCTTTCGTGAGCCCTTGAATTACTGAAATACTCCCTCCGCCCTCCATTTGTGATCCCTCAATAATTATTCTCCTTGCCTCCCCTCCAACCCTAAACCTGCAAGTCTCAAGTATAACTACAGCCTCTGCCTCACCATCCAAGACATTCGATCATAGCACTGGACTCTAGATCCCTTCCTTTCTTTTATTACCTGTGATCCCGACCTTATACAGTCATTTTCCGAATATATCAACCTCTCATATCCCGATTTCCCTCTGCCTTGTCAGCTAGCGTGAACCCCACTTCAGACCAAAACAAACCCCAAGTCTCTCTCTCTCTCTCTTCACCATGGCCACTCTCACCATGACTCCCACACGGCAACCCTTGGGTTGCATCGATACCATGCGTCCTTTGATGTCAAAGCTGAACCGTCAAAGCAATGCTGGTAAGTTCAACTCTAAGCTTCGCGGTTCCTAGGTTGAGCTAACACAGACCAAAGGTCCCAAGTCTATGAAACCCAACACCATCTTTGTCGACTCAGAGAACATCGACCCCTCTAAAATCTCCTCAAAGCGCAAGCGCAGCGGTGACGACGAAGAACCCACAGCATCCAAGCCCAAGACCTCCCGCATAGCTCTTTCCACCGTCTCCCCACGTCTCTCTACCCCCTTGAGAACCACCCAGTCCCTCTCAACACCAAAGTCGGCGCCAATTCTCAACCCTGCAGGTCGCTCTCCGCCACCAAAGTCCAGCAAGCTCGGTCGCCGCTCAGCCATTTCCAAGCCCCGCTCGGCATCATCCGGCAAGCGCGCTGTTGCACGGCCGTTCTCGCTCGCTTCGGCGCTCCAGGCATCGTCTTCTCCCAAGCCTGCGCCCAAGGCTCCTAACTCGTGGTTCTTTGATATCCATGTCGACTCGGAGCAGGACGAGATGACCAACCTGATGCAACACTCGACTACTGTTCTGGATATCAGCGACGACGAGGGCAAGGCTGTTCACAATGATAGCCGCGGAAAGGAAAACATTCCTCCCGCTGAACTGGGGAACGAGCTTCCCAGCGCTCCTGTGACTACTACTGCTGTCGCTGCCTCTGCTCGCAAGGAATCGAAGATGGAGGAGGACCGCGCCCCGCTTGGGGAGCTTGATGCTGCCGACTTCTATGCCGAGGGCTGCACTGCCTGTTCTTATGTGGTTGTCCACGAGGAGCCCGTTGAGTTCAAGAAGCCCTCTTCGCCTCTGGCTCAGAGTCAGGAGGCTCTCTCTACTTCCATTGCGTCGGTTCTGGAAGCGGTGACTGCCAAGGCGGAGGCTGAATCCCAGAGTGCGGATAGCTCAGTCTCGGATGAAAACACGGCGCCTTCTTCCTAACGGGCTTTCTAAAACAACTCGCATATGCATCTGGGTTCGGTGTCTCGTGTCTTTTGGCCTGGTTGGCCCCAATACCAATTTGTTTGTTTGGCGTTTATATGTGGCTGTTTTCGTTGTTTTTCGATCCTGGTGTTCACTACTACTTGGTCTGTCTCTTGCTTCATGTTGTTTTTACGAGTCATGTACCCTTTGCACTATTGTGTCCACGGGCTAACCTTCATTTACTATCCCCGTCTAATTAATCAGTTTCTGTCTTGTCATGTCTGATGTTTATGTTGACGTTCATGTTTGATGATGTACACTGTGGTTTGCGTCCGCTATGCCGAGTAAATGATTGAAATGAGTTGATTGCCTTGAGTATTCTGCTTCGAGACCGTAAACCTGTAAATCAATCACTCCCATCTTCATCCGAGTTGTCACTCTCCTCGTCCTGGTCGGCATCTCTCGCCTCAGCGGCAGCAGCAACCTGCTCGGCCAGCATCTCCCGTCGCTGGATCTCTTCCTCCTCGCCTTCACTAGGCTCATCAATCTGCTCTTCGGCATCAGGCTCCGCTTCCGGCTCCGGCTCCGGCTCCTCAAACGCAACCTCCTTCCCCTTCCTCCCTCTCCCAGCCCTCCCAACTCTCCCTTTGCCCTTCTCCTTCTCCTTCTCCGCACCTTCGCCCTTCTCCTTCTCTTTCGCCTTTCCTCTCCCCTTTCCCCTCCCAATGCCCCGATTCCCAGGCAACCGCGTCCAAAGCGGCGAACCTCGAATCGCAGATCGAACCTCCGTAGCAAGCTGCATATCCCGACTATTCCCCTCACCAACGATAAACTGGTCAAAATCATGCTCGGACTTGGCAAAATCCGGCAACGCAAACACTTTCACAAACTCCTCATCCTCCGCCTCCCTCCCCTCCATCAACGCCTGAATCTTATGCCTCATAACAGTCTTGACCTTCCCCAACGTTCCATTCCCAAACCACCCATCAGCAACAATCTCACACTTCTCCCGCAGAAAGCCCTCGGCCTCTTCCGCCGGCGGATACAGCGCTCGTCGCAACTGCTCATCCTGAATCTCGGCTATCATCCAGATCTTTCCATCAGCCGAGAAAGGCAGTTTCCCGGTAAAGATGTGCGTGCTCGACGTCCCATCCTCCGAGCTGGTCGTCTGGCCGCTGGCGGATAACTGCGCTGTATGTAGCTCGTACGGTCTGGGCAGGTTATGTCGCCGGCCACTCGCGCCGTCCCGCGCGAGTTCGGCTTCGCGTGGGAGCAGCCGGAACATGAAGGTTTGGTAGTGTCGGTAGTCGGGTGAGGTGCGGGGGTCGATGCCTAGTTTGATGATGGCATCGCGCCAGGGTCCCGAGCGGAAGATGTAGCCTACGTATGGAACGGCGTGGCGGAGGTTGGTGCGGTCTTCGTCGGTGGTGAGGTTGTTGCGGAGGCCGCGGCGGGTCCAGGCTGGTTGGATCTCGTAGAGGGCGCGCAGTTTGGCGATTGTGTTTCTCATGCTGTCGTCTAGCATTTCGATTGGGGTAAGGTCTGGTCGTGGTTCTGTTGGGACTTGGGCGTCGTCGTAGGGGATCAGGTAGGTGAGCACTCTGTGGACTTGTTGTGTGTTCACTGTTGTTATTTCGCCGGATCGACCGATTGATTGTTTGACTGTTGGGTTTTGGCGGTAGCTTTGGGTGGTCATTAGCTTGTTTTCTTTTGTTGGTTTCCGGTGAACGGTGGACTTACATATAGTGGAATGGGACGTCGCCGTGGCTGAAGGACGGTGGGGGGATGATATCTGCATTGGTAGTGGCTCCTTTGCCCATGTCCAGCTCGAACTGTTTCATTTTCTCGACTATTCCGTGTTAGATGAGACTTGATGCACTGGCTTTTTTGGAATACTGACAGTCAAATGGAAGAATTTGGTCCCGGAATCGTTGCGTAAAAGAGCTTGCCGTAGTCGAATAGACAAAGTCTGGCATTCCTAGTAGGAAGTTAGCCAGATATCGAAAAAAAAAAGTGCAAGAAAACCAACCTCGGAATACATGAGTGCGCTGTATCTTCCCAACTGGCTCAATCTGATACGTAGACGGGTTATCCCGCAAGCTGCGCATCATGTTCTGAGCTGACCATCTTGGTTGGGACTCAGTATCATTAGAGTCAGGTGCGTCTGTGAAAGGCCCATCTGAGCCCTTCTTGCGCTTCCGTCCTGTCCTCTTTGGTACAGTCACCTTGAGCAGGACGTTATTTGATGCACTGCTGGTAGACTGGACAGGCCGGGCCATAGCATCATCCGGCCGAAGCACCAGATTGGCCGGTGTGTCTGGCTTAGCTGGGTTTAGGAACTGTGTCATGTTAGCATCTGTGTTATCTTTGGGGCCTTGGTTTTCTCTTCTCACTGTTTTAATCCCTGTGTCACCGTTGAGGGTGTCGATCGCCTTCTCGACATTGCGCACCACAGCAGGGTGCTCAACACTCACAAGGAGGCGCGAGGGAACTGGGTAGATTGGGGCTGTTCTCAGCTCCTGTTGGTCATTCATCTTCAATGAGCCCTTCTAGTGGCCCTGATATCACGGGTTTGGGCTCTTTCCAGGAAGCTTCCACGCTCAATTGCCGTTGTTGCTGTGTGGTTGATCGGCTCGTGGGAAGATCGCAAACACGCGCAACCGCCCAACTGCCACGTTCCGAGGGGATTGACCTCGGCAAGCTCTTTACTGTGCTCTTTATGTATTCGGCTTTGCTTCTCACGCGTCAGTCCTGCATCGAGTCTTTCCATCGAGGAAACGTTCCGAGTCTACATTCCACAAGCGGTTAGGCCGAGTGGGAGACATATGATGACTCAGCGAGGTCGACAGCAGCCCTTCCGTTGATTGGATGGATGGGATCTGGCCATGAACATCTCCATCTCATGCTCCCATTCAATCTATACAGCATGGTGTGTGTTATTGGGAAGGCAGTTCCAGGTGATCCAAATGATGGAATTTGGCTCAGTCACATGTGAGGTAATGTACTGCTTGAATTCAGCCTCAAACGCACCCGTCCGCACCTAGTGATTGGCAAATGACTAACGTTATAGTGTACTGTGTGTTCTATCTGGGACTATTGAAGATCACTGCCGCTTTATTTGATTTTCACCAGAAATACCTAGATAATAACACGAAACTACTGCTTGGTTAGTTGAGAAATATCATATTTGGGGATGAAAATGTGTTGCTGGCTTCAGATCTACGCGTATCAGACCAGTTCGGTTCCAATTGGATATTTTGGGGAACAACTGTCAGGGAAAAAAAAAAGACTCAACAATAGTACTGTGTGCCGGATAAACTACGAGGCTATCATGTTTCATTAATGAAGCTCATGGAAGCTTCACGAACCAAGGAATATCTCTACCCGCATTGCTAAATATATTTCCACTATAGAGACACCCAGGAACCCCCCGTCTACCTCAACTAGACTTGGCTCTATATTCCTACACCCGCGTGATAGATCCAAAACAGAACGATGCATGCAAGCCACCAATTACCTGGATATCCCATCAGCCAATACAGCATCAGATATACCTCGAGTGGGGTTGGAGCACAGACCCCGAGTCCCGGAAATTCCAGCAAAGACGTCGTAGAATCTCAGATATAAGTTGACTGATATCGCCCTAGACAATAGCCGGGCAAAACCCCCCTTCGCTCCAGAGTTGCCAGGGACATTTTCGGTACCTGAGAATCAAAATCGCCCCTGGGTCACGTGTCATGACATAAGCAAACGTGAAACAAGCGGCAAAAAGCATAGTCGTGTTAGGGGGAAAAGAGACAAAAAAAAAAGAAAGAGAGAAAGGTGATGACACTCGAGTAATACGTAGAACGACAGGATCCATGAGGTCTCATGCTCCGTAGAAAAGGACCAGGAAAGAGAGGACTTGGTGGTCCCCCTCTCATCACCATCACAGCCAGGAGAACCAGCCCGCCTTTCCCTACACCTAACAACAATCCACTTCCCTCCCTCCTCCCCACAACCCATCATCTTTATTTGATCTTTTGTACATTGCCTACTCGGTAATTTGCTCGGAACTCGGTTGACGTGATTTCAACTTGACCTGCGACCTGGGTGTAGTTCTTCTGGTGCTTCCAAAACCCCCCGCTCCCAGCCTGCCACTAAGCGACACGGAGATTCAACCAAGCACCTCCGTTCGATACCAACATCTGCTCCGAGCAGTTCTCACATTCGAACGCCCAATTGCCCACCTTGAACCTACAGAGGTACGTCTGGTCGAATACTACTTTCCCATCGCCAGTTCGCCCTTTCTTTTAAATCGAGACGCCTGGCCCCGTGCGCGTGCTGCGACTACACCCTGTTTGGAGCGCTGGTCCTGCTGCCATTGAGGCCTGGATTCCCCTCCGAGAATCGCACGGACTCAATATAGTCCAGCCTCGATTTCCTTGAGACTAGCCACCTAGCATGTTTTGTTACCGGATCGCTCATCAGTTTCTCCTATTAGGTACACATAAGTTCCCCCCCCCTCGTGATTATCCTGAGCGGTCTTCTCCGTTGGCACCCCTCGATTCACTCTGGCTAGAGTGCGGCGTCCGCTGCACTAGCACCGAGCTTCCGAGCCGAGTACATGTGGCTATCTAAATACTCGTCAAAATGAAGGGTTTCAGACAGAGAGTGGTGAGTTACCGCCAATCCTCCCCCGAGCGTCTTACCGCACGGTCACAACCCCATCCCTCTGGAGTACGCGGGGAGCCGCCCTACTCAGCCTCCCTACTCAGCTTGACACAGACTAACTTGGTAACTTCAGCATGAGCAGTTGTCGCGGGCAAAAGACGCCAACAAGTCCTCAAAGAAGAAGGATTCCTCGCAAAACCAGGCGTCACTCGGCATTTCCCAAACACAGCAGACCTCATCCTCCAACCAAGGTACCCCCACTTCGTCCACAACCTCCTTGAACGATTCGCGAAACAAATCTCCGGACAATGCCTCCCCGGCCGGAGCCCCTGCTGCTGGTGCGCCTCACCCCGGCACTCCAGTCCAACACCATATAGGTCAGGCTGGAGCCACAGGTCAGCCTCCAAGCAATGGGCCAGGAACTCCGACTCGAACAGGACAACCCGTAGCGCCCAGCGTCATCATCAGCCCAAGTGCACCGGTAAGTAAAACGCCGGCTGGCCACATCTCCATCTCTAACCATCTTTTCATTTCACAGCATCCCCCTCCCCCCGGAGCCGCTGAAACAATGCCCGGAGACCTCGCTCCCCCGAGAAAGTCCCATGTCTTCGATAGGCTGCAGACCACACCTAAGGAAATTACAGAAGGAATTCGAACCCCCAAACGTCAGCATTCGTCTCGTTTTGATATCTCCGATCAGCGTCAGAGAGAATTGGAAAAGTTGCCGGGCTTCCACGAAGTGCCTCCCAATCGCCGGCAAGACCTGTTCATGCAAAAGATCGACCAGTGCAACATCATCTTTGACTTCAACGACCCCACGGCTGATATGAAGTCCAAGGAGATCAAGAGGCTGGCACTTCATGAGCTTTTAGATTATGTTGCCAACAACCGGTCGGTCATCACGGAACCTATGTATCCCCGTGTGGTCGAGATGTTTGCCAAGAACTTGTTCCGTCCCATCCCTCCACCGATGACACCCCAGGGTGAAGCATTTGACCCAGAGGAGGATGAGCCTGTGTTGGAAGTTGCTTGGCCCCATATTCAGGTTGTATACGAGTTCTTCTTGAGGTTTATTGAAAGCCAGGATTTCAACACCAACATTGCAAAGGGATACATCGACCATCAGTTTGTGCTTTCGGTATGTTTTTACATCATTCGTTGTGTGTATAACCTGATGACTGACTTTGCCTAGTTGCTTGATTTGTTTGATTCAGAAGATCCCCGGGAACGTGATTTCCTCAAGACGACATTGCATCGTATCTATGGCAAATTCTTGAACCTACGGTCTTACATCCGTCGGTCTATCAACAACGTCTTCTTCCAGTTCATGTACGAGACCGAAAGACATAATGGTATCGCTGAGCTACTTGAAATTTTGGGTTCGATTATCAACGGATTCGCTCTTCCCCTGAAGGAAGAGCACAAGCTGTTCCTCACTCGAGTTCTCCTCCCAATGCACAAGGTGAAGAGCCTCAGCATGTACCACCCACAGTTGGCATACTGTATTGTGCAATTCCTGGAGAAAGACTCCACGTTGACCGAAGATGTAAGTTATGCTATTTCGTTGTTTGCAACATCAATGTTAATATTGTCTCTAGGTTGTTCTCGGCTTGCTCCGCTTCTGGCCCAAGACAAATAGCACTAAGGAGGTCATGTATCTGAACGAAGTGGAAGATATCTTCGAGGTGATGGATCCAGGTGAATTTGCCAAGGTCCAGGAGCCTCTCTTCCACCAACTGGCCAAGTCTGTTGCCAGCCCTCATTTCCAGGTCGCTGAACGTGCCTTGTACTTTTGGAACAACGAGTATTTCTGCAACCTCGTGAGCGACAACGTGGAGACTATTCTCCCCATCATGTTCGCCCCCCTTTACGAGAACTCAAAGGGACATTGGAACAGGTAAGATTGACACATATCCCCAAATGATCATCAGCTGACCCGCGCAGAACAATTCACAGCATGGTGTACAATGCCATGAAGATGTTCATGGAGATTAACCCACAGCTCTTCGATGAATGTTCTCACGAATATACCGAGCACCAGAACAGCGCAGACCAACGCGAGAAATCACGCACAGATCGGTGGGACATGATCGAGCAACAAGCTAAAGACCGGAAGAATGGCGTTCCTCCCCCACCACCCCCTGCACTCGACGTGCCAGAGCCCATCGATGAAGTAGAGGCCATGACCCACGAGAGCCAAAAGCGATTGAACACATTGAAGTTGCAGGAAGAACCCGATAACTCCAAGGAGCGACCCAGTCGGGAGGGCACCCCAAATTCGGTAAGTTCGGTGCATCTCTGATACGTGCTGCTCTGCTGCCCAGATCCGTGCATCCCTATGCGGACCCTCCACCCCTTATGTTTCTGGCTTTGTTGCCCTCGTATTTTTGTCTTTTGCTAAGAGACTGCGTCCGCCCAACTTTAGCCAGCGTGATTCTAACGTGGAAACGTCCGTTTGCTCCAGACACGACGCCGAGGCTCCATTCGCAGCAGTGGCCGGAGACGACGCAGCGGTAGCGGCAGCGAGGTTCGCCCGCGACGACGATCGGTAGGCAGCGGTACCAGTGCCACCAATGTACAGATCTTGCATCGAAGCAACTCTACCAAATAATGTCTCGGAGGGATGGGCTGCTGATGGACATGTGATTTCCGTTGATTTTCTCTTGCGATGGCATAGCGACTATGGGCAATGATATGTTTGTCTTTTGATTTCGGCGATACTCGCCCGGACTGATGCCCAACTACCTGTGCCCTTTGCCCTTTTTAACTTCTTTTTCTTTTGTGTACATGGACTTTTTGATCTCTTCCTTTCCGCGACTGGCTCCTCTCCCCTTTCGCGATCAAGTGAGCGGGTGGTGAGTTGGAACCAGTCTTAGAACCG